GTGAAAGTTCGAGGACACTGAAGAGGTCCAACAAACACGTATGTGTAATGTGTCACAATATGAGTGCAAGAACAATTATTTCATGCTTATGAACTATCATAACATTCATGTTATAATGTAGATGTTCATATACTGAAGCAGTTATACGGAGATCGTATCACTTATCTGTTGGGACTTTTCCAGGGGTATCGATAGGTCAGAGTAGCAATACCCACTTTTCAATGAACTCCTCATCATTGTTATCAGAGCTCATTCTTGACATGCACCGTGTATCGGTGCTTCATTTGTTCGAGGCTACTGTGGCCTGAGTATACTCTTGTATCATGGAGGGACTATCTTCGTTCTTGATTTTCTGCTAGTTCTGCAAAAACATGAAGGGGTTCTCCCAAAACTCGAGCATGCCTTTGCAGTACAAGGCCCTGCATAACTATTCTCAAAATCATACAGTAACAACTTTTCAAGAGATATGGAGGCCATTGACATAATGTGCTATGATCAAGATCTAGATCACAAATAGCAATTATTCTCTATTCGAGAAAGCATAGATGCCATGGCTCTATGATTTTATCTTAAGAATTGATGCGTGTCAAGACTAGGTAATAGTTACAAAAGCTAGCAGATTCACACGTAGAATGTATGGAGAATAGGTTAACGATTTGATTTGTACTCTATGTGATTTGAGACATTAAATCAGTCACTGATATACTGTTTATTCAAATGATATGCTATTTTTTTGAGGAGATAATGGCCATAGAGTATGTAAATGTCAAGGAGATAATAACACTTATCTTTCTTTTTGGTTAGATCATTGCCCCTTAGAATGGGTCGCTCATAATTCGAGAAGGATGCTACTCGAATTAGCTTATTGTAAGACCTGCAAAACCAAGTAGTAAAACTATGCCAAGTCCAGGCAGGTTATCGTACCTCGTAGATAATTAGTCGAGAAGATTGTCTCCACTCTTGCCGTAGGGCCGATCTACGTGATCACGACAGTATATGCCCTCGGTCTCTCGAAAAATCGAGCTATGCTTGCATAGCTGTTCACTTTGGATAACAAGTTAGTTGTTCTAATGACAAGGTGATTGGAACCGTGATGAGCATACAAGATTTGTGTATGGCTTTAAAATGAAGTAATCATGTGAATGTCACTTAATTTTATGAAATTGACATGCTACGACTATGATTTTGTAGCCACAATAGGCTCATGGAGGCATAGTATGTGTATTTATGCATGATTATGCTTGAGACATAAATTTTTACATCCTCAAACTAAACAAGTTTTGAAGGTAATGATGTGTAAAAGGAACTTATTAGAAGAAGGTTATGGTAACTTATCTGTCTCACGTTCTAGGGATGTCTTCTCTTTCGAGGAGATGTATTCTGTAAAGTTAGCACTTGTCTGAGGGTGAATTTCATCTGACTGACTCTTTTGTCCTTTTACGGTCTAGGGATCTACTCTGCGCAATCAGAAGCTTTAATGTCAAAATATAAATAATAAAATTGTTAGGAACCATTCTGCAATTTTTCGAGAATTTTAAGATCCTTATTGAGCAGATGCGTAGAAATATGCGACTACTTAGATTGTTGTCGTATTTGAAGGCTCCATAGCCTTCGCCGTTTAGTTTGACGAGGTGGCATAATTTGTCAAACCAAACTTGGTAGATAGTAATTCTCTGGGTAATGGAAAGGTATCCTTGAATCCGAGAATATTGTGGTCGAATGGCAAGATATTCTCTTCTCGGGCACTCTGAGTAATGGTGTCGCACTAGATTGTCCCCTCGAGAAGATTGTAAATTTGATCAACTTGTCAGATGGTCGGCTCTTTGTCGGGTTTGTAGCGCCATGCACCTTCTCGGCAATACGGGACAACAGGACCTCTGTTTCAAGCTTTCAACTGTGCTGCTAAATGATTTATACGCTCACGAAGGGTAAGTTTAAAAATAAATAGATAGAATCAAAATAGGAGAAGTAGGTGACCACATTCGAGAAACTATTCCATTGATGCTTATGATCAGTAGGATCTACGAGGCATGTGCCTATCTAAAATCATATTCATGAGTATGTTGCAAAGCAATAAATGGAGAATTATGGAGTACTATTTTCTCACAACAGGTTTCTCATACAGGCAAGAGATATGTGGTAGATGAACCAGTAGGCATATATAAAGATGTAAATTTGTAATAGGCATGCATATATGAGCAGCATGAATCAGCTCGCGAGAGACAAACCAACTTTTTAAGTAGGCCATATTATTATTAATATTAAATTTATGGAGATTAAGTTTTCGGACAGCTTAATCTAAAACTCTCTCGAATGCTTGCACATTAATATCTAAGGCTCATATATACCCCAAAAAGAATTAAAGATCATCATGACTTTTGAGGTATTTTAATAATAATTATCATGCGGTGGGATAGTTTATTGAGCACATGCTTATGAACATCTTTTCCTCCCTTGTTCTTGGCAAATCAAGTATTTATTCTAACACCGGTGATCTTTCATTGGGACTTTGATCATCTATATAAAACAATGTGTAGAGTTTGTTTGACTATATAGATCTATCATGGGTTCTAGCTGAGTGTATGACTTATATACCCAAAAGGTTAGAAGATTAAGACAAGTTCCACCTTGATATCAACCGTTTGTATCATAACTGGGATATCAAGCATACACGTGATTTGTTTAAATCATGCTAAAAGAATCAAACTGGAACTTACTTTGCGGTGGTAGAAACTCCAAAAAATAAAGAGGCCATGAGGTTGTAGAGCAAACCCACCAAAAAAACCATGAGATTTTGAAGGTTAATGCTTGACTAATTATTATAAGATGAAAATTACACCTCCACCGTAGGCATGCAAAATTCAATCAAGAAGCAATTAATTAAACTTATTAGTTGGTGGGGGTTTTTAAGATTTTGCTCCTTGTCCGAGCAAGTCGTAGGAAAACCTCAAAAGCATAATATCCCGCGAATCACATATCAAGCAGATTGCAAGTAATCCATGCTACAGATTATGCCTAAGGCAGTATTAATAAAAACGGAAAACCTGGACGCCATAAAAGGAGACGTTGAATTCTAGATCCCGCTTCGTCAGAAAAAATTGTTTTAGGGCGAAGAACCTTAGGGGTCTCACCGGGCGTGCCACTTGACGAAGTATGGATTCGCGCCGACGTCTCCAGTTGATTGAACCGGCGGCCATGACGGTATCAAAACCCTAAAACCTGTAAAAAAGGGCCTCGGGGTCTCCCGAGGGTAGACACTCCGATGCTTAAGTCAGTAAGAGTAATTGTAATAGGGTATAAATTGCGGTGCGTACAGCGTACCTTTAACCGTGAAGGGTTGATCCCTATTTATAGAACTAGATTATGAAACCCTTTCTTAATGGAAAAGTAATTAAGAACCGATCTAGAAGCTTCCAGAGGCCGGTTGAACCTTACACCAAACTTGGGCCGACTTAGTCGTGGGCCGTACGTATTTGGACTTGTCACAAAGCTTTTAATACTAAGCTAGTATTTCATAAGCGCATAGATTGGGATCTAGTGATGATACTTGATGTAAACTTCTAGCTGTTAGTTTTCCTGAAATTGCCGGTGCAGGTGGATAGCTTTGCCAAAATGTTTCCTGGTGTTTCTCATGAGTGGATTGTCAGATGCAACGATGAAAATGAGAAGGAAGTAAAAATTGTAGAAAAGGCTCATAGGATATGCTGGCCTGGTTTGTCAATTCTTCAAGTAGAAGGAATCTTGAGTCTGCATTGCTCAATGTTTTAGCATCGTTTCTGGATGGGGAAAAATTGCATACATAGTTCGATAGCTTTGGATGACACTAAATCTTAGTCCCTCTCTAAAATTGTGTTAGTATTGTGGCTGAATCTGGAGAAGAATTGTGTACGTTGTTCTATAGCTTTGGATGACACTAAATCTTTGTCTGTCTCTTAATTACCTCGTGTAATAGTATGGCGCAGAGTTTGATCAAATGTATCTTTGTAAATTGGAACAAACATTTTCTGTGCATCGGTGTTCCTATAGGCCTGTAAACATCAAGTCCAAGATTATGCACCGTAGATATGCGAGGTCCATGAAACCCAACCACAGAGTAGATTGCAGTGAAGTAGAATAACTGATTACTGAATGATGAAAATAAAGTCCTTGCATTATTATGTGTACATGAGTTTAAGCTGGTCCAAAATTGCAGTCAATTGTAACTTTTAAAGCTTTATTAGTGTGATGAATCAGGCGTTAAGCAACCACCGAAGCAGATAATACGAATATGATATTGAGTTGTCTAGTTGAAACAATATCGGCACTTAACTTGAAAGTTGTAATCCATCCACCCATGAAAGCATCAGCAACAACAATAAGCTGAAAAGTTAGCTCAATCAAGGAAATTTTGAACTTCAAAGCTAAACTGAACCTAAAAACCCATAAACATAACCATTTCTGGGGCATCCTTGGGTAATGCTGCTGCCGGCAGTGATAGTAGCCAGGGAAATAATTCCCACCTCCATGGAAACCGTAGAGGGGGATGATCGCCAGAATGCAATGGAGGAACGTTTGCAATGTGTAAACCCTGCATACACTTTCATCCAACTTGGCTGGCACTTAAATTTCAATTCAATGGACAAAGTCATCATCATCTGATTCTTCCCTTTTATGTCTGCACGAAAAGCAGTCTCCATGTTTGGCGTTGATTTGGGAATTCCTGCCATTGGAAGGGCCGTAATGTAGATCCACTTGTCGAGCTTCTGGATTCACTGTTACTTATACCTTATAAACACAGGCAAACTCATGTTAAGTTGGCAAATTTATTTATTTTTTTTACTGTTAAAGACTGTGAGATAGGTCGACAGAAAAGCCTCCTCCTTTATCTTGTTGATGAAATTAATTTCATATACTAATTGAAGTAAAAAAGTAACAAAAACTGTAGGGGGGAGGATGACAAAAATCCTCATAAAACTTCATACTAGGATAAAAGGGTACACTTGAACATGTTTAGTAATGTCACTAACTACTCTTACTCACGAGATGTGGGAAAAGGATTAACAAGGCTGCTAATAAAGGGAAACGCATTTATCCTAATATCCGAAGACTTTGGGTCACAAGCGAAAGGAGGCTGGGGTATTGATCTCCGAGCTGCATGTGTGTTTGTGTCGTAACAATAAATAAACATGTAATCATAAAAGTAGATTTGGGTGCTTCTTTTATCGTAGCTACCCGAATATGGGAGGAGAACTAGAAAACTCATCTCACTCAAGTCAAAATTGGGAGGAGCTGTCAAAATAATCCTCTTGGTCCAAGAATCTTTCACGCCATATTCCTCCATTATCCACAAACTCAACATTGGTTCCACGTGAAAATACATCACGCAAAGACGGTCATCCAGAACCCCTAAGGATGTGGTTTTAAAGGGTACAACAACATCATAAATCTCGCCCACGTAGTCGTCGTGGGCCGAAGAAGGAGGAGGTTGATGGCCTTGATCAGGAGGAGGTGGGGGTGGTGGAACCATTCTGATTGTCTCGGTTCTGAGATCAAAAGCCAGAATGACAAAACGGTTGCCATCCTCCTCCATGATCCAGTGGAGAGCATGATTAACCGTGTTGGCCACCCCAGACAGCACGCTGTATTTTCCAACAAAATAAGGGAACTGTGGTAAGCGCCTCCAGGAATTGGATCTGGTGCTATAAAGTTGAACGCTCTGTTTGGTTGGAGAAGCAAAATAGTCAACGTAGTACTCGACCACCCTCACAATCTTATGGTCATCCTCAACATCGTCATATCCAAAACCGCACATGCGCTTTAGATGATGAAGAGGATCCTCATCCGCAATTGGAACAGGTAACTCCCAATATTTGCGAATGGTTGGATTCCATAGCAGTAGGTTACCGTAATACCCCTCCTTCAAACAAACTAATCCATTATAGCAACCCTGGATCTCACTTATGCGCCTACCTAAACGAGGATCAGGTTTCAACCAAGTACTTCTCATCTGATTACTGCCTGGGGGTGAATCCACATCTACCAAGTGGATTACGGGACTAGACGTTGAATAAATTCTTCCTCCGTCTGATTCTGTCAACAATAAGATTGTGGGTTTGTCTCCGCTGCCTTTTGCTTTGGATGCTTTTAGGTGTAAAGTGATGAAATAGTTGCTGCCGATTAGAGTTTTCCATGATCTGGACACGCATCTGAATCTCTGCACCGATTTCGCTGGCAGCCTAGCAAGTACTTCGCAGATCAATTCTTCAGGTAATTGGCTGCTGCACCAGGACATGGCTGACTACCTAAAACTCTCTATAATATACAATTTCGATAAGGTCTAACTAATTGATCACACACGATCTGTTCGTCGGATGAATGATGGATCTCTCTCGCGTAGGATACATCATATTTATAGTACCACTCATTGGCCAGTGTCCCATCAAGATTCACAATCTCAACCCTATTACTACTGGACAAATATTATACTTATCGAGTCATAATGATTCTTATGGGAATCGGGATTTGGAGGTTGGACCCTTTACCGCCACAAAACATTGACTTTTAGGACACCCTCAGCCTCAGCCTCAACCTCAGCCTCAGCCCCAGCCTCAATAATCAATCTTCTTCTTTTTTCTTTTTTTTTTAAGAAGAGAAATCTTCATCTGCAAACAATTGATATACGTTTTTGACCCCTGAACCTGATGCTAAAGCCTTTCAGTCGATTTTTTTTTTTATTTCGTTTTCTTTCTGAAAAAAATTATATTACTTTATCTTGTACTTTCTTCTAGTTAGAAGTTGAGCAATTTTTTTTCCAAGTTGAGCAATTTAAGTCTCCCGGGCAAAAAAAACAAAAGAAAAAAAAAATCTCCAAACTAAAAATAGCAAAATTTGTTGAACGAACACTGTACAAGAAAAATAATTAATTATAAAAAAAATATGAATATTTTGAATGCACTTGAACTCGAAAAAAGTCCCACGAAAGAATCTACTCGCAATAGTTTAATGCACCATTAAGAAAATCAAAATTAGACCCAAAAAAAAAAAATCCATTCTATTATTAAAGTAATATAATAACCTCAGGATTTAGGAAGATAAATCAAGTTTCTTTGCCCTGGAAATCACTCACGAGGTATTAAAATAGCCGAAATCCGAATTTATTCAATTCGTACCAAAAAATTAATGTACATTATAGTTTGTAAACTAGATCGTGCGGGTTGACTCATATATGAAACACTCCAAATTTTAAATGTAGATACAAATAAAGGTATTGATTTTGTATTAATAAATTACTGAATAAGTAAAAGTTGATTATATCGTTATCAGAAATAGAAATAGCACGTACTATAAAGTATGTATTGACAACATTCCGTAAGTTAGTTGGGGAAAATTTAATAGTGCAGTAAGTACAAGTATCTCATACGACTAAAAGGTATATAAAACAAACAAAACAAAAAAAACAAAGTAAATAAAATTATTGCACGTTATACAAAATGGAAGTATCTTATAGAATTAAAATTTCACACATGAGTAATTATGATCCGCATTCGAAATCGGACATATACTGATTAAAATATGTATTGGGAGAATTTTGCCTCCCGAAAGAGACCTACCCAGCTCGAGTACAAATTAGTCGAAACATTAACTTTGAACATCAGGTACGTAATATAAAAAAATAAAAAATCACTCATTAAAATGGATTGAGTATATTTCTTATCATAATTATAAGAATCAAGATTGTTATTTCACTTATTTGCAACAAAAAGTGGAATTTTCGAATGGGGAGGGAGTTGGATGGTTAGGCTGTACGTGATGACCTCAAATGAGGATTTTTTATAAGAAATTGTTAGTATAATTTTTTAACTACCGCATTATCCCAAATCTAATTAGTTTAACATTAAGTATACCCCATAAATTTTTTTTATTTTATTTAATACAGTTCTAATTACATTTTTTATTTTTTTTATTTTTTTGGAATGAATTAGCACTCATCGGGTGGTGCAATTGAGCTTTTTGAAATTAGCACTTATCATAACAATATTCTTAGCAAAATCTACTTTTTGAGTTTAAAACAGAAACTTAAAACACATGGCGTTTTCCAGTCTACTCTCTCCACCAGAGCTCCTGGAAATGCGCTAAATCCATCATCTCTTCCCAAAATTTCTCTAGGACACTTTCTCAGGTAAGTGGGTTTTTTGATGTAAGGTTCTGTTAGCGCTGTTTCAAGTCATTGATCAATTGGGCTGTTTCTTTTTATTCTCTATATCGTCGTAATGGAGTCAGCAAAAAGCTAATGCCTTTTTGAATGCAAATCTAATTCCTTTCATTCTGTGGGGTAGAAATTCTGCCTGATGGGACTGTAGAAATGGAAAAAATCTTTCGTAAATTTCAAAAATTTGATGAAAGAATGTGTTTTTGGCCAAATCTCCCTCAATGTAAAATCGTTAGTGTTTCCAAAAGAGTGCATGAAGAAAGGGGGGAAAACAAAGGTTTGTGAGAAAGCTGAAACTAATGGTAGAAAAATTCATTCTGTCTCGTTCTTATTTTATTGATCGATAATATTAATCTCGCAGTCCTGTACATAAACTTGTGGATTGAACGACAACCTCGTATCGTTATCATCATTCCTGATGGATATTGATGAGGAGATTGTAAGTGAAGTCCTACGTAGGCTTCCTGTCAAGTCTTTGATGAAATGTCGGTGTGTCTGTAAGTGAAGTCCTACGTAGGCTTCTTGGTATGGCGATAAAGGAATTGACGAGTCCTAATTATACGGTCCACGACTAGGCCGGCCCAAGTTCGGCAAGTGATTCAACCGGCTCCTGAAAATTTTTAGGTTGTTCATTATTACTTTCCTACTAATAATGAGTTTGATAATCTAGCTCTATAAATAGGGATCAACCTCTTATATCAAAGGGACGGTCTATTCACCCAACTATATATTTCTTTTACGAATACTCTTACTGACTTAGGCATCGGAGAGTCTACCATCGGGAGACTCCGAGGCCCTCTTTTGCAGGTTTTAGGATTTGGTCAAGAATGTTGTGATTTGTAGCTTCTAACTTTTTGGTCAGGAAACAGCAAGTATGACTATTAGGGGGATGTGAGGACATCATAACAGCTTATGTACTTCGTCAGATGTTCATCTCTTGTTAATTTTCTTTTTTTATCATTTGACTATCGTATGTTCATTTGTTTTTTATCATTAACTCATCAGTACTCTTAGAAATTCTTCCAGTATTTATGATCATAAAATGACGATTTGATGCAAACAAAGACATGTTTGCTGATAAAGTGGAAAAAAAGCATTTGATGTGCTAGAAGTGAGGGGTTTAACATGGTGGTTTTTGTAAAGATTTGTATTCGATTATGGTGAACAATGACATGGTAGCTAATAAGGAATTTCTTGTGTGCACGAATGCATTTCAAGCTTTTATGTCCCTCAACAATGTCGCGATGTTGATTAATCATTAGAAAGGACAACTCAAGCCTCAATGGACTCATGAAACTTGGTCAATCTCAATCTTATTCTCATTCAAAACTTTGCTCATTGATCGTTGCTCCTATTTAGTAATAACTCATTCCGTCAATTTCCTGTCTTCAAAGTTTGTCTTTCTCCACCAGAATTTGATCAAGTGTAGAAAACTATTTCTCACACCTTAAAGACGGACCAGATCAAGTGTAGAACTCATAGATGTGATTATCATGTCTTCCTCCTCAAACACACTGATTGTGCAAAACAGTACTTCTTTTAGAAGTCTGCAACCAACAGACCCTTACATGTACAAAGATATAAAAAAGCCATGAAAAACTGCTTTAGATTTCATTGTCACACACACAAATACTAACTTAAAAAGGTGGCCAAGTCACAGAGATACCGAAAAAACACGATATCGCAAGGGTGCGACCTCCTTCGGCTTAATTTGCTTCACTCTCCGTCTTGATCAGCATCTTGTTTCCTCTCAACTCTCTGAAAAAGTAGCTACGTAATGGTTGACGTGATCGTTCTGCAAAAAGCAACAAGGTCACCAAATTACATCTCAAGACTCTTAATATGCACTTAGAAACACACTGATCACGTCTTTCCGCTTGCCAATATCGATCACAGATAATCACCAAATTGAAGGTACTTAATTTTGCAGAGACAATACTGCCTCTCTTAAGCTATCCACTTAAAACTCTGACAACAAACATTTATCCCAAAAAAAATACAAAAAAAAAAAATAAAAATAAAAAAGGCCAGAAAACAGCTGCTTAATGTTTAGCAATCGAACTATTGATATTGCGAAACGGAAAAGATGTGATCACCGTGTCAAAAAATTATGTTTGGACTTACCAGTTCCTTCCGTTGGCGACACTTACACTGAAGTTTGAACAATGACGTTGAGATCCCCATTTCCCCAATCCCTCTGCTTTGCCTGAATTTGCTTTGTGGAATCAACGGCTTGCACACAGTTAGTTACCTTCATAACCTCTAGAGTTGGAATTTCATCAAAACATGAAGGCAATTCCTTTAGTTTCTCGCATCTCTCCAATACCAATTCCCGAAGACATGGAAAAACATCATCCGAGGAATTAGTCCACCGGACTAAATCCAAGCCTGCTAATCTCAGAAATCTGAGTTTGGGAAATGTCCCTTCTTTCACATCCCAATTTTCGCCGGAGAATGCATCCGCGAGCAGCTTGAGAGCCTCGAGGTTGGGTAATTTATCAACTGCTGAAATTTTGCTCCAGGGGAAGCGCAACCTTGACAGAGTTAGCTTCTTCAGATTACGAGGAAACTGAAAGTTGAAGTTGAACGATTCCAGGTGGGATGCTATGGTGAGTGATTCGAGTTGAGTCATAAAATCAAGTGCTAGAATCTCGCAGCCAGCGGTACTGCTCGATTTTAAGCCGCGACAACTGTATTTAAGCCTGCGGATATTGGGGAATTTCCTCATCACCTCCAACATTATTCGACCACTGCGAAACATTGCACTGGAAATTGTGTGTACATTCGGGAGCTGCTCCGAGTGTTGCTGGAGATGTTGTTTGTTCGGCAACACCCAATAAGCAAACTGTGCGCCAACCCGGAGGTGCTTTAAATTCTTCATACTCCAGAAGGTATGGGGAAGCAAAAGTTGTCCAAGTGTTTGGATAATGAAGGTCTCCAGATTTGAGAGGTTTGCAATGGAGGATGGGATGACAAGTCCAATACTTTGAATTTTCAAGGCCAAATACCTCAAGTGAACAAGTGACTCTATTACCTCCTCTGGGAACAAGGGGCCTGCATTGACTCTCTCCAAGTCCAGAACAATTAAGAGTTTGGATTGCTTAAACCTGCACAGCATACTGTACCAATGTCGCGGATAGAAAAAACCGAGGTGGGCAACCATGAACAGCGCTCGCAAGCGAGGACAAATCAGTCTTGACTTGGCAAAAAAATCCTCTCCTTTCTTGAACTCAAGATACATCCGGTGTAAAGTGCTTGGATCTACGGAACAAGTACCAAGTTCGCACCCGCGCAAGTGATGCAGAAAATGTTCTTCATTGCATTTTTCCACGCAGAACTCATGTAGCAGGTCGTGAATCATGCAAGATTTTGCTGCACCTCTGGATCCTCTATTAACAACCATGACTAGATTTCTTTCCATTAATTCCCTCATACAGCTCTCTGCAATATCCTCTGCGCACTCTATCCCGTTTTCTTCCACGATTCCTTCTGCCATCCACAACCACAATAATTTCCGGACAGGAACCTGTTTGTTCTCTGGAAATGCTCCAAAGTAGAGAAAGCACTGCTTCAGTTGACCCGGCAAGTGAGAATAGCTCAGCTCTATTGTCGCCCGACATTTTTCTATGATGGACAGAGTACCTTTCTTCAATTTTTCTTCAACTATCCCCCAAGCATCTGGCTCCATATTTGAAAGAAGTCCGGCCAGAACTGAAATCATGAGTGGCAATCCATTGCATTTGTGTGCAATTGCCTTCCCCTGCCGTGTGAGTAGTTCAGGAGGGTAACCTGTTCTGAGACATATCTTCTTCTGCATTACCTCCCAACTCTCATCCTCATTGAGAAAACGAAGACTATAAGGTTCTCTGTCTGGTTTGATCTCTGAGGCCACAATATGATGTCGGCTTGTCAACATAATCCTGCTTCCATTAGCATCATCTGGGAATGAAGTTCTCAAGGTATCCCATGTTTTAGAGTCCCAAACATCATCCAAGATGATAAGATACCTTCGGCCCTTCAAATACTTGCGGACCACATTGGCCAAATCATCTTCGGTACTCTCTTGTGAACATTTCGCTGCAAAATCATAATCCAGGCCACTCAAAATCTGAAGCAACAAACTTCTCCGGTCATACGCTTGAGATACAAAGCCCCACGAACGAAGCCAAAAGTGACTGGCGATGGAGGGATCAGTGAAGACTTTCTTTGCAAAAGTTGTTTTGCCTATTCCAGGCATTCCCACGATGGAAACGATGTCTAGCCGTTTTGTTCCTCCGATGAGGCGATCAATTATCCCTGTTACCTCATCATCCAAACCCACCATACCAATACCATCATTCAAAAGTGAGAGCTGATCAGCTGCCGATGGGATCTTACTGCAAGTTTCAGCAACTCCAGAGAGTTGGTTCTGGGTCTGAAAAATCGCCCCGGTCTCAGCAGCCGCCACAGTACTCTGCAGATAGATTCTCACAGCCTCCTTGATCCTTTCTATCCGGTTATTAAGCCTCTTAATAATAAAACTGATGAAAGCATTTCCAACAGCTAATGAATCCAGGGCATAATTTGTCTCATAAAGTGCCGCAGCAATACGACTCCGAATAGCTTGAAACTTCCCGTTGTTGTCGAACCACAGCATGACCACAGAAGATCTCAAATATGTAAGATCATCATGGAGAGTTTGAATTTCAGCCTTCATTGAATCAGCATCGTGGGTGCCAACTAACTTCATTTTCCCTAGGACAGAATCGATAAAACACAACAGGTTGGTCTGAGAGAAGTCGGAAGCTAAGGATAGTGGATGTTTCTGAGCGTCTTCTTGGACCGCCTGGATAAGTTTGATTAAATTTTTCTGTAAATTTGAAAACAGGATCTCCAATCTCGTTACCAAGCTTGATTTTCCTTCTTCTTTCTCGTGAAGATGGATAACTGCAATCCCTGCGTCACAGATGACCAGACCAATAAGGACATGGATTTTGTCATCCAGTTCATCAAACTTACTCGGGCACTCTGTCATGATGTTTGTTAAGAAAGTTAGCCCCCCATGGAGTTTATGCATTTCAGGTTTGAAAACGAGCCTATGACCACCAGTACAATGGGATAAAAGCTTCCAAAGAAGATCCAGAAGAGAATCAACAAAGTTGCGCAAAATAAGTCTCTGGGTAACTGGAGTGAAATGGTGGTGGGATATTGGAAGTGACAATTTTGAAGCTTGCAGGATTCCAACAAAAATCTTACATGAGGGCTGCTGGTTTCTCATTCTTCTGCTGGTGGTAGGTAGGGAAATATGGTCATCAAAGTCTTGAATGAACGAAAGCATGAATGTTTGACGCGCACCTTCGGCGAGGAAGGCCTGAATGAAAGCCAACAAAGGTTGCATTTGCCTGATGGAAAGTCCTCGAGCTCTCGCAAAAGAGAACAAGTTGTTCAAGAATCTTGCATTCTCAGCAATACCATCGTCCACGAAATCATGAGACACCATTGCAAACCTTGGGGAACCTAAAGTGGGTAAAATGGAGTACGGGATCCTCTCAGTTAGTTGATGCTTCTTCAAAATCTTAGGTAAGAAAATCTGCTTGAAGCAAACAGATGAATTTGAATGAACCACCGCACTGGCGATTTCACCGCACCAACAATATAATCCCGTTAGCAAATAAGAATCGAGGAAGGTTAGAAGTGGCTCTGCAACTTGTAGATTCTGAACAAGGGAATCAATGGTTAGGCTGAGTTCACAATGGGATGCACCATTTGGGATGACAAAGAATTGGGAGTCTTCCGATCTCATTGCCTGAGATACTGATGAAGATGCATTCGAGAAAACCAGGTAGAGTTCCCTCATCTTTTGCCTGAATGGAGGACCACTGATGCAGCTAATGAATCCAGAAATCGCGGTATGAAGATAATCCCATGTCATCATATTATGATCACTGTCCTCATTGCCCCGCCTCCTCAGATCATTACACAAACCGGAGATCCGGGACAAATGATGTTCAACAGTGTCCTCAATGCTGAGTAAGGTAGATTCACAGCGCTGATCAACTTTCCCCCACATCCTCCCACACACACAAAATGTTGTCACACATCTCAGCCTTAATTTCAAAAGCCTTAAATCATTTCTAAGGCACCTAATGTCAGGGGATTCTCCCTCGGGAAGTTGGGAGGCTAAGGATTCCACAATGACCAAGGCGGCCTCAACAACGTTCTTCACGGCCATATCAATCTAAGACCTAGGAACGACTCCTGTTAGAACTTTAGAAACAAAAACAAATATTTAGGAAACTCCGGTCCTCCTTAATTGCTAACTATAAGGAAAGATGCATGACAGAAATCGAAAGACTAAAGCTAGGCAGGACCCAAGTGTCATCAATCTGCGTACCATACAAACTATATATATTCGAAGAATTTATGAAAAAGGCTGCACCTGTTTTATCCAGGATTTTATAAAAAAGTTCAGATGGGTTGATCAAACATATGAATAATTCCCCACACAATATAGTTCTTGATCTTATTCATTCTGTTCTTATTTATTAATATAGGAATAAACTTCGGTATGTGTAATCTGTGAGCAAAATCTACCCATATTATAAGAATATATATGCCCAATTAAGTTTATTCAAACTGTCAAAATAGAAGGTGACTTCAAGCATGCTTAAAGATTCCAAAAAGTCCTGGAAACAAAAATGAGTGACAAATTTAAAAATGAAATATTTACCTCCAGATTTTTACTGCATATACGCCTAACTTCGTGAAATGACGACGCCCCTTGATGATTTAAGATTTAAGACCCAATCACTTGCAAAAATGTTTCCTTCATTTGCTACGCTGGAAGATCTTGAGCTGGATGGTACACTTCTCAACTCGAATATTCAGATTCTTCTTCTTATTATTATTATCATTCATGTTATTCATTTTTACTTTTCGTTTTTTCTTTCCGGGGTGCGGGGAAGCAGTGTTATAGCAACAAAGCAAATGCAATCTTATACTGTATGAGAGCGATGCATAATGCTATGTATGCAAAACTTGACCAACACATCACCGAATTAAGAAGTTAAAATATTGAATCAATATTCATCAATGACTCTTTTTTTCCCCCTCTTTGGCTTTTTAAAAGAGAACTTAGTGGTACTTTTAATTCGATCAAAAGAAAAAAAAAAAAAAAAAAAAGGATTAGAGAACCTAGTGGTCTCTCTATTATATATCTAAAAGAAGACCAAACAAGAATAAAAAGACGTATGAAAACGTAGAAAAGCTGTTGACTTTTTAATGGGAGAAGTAGATAGAATTGTGAAGGTTAGATTGTTCTAGGATCATGGTCCGATGTTCAAATTTTACCTATCAAGATTAAAAGTAAAATCTCAAACTAGTCAATAAATTTTAGAATATAATTAAAAAGTATTAGTAAAGCTCCAACTGGTCCAAAATATATTCATTCAAAACTGTGACAATTACAGCAACTGCATGTAATGCACGTAGTAGACCAACTATCCTTGATCTGGAACATGCACCATATATGTTACTGACGTTTTTTCTTAACTTCTGAATGAAACTTTACTTGAAGAAATTAGACCTAAATTATCAATATTATGAAAAAAAAAATGAAATGTCTTTAAGTGTGGGTACGAATTAATCGGTCACTGAAATAAGTTGAAAAACAAGTGGCGTACAAGTGAGAGTGAGTGGATTGGATGCCCCCTAGATGAAATAATCCCAGCCATCCCCCACTTTAGAGGAAAAAGAAAAGATATAGAATAAATTATAATCATAGATAAGGGTAGAAGACTTCAGATTCGTCTTTCCTTCACGAAAAAAATAAAGAAAGAAAGAAAAAAAGTTCATGGAAAAGAAACAGAAGGCAACACAAACTCTTGAAAAATTAAAATACTTACTTACTGCTGCAATAATAGCAATATTAAATTGAATCGGTACTATAACCTTTATTACTGAGACTTGCTTACTAAGAAAGCAAAGTTGAAGGCCACAATTAATAACCAGCAGGATGAACTACTATAACATGGTAACTATGGACCGAAAAAGGAATTAATAATAAAAGCAAAAGGCAAAGAAGAGAATTGAGGACGATGGAAAGGGCCGTTTCCTTCTCGGTTTCCATCCATGTAGTACTTGTTTAGGCTATTTAAGATTCTTAGATTAGGAAGACAAGAAAAGCCTCCTATATGTTATTGTTGAAGGAAATTTTTTCTTCGTTTATAATTAATGGAAGTGCAAAAGTAACATACTCCCCTCGTCCCAAAATTATTGTCCAGTTTCAGATTTCACTTTTAGTACAATTTGAACTAAAAATGAAAACCTAAACTGGACAATAATTTTAGGACGGAGGGAGTAAGATTACATCATATTCATGAGATTAGGGCAGAAGGTTTAATAAGGCTGCTAATCAAGGGGTATACATTTCTCCTAATTGCCAAGTTTGACATCCAAATGCGAGGAGGCTGCACCATTGATCTCCGAGCTGAAAGTGTGTTTGTTTGTCGTAAGTCGTAACTCGTAACCATAGATACTCGAATATGATACAAGAATCAGATAAGGCATCAAACTCAAGTCCAGTAGGTCAAAAAAAAAAAAAAAACTAAAGTCCAAATTTGACTGATCCTGTTGGCCCAAGAACTCTTTACGCCATAGTCTTCTATTACCCACAAATTCAAACTTCTTGTGAAACCGCGGAAGTAGCTTATGCACGGACCGTCATCCAAAACCCCTAAACTTACTTCTTAAAAAATGGTAGTTATAGGTCGTCAATTCGTCATAATCATTATCATCATCTGGTGGTGTAGGTTGCGGAGATTCATCATCATCAAATCACTGGGTGCAATTTTGAGGATGTGCGGGAGTATTAACTTAAATGAAAATCAAAACTGGACAATAATTTGGAGGTTGAGAGATTCGGAGTGCTGAATCAGTTAGGTCTAGACGAAAAATTTGGAAAAAAAGCTAACAATATGTGCTAAATTAAATCAATGATATTCAGCGAATGAGAAATTAATTCGGTGGTAAAACCACCCTTGTCCTAAGAGGTATGAGTTCAATGTTCCATTCTAACAAAAAGTGAGGGATTGACTCTCACTTTGTCTATTGGCACTTCTAAGGACTTGTTATGGCTAACTCACTAATTAACTCCTAATTTTATACCCGAGCTTGTCAACCCAGACTTGCCTAGGTTTACCTCTTGGTTATTGCAGCGGGCGTGGGTTTACCCATCTTTGGTGGGTTCCCAGCGTTACTAAAAAAAAAAAATCAATCATATTCAGGAATCAAACTAAAGTAAAAATCAATGAGTTGGACTAATAAAGATGTATCTGATCCATCCATCGCATTTCCCCGGATGCTATAATCCCTGAAGTTCCTCCACTCCTCGAATAGCTTCCATGTTCAGCCACATCACCTGCCAGAAAGTTCACAAAAACAAAAGGGGCGTCAAAATGAATGCCATCCATCCATCGGAATCGAGGAAGAACATCATATGTGTATATATATATATATATATATATATATATATATATATATAATGTTGATTGTTACAAGCATAAAACTAGGTCAAAGTTGAATCAAAATTGAGAGATACCAAGGTTAGAGGGGTGTATGAAACAAAGTCTCGAAATAACCCAAGTCTTCTTCCTCCTGCCCTAATTGCATAAGTACTGTATCTCCCCAGGGAACAACAGGCAGTTCCAATAAAACACGATATGATTCCAGCACCTGAAACACCCAAAAGAAACCATTGACGTAATATTAGCTTCAAGGATCATTAGTTAGTTAATCTTTAAAAGACAAAAAAAAAACACCCAACCAGAAATTAAGAACTACCGAATGTTGCTGCAATGTTGCCCAAACCAACAGAGTCCCTTAAATAGCTGTAACTCCGATGATATGATGGGAATAAACCCATGTTGAACCCCATATTCTTCATCACGTAGGGCATAGAATTCTTCCACAATACCAATGGCCCTCCAGTTCTTCTTGCTCTACGATATTGAGCCAAAAGCAAGCTTCTCAATTTAGGAGGATTTGGCTCTAATAATTGACTCGCCAGGTGCACTACACAAAGTGGATATGAAATCAAGGATGCAATCCCACCAGAAATCATCCCCAAGTGAGCTTCTTGGTACAGCGATAACGGAATCCCTCCGTTCGCTGCTTTTACCTTCTTGGTCAGAAAACTGCAGAGAAAATGAGAAACACACCAAGATGTTGTTGAACAACCGTCATTAATTTGGATTTCTCTGTTAGACACATACTTGTAGGAACTAGGAAGGAGTTCTTAATTGATAAATGGACTGAGGCTGTTCTAATTAATCCTTCAATGCAATTGATTTAACAACCATTTAGAGAGTACAAGGCAATAGATTCTCCTAGCTAGTTGATTAGTACATATCAACTATCAAATCAACTATACGACTCTGTTAGATAAATTCAACACTCTAGACTTCAGTACAAACGGCGAAAAACATTGTATTTTTTTTTTTAAAAAGGTTTATTTAATTCCATATACGGTAACTTGGAAAAATACAGGGCTCAAATTAATCAGAAAAAAGAAGGGGACTCACTCAAATGATCCAAATTGTGCCGTCGTATAAGTGGCTTGAAGGAGTAAGTAAGCTGGCATCCGCTGCTCAATCATCAGAGTGTTAATCCAGAATGGATGTTAGTAGATGGAATTAGTCCCAAAGTGATTTGTTCAACAAAAACGACAATAATTAATTTGAGACGGAGAGAGTAATCAGTAATGTACAAAAATTAATAGTACTATTATTTACATTAGTCATTTCTAAGACTAGAAACCTTATAGTAACAATAATCAAGAATGAGAAAGAAAGAAAAATGCAGATGATGAAGATCTAATCGAGACCAAGAAAAAGTGGGGAAAAAAGAAAGCGCAAACAACCTTATACAGTAGCCAGTAGAAAGTGAATGATTACCTTTTGAACTGTGGTAAATGAAGCCTTGATCACCTGTGCATGTTGGCCAGGATTAATGAATTTGCGATTAAAATCCAGCGTTTTCTTCCTAAACCAGTGTGCACCAACTATTTGAAGACCACTTAACTGCCCTGCCAGGAATCCATTAACAAAAGGCTTCACATTTGGCCAAATCGTATTAGTATTTCCTCCATAAAACCCATCAGGATTCTTCCCTCTGCTTCCAGCAGGAGTATAAGAAGGAGGGCTCTCTTCCATTTGTTAGCACATAATTGTTTTTTTTTTTTTTTTTCTTTTTGGTGTTGGATGGCTTTTGGTAATTATAATTTTGTATTCTCTTAATTTCACTAGAAACAAATGTATTCAACCAACCAACCGGCTTGACGAAGAAAGTGGTTAAGTAATATGCTTACTAGGGAGAGGAGGATCCACTGCATGATTTGTAGTTTCGTTTGATCATGATGCCATCATGCTCGTGTTCATACGTTTAAGGTTTCAACCTTTCCGTACGTTGTGCAGTTTTAGCAGCTGGCAATTTTACACATTATGGTTACGTATTAACATACTAGTATCTTTCTTCTTTTTTTTCCAAGTATACAAAGAACAAAAAAATGAGGCTTTAACATGTAATAAATAGTATCAAACTAATACACCAATTCAGTTAATGAGCAACAAAAAAATCATCATGAGCAAAATAAAACTACATCATGAGCAATGGCTTTGTTTGGTTTCTTTTTTTAGTTGTGTTTTTTAAGAATAATTTAATAATAATTGTCGCATCCTAACATACTTTTTTTACATTTCTCACACACTTTTTACTTTTTTTAATAGAAAAATACATATGAAAGCACACACTAAAACCGATTCAAATATAAATAGTAAGGCCTTTCCCTTGTCAAAGACACTACTTCTCTTAAGCGAATAGATTAGTTCAATCATTCCTTCTTAGTGTGTACAAAAATTCCATATCCTATTTTTACGAAACAACCGCCGTGGTTCAAGAGACATTTTACATTCATCCAACTTTTTAAAAAATAAAATGTAATGTAAAATGAGCATTTTGAGAAAATGACCCAACAATTTTACAGGCTTCACTCCATCAATCTTTACAAACTGTTTTTTCATGAACCTTAGAAAAAGGCCCAACGTAGAGGGATAGGCCCAAAACTTGCAAAAGCCATCCCGTCATCTCCATTTTAGTCGGACGGATCACAGCGGTAAAAGCTTCTGGAGTAAGACAACGAGCATAGATATAGATTTTCATTTTCCCCGTTCAAATTGGCGGGAGATTTATAGGAAATTGAAAGGCGGGGGAAAAACCAGACCCTTTCTCTCTCTAACTCCGAGCAAAATCCAGTCTCCGTTGGTTCATATGGAGGAGGAAATCGTTACTCGGCGTTCGGTAAGTTCGGTTAAGTTACTTCCGTATGTTTCATGGCTTGTCATCTTGACCTAATTTTGTTGCTGGTTGACTTTACGAGTAGAAACGAGCTAGGGCTCAAACTGGGGTCAACGAGGAGCAAGCTCCGGCGAAGCCACGGGCTAAGGGGGCGAATGCTACTCAAGGTTTGAACGAGGATGAGGAAGAAGAGGATGAAGTGGAGAGAGAGGAATCGTCAGATGACTTTGAAGATTCTCGCCCGAGAGCTAAACGGAATAAGCTTACTGATGGTGCTTCTGCATCGGCCGGGAAGATAAATTTGCGGATGATTGGTATAATTTATTAGTCTATGGTCATGATTGTAGGGTCAATATTATTGACCAAGAATTTGATAATTTTTTTTTTTGTTTTTGTTTAAAATAATTTCGTTATAGGTAATAAATTAGTTAATCCTTAGAATCTGAACTTGTAGTGCTTTGAACGTTAGATTGGTCTTCTAGATGCTACATTAACCATTTGTATCTGATTTTTTCTAGCAATGAGTTTGAGGACTAACTGATTTGTCTGTTTTTTATACCCTAATTCAGTTCTGAAATAGTTGAAATTAGGTCAAGTGTATTTTGTTTTGTTTTCTTCTTTAATGTACTACTTACTAAACCAGTCCAAAAATTGTTATTGTTTGTTTACTGATAATTTTGTATAGTATCCATCTTGTTCCCCCGTTTTCTGTCTGCTGTAACTTAGGGTTCTGAATTGCAGAGGTTGTTAAAAAGAATGGTAAACAAATCCCACAAGTGGTCAAGCGCTGGGTTGAAAGATATGAGAAGGACCCAAAATCTGCAACTGTTGAACTTCTAGCATTGCTCTTTGAGGTGATTTGGTGTATTGTAGTACTTCATTTGAGCTTGTTGTGGTCATCATCTTCTTCTCTGTCCTTCTTTTTCTTTCCTCCTTTTTTTTTTCTTTTTCTTTTTTTCTTTTTGTTTTGTTTTGTTTTTTTTTTTTTTTGGGTTTTTGTGGGTGCCGTCGCGGGAGGAGGGAAGTTTTGGTAAGAGTTTGATATTTCCAGTTGATGATTAGAGCTGAAATTATGACAATGCAGGCATGTGGAGCCAAGTATAGTATTCAAGAAGAACTCTTGGAAGAGACTGACGTTGACGATGTAGTGGTGGCTCTTGTTAATTTGGCCAAAAGAGTATCCTTCTCTGTCGTTCTTTATATATTGTATGTTGTCCCAACACTGATCCCAATTCTTGTACACTCTCAGTTTTCCTTACATTCATGAAATCTTAGGGTGAAGTTGAAGATTATCAAAGTTCAAAGAAGGAATTCAAAATTTTCAAGGAAAATCTCATCTCCTTATGGGACAATTTAGTTATTGAGTGTCAAAATGGACATCTATTTGACCAGGTCTTGTTTGACAAATGCATGGACTACATAATTGCATTATCTTGGTAAGTTTTTTCTGACTTTCGAAAATTCATAATTATTGTGTACAGTTAAGTTCTCTAATCTATTTCATTCTTATGTCTTTGGATTATTCTAGTACTCCTCCAAGAATTTATCGCCAGATTGCTTCACTTATGGGGCTTCAGCTTGTCACATCGTTCATAAATGTTGCAAAAATGCTTAGCGCACAGCGGGAAACTACTCAGAGGCAGCTAAATGTTGAAAAGAAAAAAAAACCCGACGGACCTCGTGTGGAGTCGCTTAATAAGAGGCTATCCATCACACATGAAAGGATAACTATGATTGAAGAGATGATGCGCAAACTGTTCACTGGGTATTATTTACCTTTATGTGATGTGTTATTCTTTAGTTCTGACTTTTTAGATCTCTTTTCTCAGAAGATAAGTTCGCATTGACTGAAATTCATGGAAGAGTTTAACCTTAAATTAGTGAAAGTAAAGATCATAAAATTAACCACTGTTTTGATTTTTCCTAATCGTGGAGGAAAGTCTTTCTCCTCTGCTCAATTCGGTGAACAAAGTACAATAAAGGACTTTGCTATAGATTGCCCATTTTGTTAAATTACTTGAGCGTACTTGATGGGATAGACTGACAGAATTGAAAGCTAATGAGAGAGGCAAACCCTTGCTGTAGGGATTTAAGAAAGATAGAGTCTTTGAAAGCTGCAAAAGCTTAATATTATAGAAATCAGAAAACATCCAACAAATCCACAGAACTTCTCCTTTTATAGAGCTGTCTGAATTATTCCTTAAGCTACTAGGATTACTAATCACCTAGTATTAATGGGTCTAAAGAACGTAATATCAGACAGGAAAATAAAATACAAATGAAACTTAGTTCTTCGAAGATTCGAGTTAGTTCCTAAAATCTAGTTTAAAGTTATTTCTTGAACTTTTCCGCACCAATATATCAGAAAGCTTTGTTTGGTTTTACTTTTCTCTCGGGATACTCCTTCTGTGAAATGCTACAAGTTTTGGATGCAGGAGCGGGAAAGAGAAAAGATTGTTTTAGGGAAAAATATTAAAGTAATGTGAGGAAATCTTGGAAGCTTTTATTTATTTTCTCCAAAATTTGATTTTAAAGGAAATGGCATTATTTCGATGCGTTGCGTTTTATTGAAACTTTGGACAATATTTGAAAAGCAGAACCAACTATAGCCTAGTTGGCAGTTCATTTGGTTGGAGTACTAATTTCCCTGCATTTGGTTTCTGTCTCTGGTTTCCACAGTTGAGCTCAATATAAGCTCCTTTTGTGCCTAAATGCAAGTTCTGACTGTTTCGAATGGCGTCTCCCTTTCTGCTTTCCTTAAATGTGTCATTAGTTTGACATATATATTGAAACAACTGTTTATTTTGGTCAATTACTGTAGATGAGAGAAATGTATCTTGAATTTCTGTTTCTGTATTCTTCCATGTTTTATTCTCTTAGTATTGCGACGTGTTATTTCCATAGGTTGTTCGTGCATCGCTACAGGGATACAGATCCTGATATCCGAATGTCTTGCATTCAATCTCTGGGTGTTTGGATTTTGTCATATCCTTCTCTGTTCCTTCAGGATTTGTATTTGAAATATCTTGGGTGGACATTGAATGACAAAGTAAGCTGTTACTCTAGATGAAGCTTAACAAAGTTTTTCCCGGTGGTAAAAATTTGTGGAGTATAATGAACTAATCTTTGTCTGTTATAATGTTTGCATATGGAGAGTGCTGGTGTTAGGAAAGCATCTGTCCAAGCGCTTCAAAATCTATATGAAGTGGATGACAATGTGCCCTCTCTTGGCCTATTTACAGAAAGATTCTACAAGCGGATGCTTGAACTTGCTGATGATATCGACATCTCTGTGGCAGTATGTGCTATAGGGCTTGTGAAACAACTGTTGAGGTATTTTTGGATATAGTATGTTGTATTTTATCATTTGTAACGCAGTGTTTGTAAGTTGAGTGATTTCTTTTGTCCTCTGCAGACATCAGCTTGTTCCTGACGAAGAATTAGGTTCTTTATATGACTTGTTAATAGATGATCCTCCAGAGATCAGGCGTGCCATTGGGGCCTTAGTGTATGATCATTTAATAGCTCAAAAGTTCAACAGTTCTCAATCAACAGGTTTTTCCAACTCTGTTTTGCAACTTCAGCTTCAACCACATTTATTCTAATATCGTATTGACCCAAATTATTTTGTAGGTGGTACTGATGATTCCTCGAAGGTTTATCTTGGTAGAATGTTGCAGATACTGCATGAATTTGCAACAGATCAAATGCTTAGTATATACGTTATTGATGATGTGTGGGAGTACATGGGTGCCATGAAAGTAAGTTCATCGTATTAGATATGATTTGCTTTGTTGCATGTTTGTTTAAGCGCTTATCCAAAGATTACTTGAATTATGAATTTTTTTTTCTTTTTTTTTTTTTGGGGGTGGTTTAAGGTGAAGAGTAGCGTTCTTGTGTCAGTTTGTGAGCCAATGTCTTTATTAAGAAATATTGAAAAGAGCCTGGATGGATAAGATATTCATTAATAGCCAAAAATGTGATCCTCAATTCAATGATCCGGTATAGTGAATTGACAGTGACCAATTTTAGGGACACCAGCCGGCAAGACATAAATTCTTGACAAGTATACTAGGCAGTGATGAGTAAATTCTGGAGAGCTGAGAAAGTTGTGCTAAACCTTGATGATTTTGGAGCTTTAATCTGTGATCGTGAATTTTTTTTTCTCCTTCTGTTTTTAACAACAGAATTTCTTGAGTGCAAATCTAGTATCTGAACAAGCTTTATTCTCCCTTTAAAACACTAATCCCTCTGTTTACAAGCAAGCCCTGATACCGACCCCTCAATGACTATACATGTGGCCCATGTCATGAAATTTGGATATATTTAATTCTGATTATTCACTGTAATGCGCCTCCTTTCTTTTTGTCTGGGCTTGGTACCATCCAAAACATTCTTCAAATAGTCAGCCTCCTGTGGCACCTGAATTAATTGTTTTTTGCCCAATTCCTCAAATGATTTTGGGGAGGGCTGAATTGCAAGGTTTGATATGTTGGTGATATCGTTTCATCTATATTTTGTTACAGGACTGGAAATGTATCATTTCTATGCTTTTGGATAACAATCCATCCACTGAACTCAGTAATGTTGATGCCACAAGCATGATACGACTCATGTGCTCATCTATCAAAAAGGCAGTGGGAGAAAGGATCGTGCCTGCTTCCGATAATAGAAAGCCGTATCATACTAAAGCTCAAAGAGTGAGTTTCTTCTTAAATTAATTCCATGAACTGTAGTTACTGATAATTGATGACTCGTCATTTTGTGTATGTAGGCATTCAACTATGTCGTAGATATCTTTAGTTAGAAAGACATAAGTTTCTGCCATATGATAATTCTATTACCTTGTATTTTTTTAATACCAAGTAATGTGAATACATAAATATTGTTCCATCTATCTATATGATAACACGAAGAATTTGCCTGAAGTTTGCATTGAAATGTGGTATACAAAGTTGTTCTGTTAGAAGTTTCTGAAGCTTCATTCTACGTTAATAAATGTTTATTCAGATACAGGTTGGCAAATGCCCAGTTTTTCCCCCTTTCTGCGTTAAACCTGGAGTATATCTTTTATAGGATTGATTGATGCGTCTTAGGCTTCCATAATCACTTAGTTTAGGTGCGCTGTGAGAGTAAACTTCCCTGTTGACCATTTCTTAATGTCATGCTATGAATCAGCTTAGTACTGATTGGATCTTAAGAATGGCAGTGAGCAAATGAGACAAAAATAATTAAAAAGAAGGGAATATTAAATGGCTTTGTTGGTTTGCTACAGTTGAAATCCGGCATACCTTAACTGTTTAGATCTGCCTTGAACTAACCATCTGAATTCATCAATCCATATTCTGTGGAATATACTAATAACTGCAATTATTTGTAAATTCCTCGGCCATAAACTTCTGAAGAAAAGAAAAAGAAGGTGAAAGAAGCTGCTAAAAATCTTATTCCATTTTTCTCTCTTGATATCACAGGAATTGTTTGACAAAGACAGGCTTGATATTACCGTTGCTTTGATGAAGAACTACCCTCTGCTTTTACGTAAATTCATGGCTGACAAGGAAAAAGTGCCATATCTGGTTGAAGTCATTGTTTATATGAATCTTCAACTTTATGCTCAAAAGAAAGAACAGCAGGTGGGTCAAAAATACATTTCTCCATACCTAGTTAAGGCCACAATTTTCATGTTAACTTCAACTCTTCACTTTTGATGTCAGAGGTTCAAGAGTGCTCTCAAGCTTATTAGAGAAGCTTTCTTTAAGCATGGCGATAAGGATACTCTGAGATCATGTGTGAAAGCTTTTAGCTTCTGTGCTACTGAGAGTCCAGGAGAATTACAAGATTTTGCCCAAAATCAGTTGAAGGAGATCTCGGATGAGGTTATTAGCAGACTTAAATCATCAATTAGAGAAATTGAGGTAAATTATTGCAATAAGAAATCACTGCATTTCTAATTCAGGGCATTTATGAAAAGTTAGGTTTTACTTCTCTGCAGGATGGTGATGATGAATATTCATTTCTCATAAATTTGAAAAGGCTCTATGAATTTCATCTTTCAAGACCAATTTCTATCGACAGCTTATATGATGAATTCTCCCGTATTCTTCAAGCTTCGAGTAAAATGGATGATGAGGTTAATTTGTCAATATTCATTGATTCTCTCTCTCACTCCCCCCCCCCCCGCTCCTCCTCCTCCTCTGATGGTGTTCTTTTTTTTTTCCAGGTGATCTGTTTCATTCTTCTAAATATGTTTATGCATGTTACCTGGACCCTGGAAGCTACCACACACAGTGAAACGGTTTCTGAGGCATCATTATCTTCACTCTTATTGAAACGGGATACATTGTTTTTACATCTTGAACACTTCCTGGTCTCTAATCCTGAATTTCAAGAAGAGGGTAAACCTGGAAAGATATTAGCATGCAGGGTAAGGACTCTTCCTGACAGCATTTGTGTATGCTGAATTATTTTCTATGGGCAGTTGTCTTTTCTGGAACGAATTTATGTATTTGTCAGAGTTTCTGTGGGCTGATATGTTTTATGTTATTTTTCTTCAAGGTATGTATTCTACTTGCAGAACTCTGGTACTTATTCAGAAAGAAAGAGTTTGCTTCAACGAAACTGGAAGATCTGGGATTTTGCCCTCTTGAACCCACTATTGAAAAGTTTTGGAAAACTTGTGAGCAGCTCCTCCAAATTTCAGGTGGTTATGGCTCTATACTTTCCACTACAATACTTGTTTTATGAAAATGCTGGAAAATTTTTAATCAAATCTTTTGTATCGTGATTTAGGTCAAATAATTCTCCATTAAGTTTCTAGCACCTTAATGGAGAGGCATCTTGAAACATGTTACAGACGAGACAGAAAATAATTTTGAGTTTTGTGTAATGGTGAATGCATAAGCATGTCTCCGTTCCTTTTACAAACAGCTATATTTCTTCCCCAGTTCTTTTATTTTCTTTCGGGTAGATGACTTATGTGTTGTCTGTTTTCGCAGTGTATGTTGCCTTGTCTTTTTTTCTGAATTATTTCTTTCCGTGTTGTATTGTTTTACTGAATATGCTAGGTCCAAGGTTATCTTCAATTCTTTCACATAAGCCATCAGTTTGAATGCTTTATTATGGACTTTGAGCACCTCGTTTATTGTATTCCTTGTTAACTAGTGTGTACCAATTGCCTGGTTCTTAACTTTTTTGGGTCGGTTTTAAATAGTTTGTGTGGTTTTATTGGTCTGTAACTGAAATTTTTTAACTGTGACATTCCATGAGATCCTTGTTTGATGTTTCTACTATCCTGGTTTAGGTTAAAAAAACCGAGTGTGGATTACGAATGTCGTGATATAATACAACAAATAATGTCTCATTTCTGTTTGGTTTGGACATCAGGGGGTATTTGGTTTGGACATCAGGAGACGACAGTGAAAAGCTTTAGATCACTTTTGTGAATCTGCCTTTCTATTGTCATAACATGCGATAGCAATATTATTTCGTGAATCTGTTTAGCAGTATCCGGTTTCTTACTTTTGTCATCCTGTAAGTTTTTAAAGCATCATCTTTCTGGCATCTTGAAACATCTTACAGACGAGACAGAAGATGATGATGTCAACAGAGAATATGTTGAGGAGACCAATCGCGATGCTGTCATGATTGCTGCTGCAAAACTGGTTTATATCGGTGCAGTTCCTGAGGTCAATTACAGCTACAACTACCTCAAAGCTTGTTGGCAGTTACTTGTGTTTCTTATTTCAGGACCAAGTTGGAATTTTTAATTATCTGCTTTGAGGGTTTCTGATTTTCAGTTAAATGCTTCCATTTTTTTTTCTTTGAATATAAAAGATTCTGATTGTTTAGAGTGGTTGTGCAGAATCATCTTGGTTCAGACATTATCTCCCATTTCGTAAGGCATGGAGCAAGTATCTCTGATATTGTGAAGAATCTGATTACTGCTTTAAAGAAAATTAAGGGAGACCTTTCAGATATTTTAATAGATTCTCTAAAAAAGGTGAGACTTTTTGATTTTCATGGAGAACTATGTTTATCCTGGTGCATGCATGCACAACAATATTGATTGTTCACTTTGGTGCTTAATTGCCTTCCAGGTGCATGCAAGTCCTGATAGGAACTGTAATTATCCAATTTCTAAATTGAAGAGTGTATTGACTTTAATTTTAGCTTGCAACAATAACACACTTTTGGAAGTTTTACTTCTAGTGTTGACAAATGTATGTAATGCTTGAAGAATTTCTGTGCATTAGTTTTTGCTTATTTTAACTGATGATTTACATGCATATTTTGATTTTTGTGAGAATAGGCCTACCAGTCGCATCTGGTTGCGGCTTCTACGAGCATCGATGAATCCTTATCAACCAAGACATTTCATGATTGTAAGAATCTTGCCATTCGACTTTCTGGGCTGTTTGTGGGTGCATCCAGAGACAAGCATAGGTTAGATGAGATTCGTAAGGTTGTAGATGCTTGTATTGATCATGCATTTTCAGATGCTCCAAAGCATCTTTCTTTCTTGGATGGTGCCGTGTTGCCTTTTGTGTCTAAACTGCCCACCACTGCCATTCTTGACGTGTAAGAATTTTGCTGTGTTTTATTAATGAATGATTTGGTAACTGTTAAGGTTACACCTACATGATGCTTGACTTTTTATGAGCAGTCTCGAAAAGGTCCAAAAAAAGACTGATAATATTGACACCGATGAGGACCCCAGCGGCTGGCATCCATATCATGCATTTGTTGACACACTCAATGAGAAGTATGCCAGAAATGACGATTTGCAAGGTGCTGTTACCCCATGTACTGTGTTTCTGCTCAAATTAGTTTATGAAATCCACCAATTTTCTTCTTCCCTTTGGCATACACGTTCAAGATTCATTTCTCCGGAGTAATGGTCAAATCTGTCATCAATGCATGCAGTTACTGGAAATGCTTTTGTTTTGATCTTTCTAGCCGTTTCTGTATTTGGTTTTAAACTGAAGCTAGTGCTATGATTGGTTAGTATCTGAAAAAGTTATTTTTTCCTCTAAAATAGCTTCACTTCTGAAAAGAGATAAAATCAAGGGGGAGCTCTCTGCTAGGGATTTTTAGTATCAGTAAATGATTGATGGCTAGGAAGTTGGATAAATAACTTGTGAAGTTATCCAATGGAAGATGCTAATGTCATGAGCTTCAATGTTTTTTCCAGATGAGAAAGAAGGGACAGCAGTGAAACGACGAGGTCGCCCAAGAAAGAATCAGAACGTACGAGGAAAGAAACTTTTCAATGAGGATAGTTCGAGTGAAGACGACGAAGATTCAATCAGTGAATCTGACCAATTTGCCGAAGGTGAAGAAGAGAAGCAAGAAGACGAAGATGAGGAGGTTCCATTAATACGGTCATTTAAATCGTCTGCCAAGTTAAGGTCACTGAGGGTTTCCAGGGAAGATAATGGAAGTCAAACAAAAAGTGGGGATTCTAATCGAGGTGCAGAAGACTTGGGTGCTTCCAGAACATAAGTACGTAGGATTGTGGTGTACAGTGCATTTTACTTCGAGATAGAATACATGTGTACTGTGTCACAGGATCATATGTTTTTGTGCCATAGGAATTGATCTCCGTGTGTTTCTGTCACGACGGCCACATTTTGTTTATGAATGGGAGAAACTTTGTAGGCATTTTGTCGAATGAAGATAACTAACCTACTTTTTGTTTAAAAATTCTCCTTGACCAGTTAGCTGGCTTGAAAGCCAAAGTGACCTTCAAATCTGCCCTTCCACTTTCTTTAGTGACACTGAAGCTTTTGTCTGGTAAGAGGATGGAGGACCTTCCTGGTTTTTCTTGCTCCTTGTCCGGATGTAAATATGTCGGAGATAGTAGAATAGGATGTTGCCAGTGGTTTACTATAGTTGTTTAATGCTTAATAATGCGTCAGTCAGATCATTGCTGCTCTCTGTTTCATTTGTCCAGTTCAACTTGGATATACTCGACGTGATTTGAAATTTCTTTTGCAAATTCTGTAAGGTCAATAGGTAAACTACTCAACGTGTGATCCTTTCAAAGATATGAAGTCACTCTTTATCATAACTAGCACTCCCTCTGTCAAGATTGTCCAGGATTTTCAAATATGAAATCTCAAGCTGGACAAGTATTCCAGGACGGAATATAATTTAACTTGGCCTATACTGAAACGTCTTGATGACTATTTTGAACATGAAATGGCAAGAACCAAATTCGAAGAGCTAAAATTAATTGGTAAACTAAGATGAAAAATTGAACTCGAAGCTGCAGACAAAACCGTTCTCCCCAAAACATGGACAACACTTCTAATGCAGTGGTGAGAATAACAATTGATACAAGGCAACCCACAGAATACCGTTGTTGACTCAACATGGATAACTTTTACCCATGATTGCAATCAGAACAGGGTGTTAATGTTCAACATGTAGTATATAACTTTTACTAATGATTGCAATCAGAACATGGTTTAAATCACGAATCAGAAATTATCAATAACAGACATGGTGAGAACAAAACTGAGGGCAAAGCGTCTCAATCAGCCAACATGAATGCAAACCTTCGCCCAATTCTCTGAATTGATGACAACAACATCTCGTATGCTAAAAAAAAAAAAAATACACTAATAATTAGAACAAAACTTTATCTCCGTGCAGCAATTCTGAGCATTGGACAGATTATACCCTGAATTTCTTGCAAAGATTGCTGTATTCTTATCTCCTCTTCCACGTCCCTCTTCAAATTCCTAACATGCCTTCTCAACCCATCAGAAGATCTAATGTCCTCGCCTCTCATTTCCACAACTTTTTTAGCTAAACCCATACAAAGTGCTGCATACCTAGGCATTGTCGAATACCTCTGCAAAAACTTCAACAACATCCCAAGCTCCTCCTCTCCAGCGTCCAAATTTGACACGCAAGTCAGCAACTTTCTCCGAGCAATTAATTCCTCCATCACCGCCATAACATTCTCAGGGTTCTTGTCACTTAAAGCAGCCAAAAGAGCTTCCTTGTGCCTAAACTTCTTCAATAGCTTATCATGTGCTGCTAGCTTCACTTTCTTTGGTCTCATTATCACGTAATTATCATCCTGAGATGGCTTCTCATTTTGTCCCCTGTGGAAATACCTAAAATAAGACGGCCTCAATGCCCGCTGCCTAGTTGGCCCCTCTTGTTCATTCCCTATGTAATCTCCTAAATCCCCTTCTCCTACACTCCCCTTCACTTTCCTTCGTCCAGCATACAATGTCCCATTTGAAGTTCCAATTACCCTAGTTGAGCAATCAGGCGAGAATGCTACTGAGAGCAAAGGGTTCGGAAACCTCATTGAATGAGTGATTTTATACTTGGAATAGTCCAAAACCTTCATATACCCATCCAATGAAACGCTCAGAATTCTATACTGATTTGCATCCTCCCCGTTGCTTTCTCTTTTCCCGATTTGCCCAACGCAAAGTGAAGTCACCGCCTTGTTGTGGCTCTCCATTGTATGCAACAACCTCCCGCCTCCGATGACGTCCCAGATTTTTACAGAGTTGCCACCTGCCGTGGCAATTAATCCCCCGGAAGGGAGGTAAATTACATCTTCAACAGGTTTTCCGTGATTGATTTCCATCACGGAACCCGAATTGGAGCTGGGAACCCGGATATCCCAAACCCGAACTGTATGGTCATAAGACCCGGAGATAAACATGTCGTCGCTGACTGGAGAGGCATCCCCGCAACGGACATAGTCTTTGTGGCCCACCAGATTGGAGAGCTCTGTTTCCGTAGTGATGTCCCAGTACTTGACAACGGCGTCATCTCCACCGGAGAAGAGGTGGAGCTTGTCGTAGCGCGGGTACTGGACAAGGTGAACCGGACGCGAGTGGCCGCGGAGGCGACGGAGAGGTTGCCGGGACTTCACGTCAAACACGCGGACGTCGCCGGAATGGTCTCCGGCAGCTACGAGACGGGAGTCGGATCGAAAGGAGGCAGAGCTGACGGTGTCCTTGAACGGGGAGGATATGGTGGATTTAACCTCGAGTGTTTCGGAGGAGAAGATGGTGACGGTGGCGGAGTGGGTGACGGCGAAGTCGTACGGGGCAGTGGGCGCGAAAGCGATGGAGGTTATGGCGGAAATTAGGGTTTTAGATTGGTGGTCTTTTGGGGCTTTGAATGATCGCCAATACTTCGATTCAGCCGTCGGAGTAGATTTATTTAAAGTGGATTTGAGCTTTGGCTTGACGGCGAAAGTCTTTGTTAAGCTATTCCGAGATTGCTCCTCCGCCGCCATTTTGGCCGTCGATTGATCGATTGCCATGGCTGAGCAAATGGAGTCCAGGATGAATTTGAGAGTGAAGCTGACGCTACTCGGGTTTTTGTATATAGGGTTTAACTAGAATCATTTGGCAGTCGGGCTTGGGCCTGTTTAGACATTTGGGCTTACATCTGTCAATACGGGTTTCAGTTTTTACGTCATACCAATAATTTCGGCCCTTGTTTTTGAGATAATGTTGGGGGCAAATTAGCAATAGTAGATTTCTAAAAAAATACATAGTAGTAGTAAATTTAGTGCATATTTGAACAACGTTTTCTTTTAGTTTTTAATTTGGATTTATGAGGTGATTTAAGATATGGTTTAAGTGGAAATTTAAAGAAAATTTTGGATAGTATTTTAGTATAATGACTATTTATGAAATTGAAATAGTTCAGTAACCAAACTGAAGACTTTACAATAGTTTAGTGACCATCGACGCATCGCCCACCATCACATCACGCACCATTGAACTATTTTAATTTCACAAATGGTCATTATACTAAATACTATGTTAAAATATAGTTTAAGTTAAATTTTAAAATATAAATTGAAAAATTATATGATCTAATTGTTTGTTTTACATTGAATTTTGTGTTTAAGAGATGAATTGAGTTAAACATGTAGTTTGATATTTTTCGAAATATAAATGTCTTAAACAAGACTAATAAATGTTGCTTAGCACACAGTATAGACCACATATTCACGAAAAATTAACATGATTTTATTTTATTTTTAATATGCGGTATAAATTAATGAGGTAGAAGAAGCTTGATTATACTTTTTTCTGAAAACTCTTTGTTATACTAATACACATGGTTTGTAGGAAGTACCCTCAAAGAGGTGGAAGAATTTGGTGGTATATAACTCTCTCAAATTGAATTTGTTGTGAAAATACTCTTTCCGTCATAAAATTATTGTCTAGTTTGGATTTTTGGTTTTAATACAATTGATTTAAGAGTGAAAATCTAATTATACAACAATTGTAGGACAGAGGGAGTATAAAATAATAATGATGAGAATATTCCATTTTTTCTTAAAAAAATGCTATTGTTTTTTAAAAAATTGTTATTGTCGATTAGTTGAGGAGTAGCATTTAAGTTATAATAAACCACATGATTAGTGCTAAATACGTACCATAATAACCATGGTCCCTCAGTATTTCTTAAATTTGTCAATCCTAAATTAAACCCAATTATATTGCGAGGTAATAAAATAAAAAAGGGGGGAAAAGAAAAGAAAGGAAGAGAGAAATGCATTATTACGTGAATCCGCCTATTAACTTCACGGTGGATCCCATCTTTTCTTTTCTTTTCTTTTTATTTTTCTTCTTATATATATATAAATTCTGGAGTCTCAAAGAATTATCGCTGTCTCCGCTTTAAAGCTTGGAAACACTATTTTCCCCCAATTAACTCTCCTTTTCATACTCACAGTTCAGTCGTCACTCTCCTTTTTTTCACTTCAGCGCTCGTAATTATCAACAAGGTCAGATATATCTCTATCTTCTCGCTATTTCTCTGCGTCTTTTAATTGATTTTGTTACTGTATGGGACTTCATTTTCATGGATTTTGTCATGAGATTTTCTTTTCATTCAATCATCCATTCTTTTTTTTTTAAAATTTTTTTTGATAAACCTTTTGAAATGGATTAAAAGGCATGATTCATGGGTTCTCCTTGTGGGCAGAAAACCTCATTATACCTCGCAATTGATATTTCCTTGTGGGCTATGGTTTCTTTTGTGTGTGTGTGTGCGTGCGTGTGTTTTCCACGGTTTATCGTGGGTATTTTAATTTTCACTGCATGCAAAAGTTGTGTTGGTTTGTTTGTTTGTTTTTCCTTCCCGCTATGAACTCGTGTTCTTGAAATTCTGGTTGGAGTTAATAGGAAATGGATTTTCCCTCCCTTGGATGAAGTAACACTTGTTAGGGAACTAGTAAAGTTATGGTAATAAACCGAACATTTATTGGGACTGTATATGCGTGCCTAAAACCCATGATTGACTGCACAAAGCTTCATTATTATTATTTTTTTTAAAGAAGTTGACTAACGTAATTTGTGCCTGACATTTTATTTTTAGGTAATAGATTTGGCATTTCAGCAAAATTGAAGAACAGTGGAACTCCAGGGAGGAAACACTTTTCATGGCTGAACACTCAAACAGCTTAGTCAGAAGAAACGAGCCTGTATGTGAGAAATTTATAGTTTAATATGTTTCTTTTTGGGGATACATGTGTTTATGCTGGCTTGTTTAATGCAATAATTTTGTGGGCTTTTAGGGTTTGAATGTTAGTTTTATAGCTGTATTTTAAGTTGATGAAAGGGTTTTAATTTTTTGTAATTCAGCAGAACAAAAATTCTAAAATGACAATCTGAGGTTTTCCGTTGTGCGGGGAAAAGGAAAATGTAACAACTTCATATCCTAAATCATGTTTGTTGTTACACGGGATGCCTTTTAGGAGTTTTTTGGACGGTACTTTTCTTTCATTCCTGACCAGATGTTGTAGTTTTATTGTACTCAGACTTAGTCAACATGGGTGTAATGATCCCAAGATGGTGCCTATATGGGTGAGATGACCTAATTTGTCAGAGATTATTATTGAAGTTTTTGATCTGAATTTTGCATTGCTCTATGTATTGCTTCTTTATCTGTTTTTAATTGTCCTTTTCCGGGGTAGTGTGGCGCTATGATAATGGAAACTTGGTGTTGTGTATATATTGCTCCATTTTTTTGAATCCTGGTGCTTTGTTCCTTCGATTCTTTGCTGGAAAGTGAAGCACGCAATGTTTTTCTATTACGTTGAGCAGTATTTAAGTACTTTCGCTCCTGAACCTGCACATCTAAATGTTCATCAGATCTTTTTTTCTTTTTCAAATTTTTCTTTGTAGGAGTAAGTTTGTGTTCTTTTTTTGTTCTTAGGTCCTTGACTTTATTTCTGCGGTTAAAGGACTTCATGGGCAAAGCCTTCAGGAGCTGGGGAGGCTAATCAGGGAGGCAGAAAATAATATAATTCGGTTAACAACTAATTGTGGATTGCACGTACAGGTAGGTCTTTTGGAAATCACATAATCTCTTGTCCACAATCTTTTCATGTACTTGCACAATAGAAGTTTTCACCTGTTACTTACAGCTATTTCCTCGTGGTGACAATGCGTTTTTGCAGATAGGGGTAGATAGGCTCGTTAGGTTTCTTGCTTTGCACCTCATTGCAACAATTAAGCACTGGAGAGGTGACGTAGCACTATTTAGATACTTGTTGTCTGGGTTCCAGTTACTGCATTCCTTGTGCTATTTGGCTCCTCGTCCGCCTAAAATTGAACAGGTTGGTTGTTATGCTATTCTAGTTAACTTATCTTGAAAGTTTTGTCATGTGATTCTATTGGTTGTTGGTTTAGTTTTTTGGGACCTTTACCTTTGAATTTGAGGCTGATCTTCTGAGCTGAAGGGCTTTGATTAGAGAAGATAAATTTGAGGGCAAATCTGATTTCTTTGACGCCTAATGGTGTCTGCAACTTCTGTTTTAATTAGGAAAAGTTGGTTAACAATTACCTCTGCTACCAATACTCCTCCTTCCCGTTCTCTTTCTTTGGGAGTTATTATTTCCCATAAGTAATTGCTTTGGTTGGAAAACTTTGTTGGATATCCAGGGGACCTGGAATAACAAAGGCTTCCTTACTGAAGTGATAAATCAGAACAGCTTCATGGACCTTATATTTGGTATTATTGGTGTTTCTGAAGGTGTCATCTAAAGGTCTTTTTGGCATGGTTTTTAATGCGGATTTAGCATTATATGCTTCTTTTTGAGATTTGTATAATTGTATGTAGTGTGAGAAGTAGCCAATTTTTAAGTTGCTAACTTTTAATGGTTTTCCATGTTTTCTTTCATTTCTTTGAACTGTCTTGAAATGCAAAATTCTGGTGACATATATACATGCACACACACACACACACACATAGATATATATTAAAAATCATTTGTGTTCTTCAATTTCCTTAGTTTCTTTTCCTTTTTTTTGTCCCTCATCAGCCTTCAGGTGCATATGAATAAATGTTTTTGGGTTGTTTGTTGCCCTGAGCTACAATGTTTTTCCCCAAAGAGATCGGTGCTAATGCTCTTTTCTTGTATGTTCTTGCAGATATTTGTAGAGAATACCAAAGTATTTGAGCAGATTGTGGACCTTATCTTGTATTTGCTCACTTATCTTACTGGTTGCAGACAGGTTGCTTGCATTTTCGTTATCTACTTATTCTCCGTTTTGTAGTTCATTCATACTAAAGTTATTCTCCCCCACCATGTAGGATCTTCATGTGTCAAATCCTGCAATCCACTTGCATTCAACTCTTGTTGCCACCAGTCTACATTTACTACCGGCTTGTGTTTCTTCACAATGGCTAGATCTTACACAAGCTTTACTGCTTCACAGCAAGGTAATATAGATCTGTAAAAGCTATAATGCGCTTAAATTAGGTTGGGTAAAGCTTCAGTGCAAGGATACAACATTGTGATCTTTCCCTATGTAGAATTTCTATGTTTTTGGGCTAGTTTACTTTGTTTGTAAACTTGCTGAAGAATGTGCCTTGATTTTCACTTCGGGATGTCACTGTGATTTCTCTTATGTATTTATTGTAGGATAATTAGTTTGTTGGATTTGATCTTTGCCAGGTTGACATGTTCATGGATGTGGTTTTTGCTGCAATTCGAAGTGATGTTAAGTTTCTCCAAACTGGGTTATCAGCTGCAAATTCTGACCTCTCATTTAATTCTGTTCCTAACTTCGAAGAGAGGCTGAATCACTTATGCCAGCAATGTGAGGCTTCACTGCAGTTTCTCCAGTCATGTTGTCAGCAAAAGTGTTTTCGTGAGCGTCTTGTTAAGAATAAGGTTTGTAGTCAAGTTTTATTATTTGCAAAAATAAAAAAGTCAAGTTTTGTTGTTATTTTTCGCTTGTGTTGATATGCATAGAAATGTCTGTTCCTCTTTGCTGCTCCTTTTCATGTCATTACGATAGAAGTGAAGAGATGTGGATCCTTTTGCAGCTTTGTTGATTTCAATTTTTAAGGCTTGGTGGATCTTGGGTCGTACTTAAACAGTCTCTCTGTATTAAAGTACAGTGTTAAGTCTGCATACCTCTTGAGCCCCCAGACCCCAGTGAAGTTGGGAGTATACTGGGTGTGTTGTTGTTGTACATCTGGTGTGTCAACAGATTTTTGTTTTGTGTCATTGGAAAGCAACCTTTTTTCCCCTACCCTTTAACAGATTGCTTTTTCATTCAAGTTGATTTTGTACTTTATAATGTCAATGATGGTTTCAGTTGAATGAGAAATGAATATGTTACTTTGTTTCAAGAACAGATTGCTTGCCTGAAGGATATCCTGTGTAAAAATTCATGAGATTAATGACTTGCTTGGATCAATTGTGCTGTCCTTGAAGTTGTATGGACTTTTTAGAGCTCCCTCTGCATAAACTTCTTTCCAACCATCTTGTGAATTATTCCCACTGATTTATTCTTGGATAATATGCTCCTGATCATTTAACTTTGGAAAAAGTTGTTTCCTTGAAAATTTAGCCCTTAATTTGTTTATCTATATTCCAGTAGTTATGTGGTAAATGTGGCGAAAGCCGTTCTTGTTTTAAATGTTTCACCAGATTCTGGTCGTGCTTCTGTAATTGTGTCTGCTGTATCCGGAATTTTTTTTTCGCCGTTGAAAGTTTAGCCTCTTAGGTTTTATCTTTTTTTTTTTCCAGGAGTTATGTGGTAAAGGTGGCGTGCTACTACTGGCGAAAGCTGTTCTTGATTTAAATGTTTTGCCAGATTCTGGTCATTCCTCTGTAATTGTGGCTGCTGTTTCCAGAATGAAGTCTAAGGTTCTATCTATTGTAAGTATAACTTCTGTTGATATTATTTTCATAAGTTTTTGGAAGCTTATCCTGTTAAATAAAATTCGAAATGATTGAATTATCTGAATCAGCTGAACTACAATTTATGCAGGTATTGCATCTCTGCGAGGCAGAAAGTGTATCTTATTTGGATGAAGTTGCCAGCAATCCTGAAACTTTGGATTTAGGCCAATCTATTGCATTAGAGGTTAGTTCATAGGTCCACTGTGTCGAATTAATGAGATCTAAATACACAGATTATAAGATGTAGATCATGCATGTGGATTATTTCTGTGATAGCCGGGTGACGTGAAAGCTGTGCAAATACTGAAGTCCATAAATTCCCGAAAGATTAATTTCCCGGTCAATCTATATTCTAAAATTGTTTAAACTTGCTAAAAGATTTTGTTATAGTAACGAAACAATTTTCTTGGTGGTTTAGGTTCTTAACTTACTGAAGACAATGTTCAGTGGAAATCCCAAACAATCTTCCGAGTGCTCTTCCAGGGTTTATCCAAGAGGCCAATTACAGCTCAATGGGCTGCGTCTTGCTGACATATTCTCGGATGATTCCAATTTCCGTTCTTGTATTACAGCTCATTTTGTAAGTTTGTGATTCGCAAGAATTTGATGATTACACTGGCTATTCCATGGAATTATTGAACTAACCAAAGGCTTCTTTCTGGCTGCATTTTTTTTTTTTTTGAGTTAATTTTGAGGATTATGCCATTTAAGAGCTGATGGACAATGCTTATAATGTTTTCTTCAGACAGAAGTCTTGACAACCATTTTTTCCCTTCCACATGGAGAATTCTTATCTAGTTGGTGTTCGTCGGAACCTCCAGTATGGGAAGAAGATGCCTCACTGGAGTATGATCCATATGCAGCAGCTGCATGGACCTTGAATTTCTTTGTATCGTTAAAACAACAGAGCCCAAGCCAGATAGCTCCTACTTTCGCCCCTTTTAATTTCCATCGGGAATCATATGCGTATCAGAGAACATCATTATTGGTCAAAGTGATCGCCAACTTACATTGTTTTGTTCCTGATATATGCAAAGGTAAAGATTAAGTATCTTAGTGTTGCACCATCAGTCCATGAGTTTTTCTTTTTAATCTTCATTCTTGGTTTTTTTTTTTTTTTTTTCCGGTGTACTTGGTTCGTGAAATATTTGTATCTTTTGCAGAGGAGAAAGATCTCTTCCTCAACAAGTTTCTTCAATGCCTGCAAATGGATGTTCCTAAACATATAGATGTATCAGCTGGTGTTGAACCTGTGAAAGCAGCCATTGTTAATCGTAACCTTAGTAAGTTTATCGCTTTTATTGCTTTTGATGATGTATATGAATAAAATATTACATTATTCTTTATTATTATTATTATTATTATTATTATTATTATTTTGGTCATTTAGGTTCACTTTTGAGTCATGCGGAGTCTTTGATACCAAGCTTTTTAAACGAAGAGGATTTGAGACTATTAAGGTTAGTTGTAACTGAATGTTCCTGCATATTGTTTTCTGCTGTTGTCTGTAATTTGCAATTTCTAGTACCTCAGTTTATATTTCTGAAAATATGTAGCAGTGTCTTTGTAAACAATATTCAGTAGAGTAATTATTAGATTGGATTTACCTAAGCCAAATAAAATCGAAAACGGCATTGTTTGCAAACTAAATTATCTTCAGCTTTCTTTTCCCCTCCGAATTCTTAAGTTTTAAGGGGATTTTGCCCTTTTACTACATTGCAATTGCTTGTTTGTGTTAGGAGTTGGATGCCTATTTTTCGTGACTTTCAATTGTTTACTCTGCTTTCTCTGGCTCAATGTTAAGTATTTGTGGGCTGCTTCTGCTTGTCTCGGTTAGGTTTTGTGTGAATATACTTATTTCAGTTTTATTGCAGGGAGTTCATTAATCAGGTAGAATCTCATGTTAAGGCTGCTGGATTTCTGGAGAATCAGTATCAGGTGCATGTCTTTTTGCTGTCATAATTTATTTTTAATTTTTTTAGCAGTAACTGTGGTGAAATAGCGGACTTGTTAAACATAGTTTGATCAAACCAGCTACCTTCAAATTTAAACCAAGCCGTGGGCCCAATAGCATTAATGTCTTCTGGTAACTCTGTAGGATATCTGGCTTTGGTAACCGTAGGCATTGATCTCTGTTCTACGTGGGTAAGTTCATTCTGTGGGTTGCAATTTATGCATACTGTAGAGCTTATACAGTCTTTAGCTTTAATGCACAATTTATATCTATCGAGATTCCGTTGTAAACTCCTCAGGGAGTCAAATGTTTTGTGTAATATGATGAAACGGTCAGATCTTTTGTGTCCGGAAACATATCAATGAGTTGTTACTTCTGTTAAGAATGGATGGTTGTTGTGGGGTGGTTTGCTGTTGTATAATTTTTCATCTTTTCTTATTGGAAATGAACATTTCAATTCAAAGAAAGCTTGTAACATTTCAGGTGGCTTGTACAGAAAGATACTCACCTATCGTGGAAGCTACTAACTATAATAACCGAGACAGCAATTCAAATGAGGATTTAGAGAAGACTTTAAAGTCTCCCAAGGTTGAACAATTGAATCAGGGGAGCAATGTTGTAAATCAACCGCATGATGTTGGCCAGTTAAGTAGCACTAATAAAGTTAATTATAATGGAGAGTGGAGTAGAGACACAGAAGAAACTGAGAAAAATATTGATATTAGTGGGCCCGGTTTAAGTTCTACACGAGGAAAGGAACCTATTGATGATATGGTTCATGATACCCCTACCAAACAAGGAGCATTAGAATCCCAAAGGGAGGAAAAGATGGAAACTGTATCTAATGAAGAGAACCATCCAAAAAAAAGGAAGCGGACAATAATGAACGATAAACAAATTGTCCTTGTTGAGATGGCACTCAAGGACGAACCTGACTTGCACAGGAATGCTGCCGCGCTACAATTGTGGGCTGAAAAATTAAGTTCCCTGGCAAGTGTTTTAGCTTTAAAACTTGAATTCTTTGCTCCCTTCAGCTTCTTCTTCTTTTAAATTTTTTATTTAAAATATGTATTGGATGTTTGTATTTCTATATTGGAGTTGGACAATATTAGTAATTCATCTTTATCGTATGGCACGTTTGTCACGCAGGGTTGTGAGGTGACGCCTTCCCAACTTAAAAATTGGTACTTCTTTACCTCTTTTCTTTTTACAACGTGCTTGTGTTCAACAATTTATTAATTTTGAACAGGATTTTTTTGAGTTCGTGGCTGCTCGGAATTGTTTTAATAATATCGTCACATGTTTAATTCTGCCGAGAGCTTCAATTTACTCCCAAAACATACATGTTTGGGGAGACTTGGCTGGATGAAGTTGGAAATATGTTTATGTTTAGTGTCAATTCTTTCTGTTCATTCAACATAGATGTGGGGTTTCATCTTCTACTCTTTGGCAGGCTGAATAATCGTAAAGCTCGGATGTCTCGTGTTTATCGTGCTCTTTCTGAAGCTGACAGCTCTGAGCGACAAGGTGGTTCAGCAATTCTTCCTTCATATGATCCACCTGGTTCGACCCTTATAGACGTTAGTGTCTCGTCCTTTACGAAGGGGAATCAGATAAGTGGAGCTGGCGATACATTATTGCTAACATCAAGTACCGAGATCTCAAGGATTCCAGTGGAAGCGCCCCGTGAAATTGCAGTGGCTGAATCTTCAAATATTGAGACGGGAAAAATGGTTTCACTCTTGGATCAAAATGGCAACGAGATTGGCCGGGGAAAGGTGTTCCAGGCTCAGGGAAATTGGGGTGGAAAGAATTTAGGTGATTCAGGAATATGTGTTGTGGACATTTTTAATCTTATGATTGATAGATCGGCCAAGCTTCCGTACCCATCTGAATGGACAGGCACTTCATTTGAACAAGCCAAAAAGAATTTTGGCTCCATGATGGTATTATGGGATATGACCAAACTTGTTGAGTACAAAGGTGGGAAAATTTCGGACTATATTGCTTTTGTATAGCATCTAGGGTACCTGCACTGCAGATTCTGCAATCCCCCCTGCCTTCTGGCAGTGCTGGACGGGATTCTATGTGATTGACTTCCACAAATATCATTCGCAGTCATGGCTGAAGTGAAGTTTTCGGTCCAACAAGACTCCCTGAAACTTAATGCCTAGTCTGCAAATGAGGAATGACGCCAGACATAATTGGAATGGCTTTAAATACCATTTGCTGAAAATACTGCTGCTTTGATATCCTGGATGGTGAACATTTGTGATGTCAATTGGTCATTAATGTCATTGGTCTAGGTCTGCTTGATATCTATTCTGGCAGATAAGTGGCTGTCAAGCAAAATGATGAACGTGATACTGGAACTTGACCTATCTTCAGAAAGAAGGGCGTGAAAAGGAGGTGACCTCTTAACCCCCAGAGAACAGGGCATTCTTGCCGTAGACGGTGGAAATGGAAGCTTTGGATCATTGGATGTGGATGTGGTGAAGCGAATGATATGAAACACCGGAGATTGCGTTGGCAGAAGTGATACTTCCTCCTGCTGTTTTTTATTTGTCCAGTCACAATGTAGTATAGTCTGTAAAGCTTTAATTGCAAACTTTCTTGGAAATTGTATTTCCCTAATGATAATGAGCGTTCGACTTATATTTTAATATGTTTGGATTGTTTTTTTAATATGTGTGTTTTTAGTTGTTTTTTTATTAAAAATTTTTTAAAAAAAGAATTGGAAATGTAAAAAAGTATGTTAAAATTTTAAACAAATTTATGTGGAGCTTAATTATCAGTAAAAGCCAAAAGAAAACAAAAAAACATCAACATTTTTAACAGTGATGAACTTGTATATGAAAATATTCAATATCACCAGTAATAATAAAAACTAAAAACACACGATATTCAATATTGTAATATTCAAATTCATAATGGTGGACAGATCGGAATTTAAACAGCCCATTGAAATATATAGCCCATTCATTAATGAGCCCAAACAAAAAAAAAAAGAAATAGGAGAAGCAGATAAGTTCGAGTAGCTTCTGAAATACACGCGGGAAAAGGCATTTCGAAACCAAAACAAAATAGAGCGCGTGTCCTTCCCACCAAATATTTTGGCCAGCCTGGCGATCCGAGGCTTTCCCAATTAACCAATCAGAACGCTCCGTCTCCGCCGACTCACCTGCTCTGCTTCGCTATATAATGCACACCTCTCCCTACTGTCACTCTCACAATCCTCCGATACGATTCACTTCCAAATCTCAAACCGATTCTTCGTCTTCTTTCAAGTTTTAAAAAAATGAGTTCTCAGGGTAGCGGCCGGGGCAAGCCCAAGTCAACCAAGTCGGTTTCTCGATCATCGAAAGCCGGTCTTCAGTTCCCCGTTGGTAGAATCGCTCGTTTCCTCAAGGCCGGTAAATACGCCGAACGTGTTGGTGCCGGTGCTCCGGTCTACCTCTCCGCCGTTCTTGAATACCTCGCTGCTGAGGTGATTATTTTTTGTTCTATTCGTCAATCGTTTGGTTCCCTGATTAGTTTTTTCTGAGTATTATATTTCTAATTAGATGATTTTGCTAGTAAAAAACTCTAGAATGAAAACCGTGATATGCCTCCTGAATTGGATTCTCGTTGATTAGGGTTTTCTTTTCTCCTTTGGTTGGGTGTCTAATTTAATTAGGGTTTTAGGGTTGGATGTTTGATTGATTAGGGATTTCTGTGCTTCTGGTTGGGTAGGTGCTTGAACTTGCTGGAAATGCGGCGAGGGACAACAAGAAGAATAGGATTATGCCAAGGCACATCCAGCTTGCCGTCAGGAACGATGAGGAATTGAGCAAGCTTTTGGGTGCGGTTACTATTGCTAATGGTGGTGTGTTACCCAACATTCATCAAAATCTATTGCCTAAAAAGGCCGGCGGAGGGAAAGGAGACATCGGCTCTGCGTCTCAAGAGTTTTAGGGGTTTTTCTTTCGATTTATTTGTTCAGTATTTGGCATCTAGAAGAAAATTGGGGTTTGCCTCATCAACTAGTTACTGCTGCTATGGTTTTGTAAAACCCTAATCATGGGAATTTTGACTTCATACATACAAGTCTTCATAAATGATGATCGAGGACCCCTTTTGCCCATTTTCTATTTTTACTGTTAATTTACGGTTTATTGTTGTGCTGTGCTGTTTGATTTTGGCAGAGATATGGCATACGTGTGAATGATTCACTTAGACAGTCTATGTTGTTTATGAGGATTTGTTGTGTGTGATGTTGGTTTACCTCATTAACAATTGCTCCTCATTTTTGTAGTTTCTGTGGGTAGTTGTTCCAGGTGTGTGGGTAGCTTCGGTTCTTAAACTTATTCCAGTGTTTTTGAACCAAATTGTAGAGATACAATCCCACAAAAATCCTTCTACTCTGTGATTCCAGTTGATTAATCATCCAACTGATGATGTATCTGTTTTATTTGAGTTAGTTTATCATTGATTAGTGCTACAATCTTTTATCTTTTACTTGTGGTCTGAAGTTGGTTTGCATGGTAGCTCACCTGTGAAGAAGATTTGTTCTTCATATTAGTTAACATTGATAGATTTAACAAGACAATGAGGTCCTGTTGCCTAATTTCCCCTAATGACCTGATAGATAGAGGTAGCCTCTGGAGCTTTATCTGTAGCGTCGTGAACCAAAATTCTGGAATTATCTGTAGCGTCGGCACTGTTGTGCTAAATTCTACGAGTAAGAGCAGTAAAGTATTACAAAGCGGAAAAGAAAGCTGTTTTCATCAGACCTTCATCGATGAAGCATCCAGTTCAATACACAGTCATCTTAAACAATGTTAACTGTTGTGATTAGCTGCTAAATACATGCTGCAGTTTGTTTTGCTTTCCTTCTTTCTGGATTTATGTTTGGAAAAGTACTCTGCTGTTCTGGCCTTCCGAGTCTAAAACAAAACCACAAATGATACGATAAATTACTAGTAATCACTACTCAATCCAATGAGTAGAAGCACAATCCGATTCTGTAATTTTACATAGGGGTTTTGCTATTGAAGCTAAAATTATTGTTTTTAAGACAGTTTGAGATCGGAAAAGAAAAGAAAGGCTTCACCGTTTTTTCCTGTTTTAATCAAACATCACCGGGCTAATAATTTTGAGTGGACACTAAATACACTTAGCATCAAAATATAGGAAGCTCTTATTCCCCACAAAGTTTTTTCTGGTGCCTTATCTCGTACCACTTTACCAGATGGCGGTGGTGCCGCAGTTCAATCTCGCCGTTGACTTGCCGATTTCCAAACTATGTCTAGGTTTCCTTTCGCTTACGACTACCTTCTCTCTCTCTCTCTCTCTTCAAACTGGTATTTTTATCTTGGTTGCTGCTCTGAGCTCTGCTTGTCGTTCTTCTTCTTCCGCTCCTTTGACAGGGACGATGACTTTCGGGGAGCAAAACACGTTAACCCAATCTTTTCAATTGCTGGACAAAGCTTTTGATGCTGGAATCAATTTCTTCGACTCCGCCGAAATGTACCCTTATTCCCCCGACTTTATCCCATTCTATTTTACGCACATTTTTAGTCATTTGTATTCTCTTACTCCCTAAAATTACCCCATTTCAAACTTGTTAAATATTTTCAGGTATCCAGTGCCCCAGCGGGAGCAAACTCAGGGCAAGAGTGAGGAGTTTTTGGGCCTTTGGATGAAAGAGAGGAGAATCCCTCGGGACCGCGTTGTTTTTGCTACAAAGGTTAGCGGTGGAATCCTGCATGAGCTTTAGTAGTTTCTTTGTTTCGGTTGAACCACATTCACCTTTTAAACTTACTTTCTTGGCAATTTCGAGATAATTGTTGCTGCCATGGTATCATGTTCAAGTATCGAGTTCTTTCTGGTTTGTTACTGCTAAGGACTTGCTGATTTCATCCACTTTTAGATATTTTTGCTGTGGTTGAGCCTTAGATGCATATAAATTTTGCTTGTTCATTGGTTTCAACATGATTGATTTAAGCTTTAGTTTTGAAATCTGATAACTACGGTACATGGATAGTGAATGAGTTTTTCCTGGTTCTTGTTGGCATCTTTATTATCAAGTGTGTTTGCCATCTTTGGTTTTGATGGCTTGCTTGGATACAGGTCAGTGGACCTTCTGGGCAGATGAGTTGGATTCGAGATGGACCGGAAAGTTTGAATGCTTGGAATATCTCGGAAGCAATTGACAATAGGTCGAGGATGCTCTCGCTTCATATTTACGCTCTCCTACTTTAAATTTTAGGGTGCCCTTTGGATTTTAGTAACTACTACCAATCCCTATAAGTTAAATGCTCTGTAAGCTAATATATGCAGCTAAATTCTTGTGTTTTTTGGGGAGTTCTTTCTGACCGTGGTTAATAAATTCTGCAGTTTGTTGCGGCTACAAACAGATTACATTGATCTGTATCAAATTCATTGGCCCGATCGGTTTGTACGTTTATCCCAACTTTTTCTGCTTTTATGTTAATCCTTTATCACTGGATGTGTCAAATTGGGAACTATGGCTTCTGCAGAATTAAGTAGAGAAAAAGAATAGATCTTTATAATTTTTTATTTTTATTTATCATTATTATTATTATTTTTTAATGATTGTTGATTGGAATGTCATGCAGTTATGTACCCATGTTTGGAGAGACTCAGTATGACCCTGATCGTTATATTCCTTTTGTAAGTTTTGATGAACAACTTGATGCCTTAGGCAGAGCTGTTGAGGCAGGTAAGGTTAGTAATATAGAATTAACACTGGCCTTTGTTCTCTCTCTGTCCCTCATGCTAAGCTATATTCTGAATCTCACTATATCTGTAGATCAGATACACTGGGCTAAGTAATGAAACTCCATATGGGTTGATGAAATTCCTTGAAGTTGCACAAAATGAACCTCATTATCCAAGGATGATATCCATTCAGGTAAGTCTGAGTTTGTGATCCACTTTGGATTTTTGGAAAATTTCTTTTGCAGTTGGACCTGTAATTTCAAGCTAATTTTGAATTCCTTTTTCATTTTCTAGAACGCATACAACTTGCTGTGCCGAAGTTTTGATTTTGGGATGGCTGAATGTTGTCATCATGAGAGGTATTCTTTCATCTGTAGGTACTTAAGAAACAACGCAGCCGGTTTAACTCTTTAGTTATTTTGCCAGCTTTTGCATCCTTTACAACTGTAACTTTTAGAAACTGTTATCAACATGTAAGCTTCTTCATCAATTAAACTTTGTTGTGACATCCTTAGATATTCATAAGAGATAGAGTTCCACAGTTTCTTCATGTGGACTACATAGCTTTAGAATTACCGACATTGTTGTCGATAGGAGGGCAAGCTGCCTTGCATGATATGCAATTCATCTTGTTATAAAAGTTGAGGTTATACTGTACGTGGCTCTTGTTCTGCTTTGTTGGTCATATACAGAGTCAGTTTGTTGGCATACAGTCCTCTGGCGATGGGCATTCTTTCTGGAAAGTATTTCTCGCATGGCAGGGGTCCAACTGATGCTCGCTTGAATCTTTTCAGAGGTAACTGTCTACTTGATAATGGAATGAATATTTGAATACAGGACAAACTTTGGTGTTTTTTTTTTTTTTTTTTCCTTCCCTCTCAGTACATTTTCTTATCCTCGTAGGAAGATATGTTGAAGGAGAGTCAAGATACAACCTGTCAAGAACCAATGTACGGAAGGCCACAGAAGTAAGGCGATTCTCGTTTAAAACGGAATAGTTTTACATTATTCTTTCATGCTTGTAAAATGTAGAATCTGGAAGATACGAGCATCACTGCAATGTTTCTGTCATCTTCCAAAGTCCTTTTGCAAGTATTAAATTACATTCTCTCCAACTTGTCTCTTTATACTACCAAGCATTGGTAATTTATTTTTCTGTTTTAAGCACCCAGTGAGGCAGGTTGTGATTGGTTAAATGTTACTGTGTTCTGGTCCTTTCTAAGAGAGTATTTATAGATGTTGATTGAACAGAACGTTGGAGAGGTTAAACAGTTAAAAATTTCTTGAAAATTGTTCTGCTGTGTCTTTTATGTATGTGGATGAATTGCTTGTCTTGTATGTAACACGTGATAAATCATGGAGAACCAATTTATGAAGTTTATAACTATTTTAAATTTAACATCATGGACAATTTTGGAGACCTGCAAGTTTTCATGCCTCAATTGCATCTGTTGGATGTTGATCAACCTTCCCCATTGATTATATTTTCTGATCTCATATCAGAAGTTTCACTTTGTTGTGCAGGAATATCTTGAAATTGCTGCAAAATATGATATCCACCCAGTGTCTCTGGCAATTGGTAGAATTTCTCTCTTTCTCTCTGTATAGTCATGAATCCAAAAAAGTAGGTGTTCACATTGTGCTTTGATGGGATAATTTATCCAGGTTGTCACACAAATTGCTAAATGAGTTTTCCCAGTTTAATCATTTTTGCATACACCTGGTATAGTCTTGTAAAATCCTATAGATAATCCATTCCCACAGATCAATGGGGTGGCATTATCTGAGTGTTTCCTCACCTCTCAACATATTGAGGTCCAGAATCAATCTATTTTTTTCATGAGACAGTTGTTATCGTAGCCCTGCAGGAGTGTTTTATTTTGATTTGCATTACTTTTATTTTTCCAAAGAATCAAGTTGCGGGAATATTGTAGGTATTGTAAACTGGTGTATTGTAGTTTTTCTTCTAATACCTCACTTCAAACTCCTGTATTGGTACCTTCCATTTCCCGCATATATTCTCTATTTATCAGCTTATCCTCAATTTTCTATTTATTTAACATGAATATCATTATGTTGAGCAGCCTTTGTTATGAGACACCCTCTTGTTGGGAGTACCGTATTCGGAGCAACAAAGTTGTGGCAACTTCAAGAAGTCCTTGATGCCTGCACGGTCAGTCTGAGTCCTGAGATCATTACGGACATTGACAAGGTTCATTCAAGGTTCCCAAATCCCTGTCCCTGACAAGTTCTAGTTTTCTGATTCGAGGCTCAAACTTAGCAGTTTCTCTGATTTCTCTTCATTGCCTGTATGTCGATAGCCTTGGATTTGGAATATAGTTACTGAGAGCTGGTTTCTCTCCTGAATTTCTGTTTTTCCGGGAACTGGATCGGTTGATTGAGCAGGGCGCAAGTGATGTACTCCTTTTCAAGTTAATGTAGAAGTATTAGGTACGTTACTTTTTCTTGCCTGTGATGCTACATGTAAACTGTAAAGTTGTCATTAGTAGGTTACTTCTTAATGAACCTCCACTTTTGGAGTGACCACTTCCGATGTGTTGCGAAGGCTACCTCTATAAAGTAGTACTTTATCCGTCTCACTTTAATAATTTACTTTATCAAACTAAGAATAAAGTTGACTATTAAAGTGAGACAGATGAAGTGACGATAGTAGATCATCATAAAGCTGACTATTAAAATGAGACAGATGAAGTGATGATAGTAGCATCACCAAATGGAACTATCTTAGGCTCGTAACCGTTGGGTCATTCGCCCATATGTAAAGAGTTTTCCGAAGTTACAGCAAACATGTGGCCTGCTTGTAAAATTAAAACATCAGTGCCAGCTACATACAGTTGAACCAAGCATTCAATGGAGAGCAACCTTGTGGAGGGGAAGACTTAAGAGTTAAGATCTGTCCCCCCGTAAAAATGGAGTAAGAGAAATAGAACTACCCTTATTCCCATAGGCCATAACCAATCCAAATCCTATTCAATTCAATCGATCCACCAACATATTAGTCCAACTTCTTTAACTCACTATTCAATTCAACTGGTGCACACAATTCATTTGCCAGTTTGCCCACCACAAGATTTCCAATTTTGGACCAGGCAAATTGATTAATACGTGAGACTTAACACCATTAGGGTTCTAGATGTACGATAAGAGATCCACAATACTAAATCGTGGTTGGTTTTAAATTGAATCAAATTACTGAGTTTTCAAAAAAAAATAATAAATAAAAATCAAATTACAATAGCGATTTTATCAGGTCAAATGATTTGAATTTTAGCTTGAGCAACTACTTTTTTATAATTATAGAAGAAAGATGAGAATTAGTACAAAATCTGTATATTTGGATTTGGTCACTTTGACGAGTCCATGAAGCTACTATAAACAATTCAAAACTAACTCGAAGCTCTTGACTTGAAAATTGAAGTGAAACTTTGGAGCCGTTTGACCGTTTGTTATTACCATTTGAAGCCTTTCTTAAGTTGCACGATTTGCCAATCTGTCAACTGATCTGGAAATACCAAATGAGGCTGTTAGTCTGTAAACAAAAACAGTTCAGTTGACGAATTTGCAAACTACTGAGGTTTTTTTACTTTTCCTTTTTTATCATTTATTTTTAATTTTTTTTTTGGGGTTACAGAGTTGACAAAATTTTGAAACACCCACACAGCTCGATCAAATACATCGTTTTTCTGGGGAAAAAAAAAAAAAAATCTCAGACAGAAAAGAGGAGAAAAAAAACTGATGTAAGCAAAGATGCCAGCTTTCTCTCCTTCCCTGTCCTGAGTTCTTCGAGTTCTCTCTCTCTCTCTCTCTCTCTCTCTCTCTTTCAATTTACTGTACTATCTTTTAATTTTTGTTTCGAGCCCTTCTTCTTTTTTGTTTCCTACTTTGTCATCATCATCACTTTTTCTTCGGCCATTGGTCGGGACGGGGGCATTAACCTTAACCCCACCGAAAAAGAAAAACACACACTCCACATAAACCCCCCAACGAATTAAAAATTTCCCACCTTTTTCCCTCTCTTCTCCACAGCATTCCTGCTATTCTTCCTTTCTTTGAAACTTCCAGATTAAGGAGAATTTTTTTTTAATTTTTTTTTAATTTTTCCCTGAAAAAAGATGGGAAAATACAGAATTAATCAAAACCTTCTGTAAAACCTCTCTTACGAGCCGGGCCGGGCCGGACTTGATGACCTCCCGGCTGTTCTGATCCCAATTCTGTCCCTTTCCCACGATGTTATCCATCTGAAATTGATGGGGTTTTACTTTTACTGATCACTGTTATCTTCAGAACTAGAATTTTCGCCTCTTTTTTATTTTTGGGGTTTTGTTCTGGCATCCGTGATCTGGCTTTTTCCAAGTTCAAAATCTTTAACATTAAATTCAATTGATTGAGAGTGGTTGGGGGTAGGTTTTAGCTTTTTGGCCATTTTGGGCTTCGGTTGTTGATGGGTTCGAAGCCATGGCTGTATCCAGCTCCGGCCTATCGTCCCTTCGATACTTTCTGGGGCTCCGACGACGATGCCCCTGGCCCACGCTGTGGTCACACTCTTACAGCTGTTGCCGCCACTAAAACTCATGGTCCCCGCCTCATCCTCTTCGGCGGCGCCACCGCCATCGAGGGCGGCAATGGTGGTGCTCCTGGCATCCGTACTTTCTCTTTCCCTTTATTATACTTTGCTTTGAAAAATTGATACGATAGTTGCTGAACTATTGCTTGTAATAATCTTTTTTATTCAGGTTTAGCTGGTGTTACGAATTCCGTTCATTCATATGATGTTCTCACTAGGAAATGGACCAGGCATGCAATCTCCTACTTAAATCTTTCATCTTTAATATGCATTTTTTTAATTTACTGTATCAGTGTTTCTGGAATTAAGGATTAATTAGTTCATTGTCTTAATAATTACTGCTCAGACTACGGCCAGCTGGTGAGCCACCTTCTCCAAGGGCTGCCCATGCGGCCGCCGCAGTGGGTACTATGGTAGTGTTTCAGGTAATTAGGAACAGAAAACTTTAATAATTAAACTGAATCATTTGTTTCTTTCATGTTGTTTGCGGCTAAATTTGATGGTGGTTTTCTTTAGGGTGGGATAGGTCCTGCGGGGCACTCGACTGATGACTTGTATGTTCTGGACTTAACTAATGATAAATTCAAATGGCACAGGTATTATTTTGACAGTTTTTTCCACCTTTCCCATATTGCTTGGAGTTTGAATGTGACTTGGTATAATTGTTTTTTTAAGTGTAGAGTTGTAGTTCAAGGACAGGGTCCTGGGCCGCGATATGGGCATGTAATGGATTTGGTTGCGCAAAGATACCTTGTAACTGTTACCGGCAATGATGGTTAGAACACTCTTTCTTCATCATTCCTAGTTTTCCTTTCAGTTTTTGGAGTGAAAACTGTCGTATATGTGACTGCAATGATTTCTTGGAACGGTTATTGCAATCATTGCATTGCCTGTTAAAATAGCACTTTCAAGACCCAATGTATAAATGGAACCTTGTGAAATTTACTCATGAATGAATCAGCATTAGTAAGTTAAGCTACACATTATGAATCGGCTTCGTAGGTCTTTTTTCTGTTTGGTTCTGTTTGTGATTTGAAATCTCAAATTTTAACTCTTCACTCATTATGAATCTGTTTCTTGGTTTTGTTTTCCATTTGATTGTATTTGTCATTTGAATTTCACCTCTTCGCAGGGAAAAGAGTGTTGTCTGATGCCTGGGCTTTGGACACTGCTCAAAAGCCGTATGTATGGCAAAGGCTTAATCCTGAAGGTGATCGGCCATCTGCTAGAATGTATGTATGCAACCATTGATTTGCTTATGCATTTTCATGTCTTATTTCTCTATGTAATTATTGCTACTTAGTCCAATTTCATGCTTCCTTGTAAGCAGTAGATACACATTGGTGAATGCATATGTATGTGAAGTTTGTGATTGGTTGATAGGTATGCAACTGCTAGTGCTCGGTCAGATGGCATGTTTTTGCTTTGTGGTGGAAGAGATTCTTCTGGAACGGTAAGGTGAATCTACCCATTAAGTGTTCATAAATTCAAAATACTTGTTAACACATGAAACAACAAAGTTACTCTTTGTTCATCTAACCAGTAGGAATTCATCTTTTTTTTTCAAGAATCTACTGATGCTGAGTTTTTATCTTTCTGTTATCCTTTAATTATCCGGGAAAAAGTGGCTTACTAGGTGCCCAGAAGTTCATACACTTTTACTTCTTTGATATTGCTTTGAGTTGGAGTTTGCCTAAAGCTATAGTATAATACCTTTTCCGTATGATAGCTGACTAGTTATGGATCAGATTTCGATGCTTTCGGATGTTAGCAGCATCGACGTACTTCTACAAGTACGATTGTCTGGCAAGGGATCATTTCAATGTCACTTGTTTGCTTAAACTAGTGTGATGGTTTAGTATCCTTCTGTGGCTTGATTGGATTATGTTTCTAAGAGAACAGGTGTCTGAAGTTCTTGCTTATTTCTATTGGCTCTGTGTCTCGTCTTGGAACCCATGACCTGGGCCGTATGACTTTTACCAATGTGAATTTTCTCTATGTGGTAGTCTAAAGCTGTTACTTTATGTACCGTTGCAGCCTCTGGGAGATGCTTATGGATTACTTATGCATAGAAATGGCCAGTGGGAATGGACTCTTGCACCTGGAGTTTCACCTTCACCAAGGTATCAACATGCGGCGGTAAGTCATAGGCATTTTGGATACACTAGTAAATTATGTTTATGTAGAAGCCCATGAATCTGTCTTCCCATTTATTCAATCATCAATTTAGTAACTTGGTAGTTCCCTCCTTCAAATGTCAGGTCTTTGTTGGTGCTAGATTGCATGTGACTGGAGGTGTTCTTCGAGGTGGACGAGCAGTTGAAGGTGAAGCAGCTGTTGCAGGTGGGTGATTAGTTTGGCTTTCTAATTTTATTACTTCACCAATTTGACATCCTTTTTGATCAGGGGCTTACTAACTGCTTAACTGATTCTTTTGATAGTGTTGGATACGGCTGCTGGTGTTTGGTTAGATAGGAATGGGTTAGTTACTTCTCCACGGGGTGGCAAGGTACATGCAGAGCATGATCCTTCATTGGAGCTGATGCGACGCTGTCGTCATGCAGCTGCATCTGTTGGTGTTCGTATCTATGTTTATGGTGGTCTTAGAGGAGGTAACAATAAATATGCAAATTCAGCATTCCATCCTGGAGATACAATTTTATGCAAAAGCCTTTTCTTTCTTTTTGTTTTTGTTTTTGTTTTTTCATTGCTTTTTGCCTCGTTATCTCTGAGTTACAAAGCCAATAAGAGTATAAGTGATACTGCGACTATGAAACATAGATGTGAGAAGTTGAAATGTCAGTTTGTTATATATCACAACATGCACACATAAAAATTTGTAAGGTCTGATTGTTGATACCCCTTCTTATCCAGACTTCCTGGAGCGAATGAGATTCTGTCATATTGAGTGAGTTCAGATGGCAATCATGTTCTTCTAGAATCTAGATTTTGTTTGTCTTTTCTATGTGCAATATAGCATGAGTAGCTACTGGTACTTTAATTTATATAGGTTGGAGTTCGCTAGGAATTTTTAATTGTGCCATGGTCCAGCTTTCAGATGAGGAAAATTTTCTGTCTGGAGCAGGATTCGCTGCTAGTGTGTTACTTCCATGCCATTTATATGTTGTTGATACTTTTAGAATAGTTGAGGTTGCTGTGAGGTATTCCTGACCTTTTTGAGTGCAAAATGATCTCTCAAATGGCATAGTTTGCCGACAAATTTCTTACCTTATTTCTTAATGGTGTTTCTTAATGACTTCTTGTGAGAAACACCATTTTGGATGTGTCCTTTGACAGTTTGTGGATGATACGATATACTAACCTTCCTCTCATGTAGGGGGCTTCTTATAGAATGGAGAGCTTTATTCGTGTCATGATACTTTCTCCATCTTTTCCTTTAGCTCAGATTTTTAACTGGAGCTGTTTTATAATTTGTTTCATTGCTTCATGCAGATATTTTGTTGGATGATTTTCTAGTTGCAGAAAATTCTCCATCACAGTCTGATATGAATTCCCCTATTTCCACTCCTGAAAAGAATTCACGAAGTACTAGCCCAAGATCCCCACAATCACCCGGATCACCTACAAATGGAGAAAATGAAGTTGCCTCGTTTGGCACTTTGAGGTTTCATTCTGGTCCCAACTCGTAACTTTTTCCTCTTAAGAGATCTTTGTGAGAACACTCAGTTTTGAAACCATTTGCAGTATGGACAGAGATTCGATGGAAAAATTAGCAGAGGCGTCTGCTGCCGAAGCAGAGGCTGCCAGTGCTGTCTGGCAAAATGTTCAGACAGGAGCCTCTACTCCTGAAGAAACATCGGTATCAGATGATAACTCTCAAGTCGCAGATACTACGTCAGAGGGAAGTGACAATGAAGTTGATGTTCGGCTTCACCCCAGAGCTGTATGTTCTCTTACACTTCAATGTACTCGTTTTGACAAATCTTATGCCATGATATGGATCATATCTTGCCTGAGTAGGACACGGGCCCAGTGACTCCTGTTTCTTAGTCTGATTCTCATCTATAAGCTGGTTTGCTTTCTTCAGGTTGTAGTGGCAAAAGAGACTGTAGGGAACCTGGGGGGAATGGTCAGGCAGTTGTCACTGGATCAATTTGAGAATGAGAGTAGAAGAATGATTACACCACAGAACGAGTTATCAAATCCAACCAAAAAATTTATGCGGCAGAAGTCTCCTCAAGGATTGCATAAGAAGGCAAGCTTTACAAGTAGCTATGTATTGTATATAAGAACATTTAAGAATTAGGCATTTTGTTATTCTTTCCTGACATTTTATACTATCATTCATTTCGTTGCAGATAATATCAACCCTGCTTCGTGCCCGGAACTGGAAAGCTCCCCTTAATCGAAAGTTCTTTCTTGATTCTTATGAAGTTGGTGAACTTTGTTATGCTGCTGAGCAGATATTCATGCAGGAGCCGACAGTTCTCCAACTGAAAGCTCCTGTCAAAGTCTTTGGTGATCTTCATGGCCAGTTTGGTGATTTGATGCGTCTCTTTGATGAATATGGATTTCCTTCTACTGCAGGAGATATTACGTAAGCTGCGTCTTTAGTTTGTTCTTCTTTCGACAATATATCTCTTTGAAACTGCTTGACATATTGATAATTGATTGATTTCAACATATAAATAAGTGTCGATGGTGTCTGTTATTTCCCTTAGTCTTTGGTTTTGCATGTCATTTGGAGAACTCATGTCATTCATTACCCTGTGCTGTTTTTTTTTTTTTTTTTGGTTGGGGGTGGGGGGTTCATGTACCTATCATATGGTCTCAGTAGCGTATGCCTATTGTTTGTTGCAATGCTTGTTACTCCTTCTGAAGCTGCCTTCAATTTAAATTTCTGCAAAATCTTTGACCTTCTTACACAGATTATTATTTGGTTTATCTTTCAGTTATATTGATTACCTTTTCCTGGGAGATTATGTTGATAGAGGGCAGCACAGCTTGGAAACCATCACCTTATTACTAGCACTGAAGGCAAGCTTCCATGTTTTATAAATGGGCTCAGAAAAAGTTGGAACTTTTCCTTTTATTTCTAGCTTTTGGTCCCTATAAAGAGTTGCTGTTCTGTTTTTGATGTGCAGATTGAATATCCGGAGAATGTTCACTTGATACGTGGGAATCATGAGGCTGCTGACATTAATGCACTTTTTGGTTTTCGCATTGAATGCATTGAGAGAATGGTATGTTCAACTTTGTGAAGTCTGGTTATTACCATGTTATGAGGTATTAATTGCTGCTTTTCTACAGGGAGAGAGTGATGGAATATGGGCTTGGACTCGGTTCAATCAACTATTTAACTATCTTCCGCTGGCCGCTTTGATAGAGAAGAAAATTATCTGCATGCATGGAGGAATAGGGAGGTCAATACATTCGGTGGAACAGATTGAGAAGATAGAGAGGCCTATAACAATGGATGCTGGATCTTTAGTCCTAATGGATTTGCTATGGTACATTTTGGTCTGTATGATGTAATTTGACTGGCATTAAATGCTTTCTCACAGTTTCTTTGCAGGTCTGATCCAACAGAAAATGATAGCGTGGAGGGCCTTAGACCAAATGCAAGAGGGCCTGGACTTGTTACTTTTGGGGTATGACATTTCTATACCTATTTGGAGTAATAAAAATTAGCTGACTGGAGCAAATTGGTTTACTTTTTTATGTGAACTGCTCCGGCTCCCTGGACTGCAATGGCTTGCCACATGTCGAAGTCTTCTCTAAAACCATTTCCATTGTGTTTTTGGTTTGCTTCTACGGAAAATTGTCCATTGTTGCAGTTTTTTACAACTATTGAAACAAAGGAGACTATGTTCAAGATATGGAAAAACCTGTATGAACTGTTGGAAGTACCTGAACTGCTTAAAGGCTTTTGTAGAAGTTTGCTTTTTTTTTTTTTTTTTGGATTAAATGCTGTAATTATTGACAGTAACACACTGCAATTTTTGACATCATCAACTTTTAGTGATCATGATCTTTGGTGTTTCTTGATATTCTTGCAGCCTGATCGAGTAACAGACTTCTGTAAGAAGAACAAACTGCAGCTTATCATAAGAGCTCATGAATGTGTGATGGATGGGTTTGAACGTTTTGCCCAGGGGCAGTTGATTACCCTTTTCTCTGCCACTAATTACTGTGGTAAGATTTTTTACTTGCTCTGTTTGGTTTCTTTTGTGGTGATGGATTGCTGTCTAATTTGGTAAATCAACTCAGGAACGGCCAACAATGCGGGGGCTATTCTGGTGGTGGGCAGAGGGTTAGTCATTGTTCCTAAACTGATCCATCCATTGCCGCCTCCACTTCAATCTCCAGAGACATCTCCTGAACGCATGCCTGACGAAACCTGGATGCAGGTAAATCATCTTTAATCCATTTCCTTTCACTTTTTTTATCTGCAATTCATTCAGTTACAAGGCAGCGAAAAGTGGGAGATCTATTCTGCTCAGGAGCAGTGGTCTGATGATCTCAATAAATTTGATTGTTCTGATTTCAACAGGAACTCAACATCCAAAGGCCACCAACTCCTACCAGAGGAAGGCCTCAACCTGATCATGATCGAAGTTCACTTGCCTACATTTGATGACTGTTTGATCTAGAAATATCGTAATAGATTAATGCTGGAATCTTGGCTTCATTGGTTGCATGTGTTGAAACTGAAAAGGCGGGAGCAGGCAATCATTGACCCCGGTAAATTAACTTCGTATAGCAAATTGAGATTCAGAGCTGTCGAAATGAATTGCCAAGTAGCTATCCCGTGGGTGAGCCGAGCCGACTGTGATGCATGAAATAGCTTTTTGTTTTTTTCTTTTATTTGTGAATAAAGAGTGTTTGTATGTACCATAAGGCTGTAACATAGAAAGATAGTTTTGTAGCCATATAATTCGTTAGTGATGTTTAGCAAAAGTTACCTACAGCTGTAGAAAAATAAAGCTGTTAATTCTTATCCTTTTTTGGGTGATTCAAGTTATAGTTAAATGAATGAATAGTTAAGATTCGGTTTGTGAACGTTCATTCACATGTGATTGTTGCGTTGTTGCTGGTTGATCATGAAGGTTAATAGGAAGCAAGCTAAGGCAGAATTAGACGTTACCGTTCATTTTCTTTAGCTGGTTCCAACAAAAAGCATAACTGTTTCTATCTGAAGAAGACTTTTAAAGACTAACTGGAAGGATGGTAAAAACTGTTTAGACAGTGATGAGATGTGTTGGTGCAATTTTCGATTATTTTTAAGTTACGATTTCATATCTTAAACGTAACTAGTTAAAGTTACTACTTAGTCTATGAGGGACAAGAGGAAAATATCGGATTAATCAGACCGTTTTATGACTGGACTACTCAATTTTTGTAAGACTAAATTGTATAATCGGTTCTTTACATTAACACGTATCTGAAGTGAGTCTTTACCTTTTATTTTGAAACTATTTTGTTCCTTATTTACTGTCCTGTCCCAAGTTCTATCCGGAGGACCGTTCCAGATTAGGTGTATTTTTTAATACTATACTCCCTCCGGTTCTTATTATAAGACATTTTGACTATTCCTAAGTTCAACCTAGTACGCACTTTAATTGACAAAAAAACGAATGTAATAATATATTTTTAAGGTTTTTTTGTCAATAAAAAATGAATACTAGGTGGAAACTTATGACAAATCAAAATGCCTTATATTAAGAATCGGAGGGAGTATAACAAAAGGAAAAAGACACATTATCATTATATTAACAATAAAATTCAAATAAAATTTATTTAATACAAAAATATTTAATTTTTTTTTACATTTGCAAAAAAAAAAAATCCAAAATTTGAATTTTTTTAATTTTTTTAATTTTTATTATTATTAAATAATAATTTTAAGTATTTTATATTAAATATAATCTACATTTTTCTTTTTAATATGTAGTATTATTTTGAAGATACCTTGGTCTTGGGTCAACGGTCAAGGGACCAAAATAGCTTCAAAATGAAATGTAAAAAGTCACCTCATATAAATGTTAATAATGTAAGGGATCAAAATTGAAAATTGACCAAATGTAAGAGACCAATTATGCAGTTTAATCTTTTTGTAATGATAATTTAATGGAAAATACGAAAAAGAGCAAACCAGAGAAAAGGACTTGAATTGAAGTCTAATGGAACATCTGAATGACCGTAAGGTCCAAGGCTGATTACTTCATCAAAGTCATGTCTGGTGTTTACTTTCTTTTTTTAACCAAAATGTGTACAATTGCCATGTGCCATACCTGCACACCGAAAGGTGGAAATTTTCAGCATGAAAATGAGCATGACATTATGATCAAACTGAACTATACAGCCTTCTCTATATCTTCCTTATCTATTTCTCCATGCTGGTTAGTCCAACTATTTCGTTTATTTGAGCAAGGAAATGCAAGAAAATAGGGGTGGTTCAGATGGGTCTGTAGTGGAATGTTGGGGGAGCCCTCCTAACATTCCAGCAGCTAGCACAGTGAATAATCCTGATGGGTTTTCTAGAGGCAACAACACTAAAGCAATTTGGCCGAATGTGAAGCCTTTTTTTAATGGATTCCTGGCAGGGCAGATAACTGCTCTCCAAATGATCTCTGTGAACTGGGGTCATAAAAAAGCGTTGGATCATATGGAAACATTTCGCAATCATCCTCATTTTGCACAGATGAAGGCTTCATGGTCTACCTACCAAAAGGTGATTACTTCCAATATGGTATAATTTTGTAAGAGCTATTTGTGCATTTCTTATAGTCTTGTTTTATATTACCTGTGAATCTGTTCACATTTTTCTTGTTATTACATGATGTGGGATGTTTAGATAGTAGATGATAGCTTGTGCATAATGGATGATGTCTCTGGAACATGAGAAAAGAGGAGTCTTTATCTTGGTGAAAGTATAGCAGTACTTTTGCTAAAGCTTTGGATTTAGAGGAATGATTTAACTCCTACTTCATCCAGTAGTGAAATAGAACTGCTTAAGCTGAAGGTTTAATCTTTATAGTCTAACTGTTGAAGCAATTTTACAACTTTACAACCCCATTATATTAGTTTTGTCATCTCATTTTGACAATTGGGGTTTACAAAGACAGATCTATGTTTTGTTACTCATCAGATATCTCCTGTCTTAATTAGTCTCGTCATGAATAATTGAATATGCTCCTCATTCCTCTCTTCTATTGATATTTTGTCTTTGTGATCGGCAATGCAGTAATCTTTCACTTGCAACCATTATTCTTGCACTGTGATTTTTCGCCAAACTAACAACCCTTCTTGTTTTGGAGCAGCGGATTCCAGCTCTCCTTCTCCTTCAAGCGACATATACCACTGCACGATTTGGGTTATTTGAGTGAGTCCACCTTTTTCTTATCTTAAGCCTCTGATTATTGGTATGGCCCATACGGTATCAAATATTAGTGATGTCTGCCATTTCTGTTGCTAGTTGCCTGCCTTATACAGCTTGAAAAACTCGAATCTCTTCTATTGCTGGTTGATTTAAAAGAGGTGATTGAGAATGTGAATGACTTGATGGATGTTTTACTTTGCTGAATGACTTGAATTATTATACTTTCTGAATAGTAAGTAAATCAGTGTTATTGAGGGACAGAAAAGACCCGAGTGCATTTACAGATATATTTTGATTATAATTGTTGTTTAAATAAACTTTTATGATGTTTACATCTTTTCCGGCTATCATCTGGCAGTTATTTGACCGAAAAAGTTAAAGCTGCAAATCATGGCATTCCATTGTCGCTGTACCAAGAAGCCTGCTGTGGGCTGATATCTGGTGGCTTCGCATCCTTCATTTCATATCCTTTAGCTGTAGCAGACGCTTCTATACTGGTTGGTAATTCTCTTCAATCAGTGAAGCCCAACCTCAACTTGAGAAGTGTGCTTTTCAATCAATATCTCATGGTTAAAAATGAAGGGATGTTGGCATTATGGAAAGGTTCTTATCGCTGTGTGACCAGATGTATGTTCTTCAACATGGGGTTACTACCATCATACCATCGGAGTTATAGTTACTTTAGGGAGTCAGTTGGTCTGGACAAAACTCAAGCAATATTAGGTGTTTCTCTCTTACAACCTGCATTGCTTGTAGATACTATGCCACATTTTGAAATCAGCATTGTTGTAGTCAATCAGCACTGATTTCCTATCTCTCTTACTTGTTTCTTTGGTGTCTCAGGAGCTGGAATTGTATCGGCTTTCATTGGAACTGCTTGTTCTTCATCGTGGTCACACATTTCTACACTTGCGCATTTCATAAACAGTGAGAGTGGTAAAAAGTGTTCATACAGAGACTTTTTGTTTTTAGTTGCACATCATTTACGGCCAGGGGGAAAGTTCAAGTTCTATTCAGGAATACTAAAAGAGTTTGGTTGGCGCACTCCTGTTACATTGGTACGTCGTCCCTCAAAACTTCAACTATGTATTTGGATACGCATGTATTCTTGCATTTTTCATCTCTTTTCCTCTTAGGACCTGTTCGAGTTTCTGACTTTTTTCGCTCTCGAGTCTCACTTTTCTTTGGAAGTTTTCATATGGCATCCCCTAGTATTGAATAGATGGATGGCACTCATTTTAGCAACTTTTTCTTGACTTCTTTCGGGCAGATTACATGGGTGAACTTGGAAGCTGTCCGAGGATTTGAAAAACACATATGAAGGGTTTTAGCATTCGGGGAAATGCGACAGATGGAGTTCATGTTTTTCCTCCCTTCTGATGAGAATGAAAAATATGAGAAGCTGACTGACAATCAAATCGCATTTTGAAGATTCAAATTCTGAGAAATTCAGTGTGTTAATTATTTTCTAGTGCTTCAAGTTTTAGCTGAAACTTTTCCCTTGGTTTTTTGCTACATTAATGTGGTGAAGTTTGAACTACTTTAGCTTGCAATTACATCAGTGACATTTGACATCTTTACTTTGAAGGAACTGATTATAGTGACACTGCCAACATCTCTAGCTTCATATTTAAGTCTTCCATTTTTTCCAATCAGAGATTTTCTTAATCAATGCAAATGAGTATGGCTTGATGAAAAGCTAAATCCACACCCACGTTGAGCTTGTTAAATAAACTACTTTTGGTGCAGCTACAAAATAATTAGGGATCAAAAGTGAGCAAAATTAACAAATAAATTATTAAAATGAGATGAATGGAGTATTGTTACAATGAAACGCAAGAGTAATGATGTAATGGGTTACAGTAACTAAAATATTGCACACTCCGAGGGTTTTTTTTCCCCCCAGTTTACAGTCTAATTTGATTGACCAAAAGGTCCAAGGCTGGTATGCACGCAAATCGAATCGCAGTCTCTTTTTTTTCACTTTTTGCACCAAAATGTTTAAAACAGCCAGCTGCCATAGCTGTACAACAGAAAGGTGGAGCTAATATATCTACATGTAGACAGTGATAATTGCAGAAAATATAACTTAGCTTAAACAAATTTCTTAGAGAGAGGAAACAAAATTGGAAGGTACCAAAATGAAGGGCCGACGAAAATATGGCTCTCCGGCCTATAACAGAGGTGCAGCAGCAGCAGCTACTGCTTTAAGCGGCATTGTTTTCCATCCTTTTGATACCATCAAGGTCTGTAAAAACACCAATTTCCTAATGTTGTTTTTAGTGTCACTATTTTGTTTAGTCATTGAGGTTAATTTTATTTATTTATTTATTTTTTGTTAAATCTGTTCACAGGTGAGAATACAAATGGGTCAGGGACCAAACTTCCATTTGATCACCAACATGCTTAGAAATGGAGGAATTGCAAGTTTCTATAAGGTAAATCGCCAGGCTTTCTATAATCTCTAGTTACTCTTTGGTTCAAGACAATTAAACTTGACCTAACGTTATTAGTCTCTCTTGGCTGTTTTTGAGTAGGGATTGTCCGCTGGGCTGCTAAGTCAAGTGACAAGTTCAGCTGTTTGCAGTTACTCACTCAAGTAAGTGTCATCATGCAGTAACAGTGATGAATTATACATTCTTTTCCAAATATCTAGTTAAATTGTTCGATCTTCTGTTCGTATTGATACAAAAAGTGGGTCCTTTAGCTAGATTTTCTGACATCCATTTTAGCCATAAACCAGGGAATTGAAGAAAGGGGGGGTTCTTTTGGTGAAACTTAATTGTGTAGCGGAAACTGATCGATGCATCAATGTGACATCTTTTCCTGATCTCTTGAATTTGATTTGTGATAGGCTAGCGAATTATGAAAGAATTTTTGTCTATTCAGAAGTTTAGGATGTTTGAAGAAGATTATGCAGGGAATTTTTGTGATCATCACGGAATTTATGAGCTATCAACTGTTGCTAAGTATTATCTACTTGGTTTCTTTTCCCTTCAGATGCCAAAATATAGTTCAAATGTGGTAATTCACTGAAACCCTACCTTTGTTTTTTTCCGATAGGTATGTTATGGTTGGTTCTTATATAGCTGATGGTGGTAACCTAATCAATCCATATTACCGGCAGCTTTTCTGTTCGCTTACTGGCAGTGCCATTGGAGCAGTTGTGTGTAATCCAGCAGAGTTAGCAATGACTCGTATGCAAGGAGACGCATCCTTACCTTCAGCTCTGCGCCGGAATTACAAAAACCTGCTACAAGCATTGTACCAAACTGCCTCAAAAGAAGGAATTCAAGCACTCTGGAACGGCTCTGGTCCAAGTGCATTGAGGACAATGTCATTAACAATTGGACTCCGTGCCTCATCTGAATCTTTTAATATCTTCCGGCGTTACACTAATGATTTTAAGATTAATTTACTAGGTAAGATACTAGCATGTTTTTTGCAATAAACATTTCAAACCTTTTTATCACCAAGAGCTAGCAGGTGTTTATTCATTTTTGTTTTCCTATTAGGCTAATTGTAATGTGCTTTCCTTTCAGTGGGGATTTTAATCTATGGGATTGTGCCTCCAGCCTGTAGCAGCCCATTCGATTATGTCAAAACTCAAATGCAGATGATGCAGCCAGATGCCACAGGGAGATATCCATATGCTGGTCCTCTGGATTGTGCCATGAAAACCCTCAAGTTTGGAGGGCCGCTTAAGTTCTACACTGGATTTGTTGTACAGTGCTTCAAATTCTTTCCTCAATCCCTGGTATTGCCTGCAACTTTTCCCTTCTGTGTTGTTCCTTTTGTCTCTTGATATCAATGCGTGTATACTGTTTACATTTTAGAGACCAGATTCTAATCAGGAATGTGTGCTTCTTCTGTTTTTTTTCAGCTGATCGTCATGCTTTATGATCGTGTTTTCAAGGGTGTGAATGTGTCCTTTAGAGTGTAGCGCCTGGCGATCAAAGTACTCGGTTTCAAGCTTGTCTACTAGTATCTCAGAAGAATTCATAGAGTTGCTCGGCAAATGTTTATGTGCTGACTAGAAGGATGAGAATTGTTGGGAACTTAATGATAATGCGATTCTTTTTTCTTTCTTTCTTTCTTTCTTTTTTTTTTTTTAAAAATAAATATTTTTGCAGCCATTTGCAGAAGATAATAAGCAATAGTCATCTGAAAAGTAATCACTTCTGAACTTCATTTTATGCTGTTTGCATCGTTTGTAGGAGAAACCATGTATTTTTAAGGACTTAGTGATTGCAACTGAAACTTGCTTGGCCTGTGGTGAGTCTGATGACTAGTAGCCTTTTTCCCTTTTAATCAATTACAGATTTTTTAGTTACTTGTCGAATACAGAGTAGTGTAATTAAAGAGCAGCTGTTTATTTTGTTGTAAACCAAAACTATCCCGATTTACAAACATTAAGGGACCAAAATGATCCCCATTGTTGACCTCCACTGTTAACCTCTTCTCAAAGTTTCTTACCACCAAAAGTTCTCAACAACTTGTTTTCACGATCAAAGAAGAGGAGAATTGGGAATGGGGATTTGAGAATAGTTAGAAATTGAAAAGAAGCCAAAACCTTGTCAACTAACCATTACTTTCACTTCACTTTCAATAGTGTCGCCACAGGAAATGACATCAATCTTCTCAAGGTAGGAAGACACTGTTAAACACTCAGGAAGTTTTTTTAAGTATAAATCAGATATTCTGCATCAATTCTCAGAAGGTTTTCTTTATTTTCATAAACAAGGAGTAAGTGAATCCATTTTATGGTTTTGGATTTGAGATACGATTGAAGTTGTGATAAAATAATAGAGAGAATCATTGATAAAATCAGCAAGGAAATTGTTGATGTGAGCCTGACTAAAATTTTAAAAAATAATTCCTTTACCTTTCATGAAATCAAATGACACTTAAGACACGTATCAGTTTCACAAAGTTTTTTTTCCGCCAAAACGAAAAATATACATCTTTTGCAAAAGTAGAACGCCACATGTCCTGTGTTCATCGGGAAATCCCTTTACACTTCATGAAAGCAAATGACACTTAGGACACGTGTTAGCTTCACAAAGCTTTTTCTCCCGCCAAAACGAAAAATACATCTTTTACAAAAGTAGAACGCCACGTGTCCTGGGTTCATTGAAAAAAAAAACAATACCCCAAATTGTGCAAATATAAAAAAGGAGAAAAAGGCAATATTAAAGTAATAATACTGATCTCAATTTTTGCACGCTCTCCTCAATTTTAGCCGAGGATAAACAATCTCCCCATTATCTTCTTCGTGAGTTAATAAAATCAAATTTCAAAAAGGATTTATCAAATGATCGTTTTGCCTCTCTTTCAATTCAGAAGATTCCAAAACCTAAAGAATCATCTTCGTCTCGGAGATTTTTCTGTTTCTCCACCTCCCCCAAAATCACAGTAGTCTCACTCCCTTTATTTCTCTGACTGCGTTCAATTGTAATCCCTCAAAAGTAATTCTTATTTAGTACTCCTCAATTTGAAAATCTGGATTTTTCCCCTCATGAAAAATAGATAAAAATTGGGATAATTTTGTAGGATGTAGCGATGGTGTACCGCAGATGTCGACCCCCAGCGTATTCGGATGCCAAATCAAGTTTGAAGCGGATTTCCACATTTTTCTGGTCGCTCTTCACCGGCTCCAAAATAGAGCCGACGACATCAACGGATGAGTTCGTCTTTGACAGGAAGAGGAAAATCCGGTAGGGTTAATTCGGGGTAAAGATCCGATCGACGACAAATCGAGGGTCTTCAAGGCACATCTATTTGGCAAGATATGCTAGGAAGAATTGCCAAGATTGAACAAATCGGAGGTGTGTGATTTTACATTTACACTCTAGGTTATGATTGTTTTTATATTTATAGCTATCAGTTTCCTCCTCCTACGATTAGGTTCTGACCAATTCTTAATTTGGCGAATCCCGAGCATCGATGACTGTTAAATTCAGATTATTTGAACCTTGAGATGAGTAGCATTGATGTCCTATGAATTCATTAGAGGTGGAAATCCACTTGATGATGGTAAAATCAGAACCTATATAAACCATTAGCAGGGTTCGAATTCAATGAAAAGGTTTTATTTTTCTTTTAGTTTTGGCCTTTCTCCTTGGTTAATAATATTTGTAATATTGTTTTGCTGAATACAACACTTTGTAGGGTTTGAATTTGTTAATGATGCATACTGACATATATTTAATGTCATTGGATGATACAATCTGAATGTTGTGATTGGATTACTTCTGCATATGAATCTTTAATACTGTATTGTTTGTAATTATATAGATCATGTTGGAAACCAACACCAGATTTGAGGAGGTCCGACTCTGCTACTCTCCATTCTCAAGAACAACTCACACAGGCAAAATGGTTGCTTTGGTTCTAGATAGTCCATTTGAAGGACCGGCAATATAAGTTAGTGGATTCTGTTTACATTGTGGTTATGACTCAACTGTACTACGAAGTAATGCCTTTGATTTTGAGATTTAATTATACAAATTCTATAAATATTCTTTGCTACACATAGATACAACACACAAAAGAATTGATGATTTTGTATTTGAATATTATTTGTCCCTTATGGGTAAGATCCAATGACCAGTTAGAACGACTATATTTTCTATTGTTTAACGGACCTAATGTACAGGTGTCCCGGGGCAAATGGCGCCCCTTGCCAGGTGCCATTTGCCCGGAACAAACTTGATGTTTCAATTTGTTTCTGGCTCTGTATTATTTTGGAGACTTTGAGCGAAACTGAAAAAGAATGTTTAATGATTCGCCAATAATTATTGTTGAAGAGGGCACATAAGTGCTGGAGGGTCCAAGAAGAATCTACACCTACAGTCACTGCAGTAATTGATCTTTTTGCATCAACCGAGCTTTCACTCCAGCGAGCTATTCTTCCTCCCGATTCAATTCTGTTTTGAGGTGAGTGAATTCCTATTCCATTTTAATTCAGTTCCTGTATTCTGGTTGTTTTTAGCATTTCTTTTTGGTTGTCATTAAGTATGTTAATATATCTTCTTACAGAAGATGTATAATGATGCTAAAGTACTATCCTTGGAAGCAAAGAGCAGAGAGAAATGTTATTTTCCAATCAATTGCAACCTACTGTCTATGAAGGATTAGTTGGACACCAGTAGCTTAAGTAGACCTCTCTGTTCTCTGCATTTGATTTCAACATGTAATGCCCTCACATTATGCTACTTTTTCTTTTTTTTTTTTTTTTTGCTATAGTGTAGTATATTTTTTAGTTTCCTATCAAGGAAGGCAAAGAAGCTATGCAGTGGTTGACCATTCAGCTCATAAGATTATTATTGTGGTCTTTTGCGAATCCTGGTTTGCAGGTGAAGACACACGTTTCATTGATCTTTGATTAGAACCTGAAATATTCGAAGGCCGCAAAGGAGACAAGCAAGTAAGTTTAGTTTATGTTCACCTTTTAATTAACTAATCACATGCCCCTTGATGCAGTTATAAACATATGGGAAGATGAGAGATGTTAGTGATAAATGTTGGGAGGGAAGGTACTAGATTCTTCTGATAATGTGAAACAAATATAATAAAGTTTAAAAGAGTAGAGAATTGGGATTGTTTTATGAAAGTTGACATTTGCGAAATATATACGTTCTTGCAATTTCCCAGAGACAAATGCTCTGCGGTTACAGTACTTGTGTTAGTAAAGAAATCATATGTAAGTCTGTTTTCCTCAACATGCACATTAGTTTACTTCTTTAACAAGTTCTCAGTTGACAGTAATGACACTTACATGTCATCTTTGTGCAGAAAACATATGGACAGGATAGAACATGTAAGAATGAAAGAGATTTACATTCACTAAAGAAGCGTTTGAATAACTATGAAATCACGAAAGATGCAGCATAAGATCTTTTTTCAGTAACCTATTCATACAGAAAGAGTAAACACTGACAAAGTTTAAGTTGAGGCTTCTGTAGCAATTATAGTTCTCAAGGTTGTGTGATTATGTCAGCTTAATTATCAGAAACCAATTTAATTTTTGTTCTTATGTATATAAGAAGTATATCATTTTCTTTAGTTCCTACATGTTACAAAACATTATCAACATTCTATATGGTAAAACTTGAATTTAAAAAGTAATAAATATCAACTACTTTGTTAGTCAATTAAAAATAACATGGGGTTTATTTGGGGAAAAAACAAATACACGAAAACGCTGCTAATCAGTCATCTTGACACAAAACTAATACTCTCTAATAATTACAAGTCAAGCATCCATGTTCGAGTGCAACCAACAAACACTTGAGATAAAAGAAAAGGTCATGAGTCACGCTGGAATTTTTGCGCCAACATTTTAAGGGAAAACAACTACATGTGATTAAACGCTGAGGATCTATGTGATTTATTTATTTTAATTATTAATTTTGCTATAATATATATATATATATTTTGTTACATATTAATTTATAATATATATTTTGCACGGGACAAGCATCTCGTAAAATTTTATTCGCTTATATTACAACTCCTAAAACAAAGTTCACCAACTATAAATTACCATTTTTAACATCCCTACAAAACCTTTCCCACGACTCATAAAAAACGGCACAAGCGGACTCATAAACAACGGTAAAAATGGTAATGACCTGGACAATAATATTCCTCTTCTCAATACCTATTTTAAAAATTCTACCTAAAAACTTTAGGCGGGAAAATAGGTCTTTTCATCCCAAAGTTTGGGCCGCACCATCCAAAACATCCCAAAGTTTAAGAACATGGTATTTACATCCAAAACTTTTTAAAAACATGTTACATTAGGATATTCGTTAAATTTTTAACTCCAGTTAATTAATTAGTGGTGGTACTTTATTCTGTTTCTCCTCCCCCAATTCTTTTAATCAGTTAACACGTTCCACTAACTCTCACCTTATAAGAAAATAGCTAAACCTAATTTGGTATTCTCATCATCCATTTTTCCTTTGCTTAGAAAAAGAAAAAAAAAAAATCCAAGATTCACTTTCTAGATTGATAATAATCATGAGAGGTTTTGTGTGTGTCCTAATTAAAAAGTAAGCCCTATTTCATTTATTTTTTTAAATATGTAGCATCATTATAAAAATTGGTGTTGTAATTGATACAGGGCATGTAACTTTTTTGTTTGGCATGGACCAAATTTACCAAACGCAAGCATGAAACTTTTTTGACTAAAAATAATAGGGGGAAAAAAATTGAATGAAATATCGCCGTTAATAACTTGAAAAAATTAACAAATGTCTTAATATTACATATTCTTGAAAAGTTTGGGATGAAGATGACATGCTTTTAAACTTTGGGATGTTTTAGATAGTGTGGCTCAAATATTGGGATGAAAAGGCCCATTCTCCCAACTTTAGGCAAATAAAAACAAAAAATAAAAAAATAGCAAAGCCAGAAAAATGAAAGAAGAAAACAAAAGGACTTAATAACCCAGCCATGGTAGCGACCAACGCCAGAAGAAACTCGGTTGCAACTTTGGCTCGCAATCCGGCGTTCCTGTACAACTTCAGAAATTCCTGAATGCCTTTCACTTGAATTTCTATAGCTTCGCCACAATAAACGACATCAATCTTCTCAAGGTAGGAAGACGCTACTAAACAATCAGGAAGCTCTAGCAACTTGCTGCAGTGATCCAACACCAATTTCTCCAATTTAGAAAATTGACCTCCATCAGCATCTGCTGTCCACCGGACAATGTCCAACCTGGACAACTTCAAGAATTGAACTTCTTTGAAGTCCCCTTTTTCCACATCCCATGAGTCTCCAACGAAGCAGGAATCAAGTAATTTGAGAACCTGGAGATGTGGTAGTTTACCAATGGGTGAAATCTTTTCCCAGGGCAATCCTAGCCTTGACAAAGTCAGCTTTCTTAGATTTCTAGGCAACCGAAAATCAAATACACGTTGATTCATCATCGATACATCGGACCGCAACAAGTGAAGCGACTCTAGTTTCTTCAATGCATCAGGAATCACAATCACATCCAGCTTTTGATTCTCAACCAACATTCGGGAAATGTCGCATTTCAACCTGCGAATGTTTGGAAACTTCCGCAACTGTTTCTCCATGCTGGCACCAGGGCAAATGAATAAACCTGAAAAACTTTCCAACTCGAACAACACACAGGAATCCTCTGCATTTTCGATAGGCAAAATGCCGCCGCCAAATTTTATGGAAAGCCATTTCAATTTCCTCAAGTTCCAAAGAGTATGTGGCAACGAGACCTTTGATCGTCCTCTTTGCAGATGCACAACAAATGTTTCCAGGTTTGAAAGCTTACCAATCGATGCTGGAATGAATTGCATTGTACCTCGAATTGACAAGTATTTCAACGGATTGAGATGTTCTATTCCACTTGGAAACTCATCACCCAAACAAATATGCTCCAATTCCAACACCTTGAGGCTCTTGGAGACGGCAGTAATGGAGGATGTAGGGCGCCACTGTGGTCCGGATCGTGACTTCTTTTGCGAGGACAAGAACAACAGTGAACGTGCACGAGGACAAAATAACTTGGACTCCATAAAACCATCTCCATCATCACAAATGCACAATCTCTTAAGATGGTGTGGCTCGTTATAATTGGGAAGCTGTTCATGATCTTGTAAGACATGGAAGAAATTTTCTTCGCTTGCTTTTTTTCTCAAACAAAATCCATGCACCAAATCATAAACCCGGCAAGTTTTGACACCACCAGCGGATCCTCGTTTAGCAACGATGACTAAACTTCTTCCAATTAGTTCCATCAGATACTCTTTGGCAACATCTTCTATTCTCTTGGATGCTCTTTTACGAACCAGCCCTTCAGCTATCCAGAGCTGAATCAACCTCTTCACAGATACTTCTTCGTCTCTTGGAAATGCTCCAAAATATAACAAACAAGGCTTTAAGTGAGATGGTAATTGCTTGTAACTCAATTCCCACGACTTTATGCTAAGTTCTAGACTAGCTATACTGCCTGAAAATAAACCATTCACAATTTCGTTCCAACTCTCTGATTCGCTATCTGCTAAAAGGCCAGCAACGTTGACAAGTGTAAGAGGCAATCCCTCACATAACCCTGCAATTTGCTTCCCTAATTGACGTAATGCAGGAGACCAATCTTTTCCATGTAATAACTTCCTTCGCAGCAACTCCAAAGACTCTTCTTCCGTCAGTCGAGACATTGAATGCTGTACTTTATTGGGGTAACATTTTGGAAAAATATCATTTCGCCGACTTGTGACGAGAAATCTACTTTGAAATCCAGGAGGGAGTACATGTCTCAACACCGCCAACGTGTCCCCCTCCCATACATCATCCAAAACTATAAGATATCTTCTTCTATTCAAATGTCTCTTGAACACCTCTCTGAAATCCGATGGATCCATACTCCCAACAGAACCTCCGGCATTGATTTGATGTGAAATCTCGGACAATAACATGTCCATGGGTTTTCCCGGAGAGGCAGAACACCATGCACAAACATCAAAACAGTATTTAACAGACGGATCTTTGTAGACCATGGAAGCTAAAGTTGTCTTTCCAGCGCCTGCCATTCCCCAAATATAGACCATATCCAATTCGTTGGTTCCTGTTGTAAGTTGACACACAATGCTTTTCACATCACCAGTGAACCCGACAACATCGTCGCTGGGAACCTGTGTCTCGATGGCTCTCTCCACTCCAGGTTCTTTTTTGTTGAGATCAAGAAGAGTGATGATATCCTTGATTTCCTCTTTATCTACAGCATTAGCGATACCCTTGACTTCTTCGGCGATGGAATCACATAAAATTGAGAGGAAATCAGAATTATCTCCAACCGCAAACTGGTTAGTTACAAGGAATTCAATTCTGTAGGCCACTTTCCAAATACGACCTCGAAGAGCTTGGACTTGAACACGGTCGTTGAGAGAATTCTTAGTGTTCTTTAAGAAATATTCCAGGCGGGAGAGATGGACTCGGACAGCATCAACATCATCACTTCCCAGAGCCATCAGATATTCATATTGTTGGAGATAACCCAACACAGGTAAAGTCTCATCAAAACCCTGCTCATCAGTCCTGTGACAGTTGAATTTAGCTTTTTCTTCAACTTTCGATAGAAAAAGCTTAATTTCCACAAGGAGGTTTTGAAGATCAGGATTGATGTCTACATGTGTCTGGTGAAAGTAGCACATTAACACACTGGCATCAGAGATCAGAGCCTCAATTCGGCTCCTGCTGATTCTTCCATTAACGCATTCTGGCTGCTGTTCCAAACTGGTTAAAAAGAGTCTGAATCCTTCAGTGAGAACCTGCTGTCGATCCTTGGTATAATAATACAACTGCCCAGAAGCTTCAGGTAACAGCAAATCCCGAAGACGTGCTATGAGACAATCAACAACGCCCATGTTACAAGTAGTGAATAAGTCAATTGTTGCAGTCTGTGGAACAACAACACAATCTGTCTCTCCAGCTTCTGATTGAACCAAATTAATCCGTCTGATCAACTCTTGAAGCGCAGGATTGATTTCTGCAGGTTTCAGGAAAAAAGAGAAAATTAAGACTCCAGCATCACACACCAGAGCCCCAATCCGATCCCTGATTTTCTCATTGACGTCTTCTGGTTTCAGAATGGTCCTCAAGAATCTTAATCCTTCATACAGAATTTGTCGCGGATCCTTCATAAAATACGGTCTTCCAGAATCGGATTGCAGGATGTCCCAGAGAATGGATATGAGAGAATCGAGGAAATCCCGACACGCTTGACCACGTAATCGACCGGACGATCTGAAGCTATTCAGAGCTTTGGTGTACGTGTGGCAGACTTGAGGATCCATAGGCTTGATTTTTGGGAAGAGATTTGAGCAATTGAACTGCATTCTTTGACACCATCTTTCATCCAACTCATCATCTATCGGGCTGTTGATGAAGACACGTGCTGCAGTGATCGCAACAGCTTCAAAGTGGGTCAACAAATCCTTTATATGCCTGTTTTCCGCACAAGTTTCCTCCACTGCAAAGAGGAGAAAGCTTCTCAGGAACTTCATCGGGGTGTACAAGGCTTCCATTGCACTCACCAAAGTTGCTCCTCCAGTGGAAAAAATCATAGGAAAATCAACCAGGTTCCCAAGAACGGAATCAGTGATCTCCAGGATCTCATCTGCAGTTAAACAACTCGATGATGATTGTTGTTCCACTGCGAGATCTGCCGGAGCGACGAACCATCCTTCATCATCAATTTCTTCCTCCAGACGGGGGATCTCATTGAAAATGATCCGAAGCCGAGGCATTGAGATGGAAGCAGTTGAAGCGTCAAAGGGACGGTGAATTTTCTTGGCATATCTGGAAACAACATCTTCAATCCTCGCCAATAGAGATTCCAAGCCGCGGGCATCTTTGTTCAACTTTCTTGCAGAAACAACAACGAAGGCCTTGAGATTCCTTAGCCTAATGCTCTGTTTCTTCAGGTCATTAGCCAAGGAAGGAGTACGGTTTGCCCGCAACACGGTATCATTCAAGGCAACATTGATGCGATTCACAATGCGGGATATTGATAGGGCCATTTGATTTGATGAGCTTACTTTGACTGAATTGTGGGGAAACAAAGTTGTAGGGATTGATAAGAACCTGCAGTTTGGTTATTGTGATCCGGAAATAGCCCAAGGTCGGTGAAAGAGCAGTGTAGCAGTCCTTTTCATCAATTCAACTGGTCATTTGTTTAACTAAAAAGACAACTCAGACCATGTTCCACAAGGAATAAAAAAGGGCATCACAGAAGTTGACTTTATTGATGTTGATCACGAGATCGAGAATAGCTCTCCCAGCTGGCGGACACATTAACATTGTCAAGTATTGATATTATGGTTTTTTTTTTTCTAAAAAAATAAATAAAAAATACTAGTGAAAATTATCTTTGTATTAAACAAATATTTGTCTCATACATTCTTATTGATTTAATAAGTTAATTGGAAAACAAAGTTTGATAAACACATATCACTAAGTATGATATAAATGTAAATTTTTAAAATTTTCAAATGATTTTTCTACTCTTAAAATTTTTTTCCCTTGAAAGCAGTCAAATTTTAATTAACATATATAATTCTTTTTTAAAAACAGAGCTTTTTTTTTTTACTACGGGCCAATTACTGGGCTTTTTGCATTGTTAAACATGAAATATTAATATCTTTTAAAGCCCAATTCATATTAATTCTTCCAGTCAAGTAATTCACATAATTAATTATGATTTTTATAATTTTAGAACAATAAAATTAATAAATACAAATGAAATACTCTAAGGATGGGTTCACTCCAGTGGGGGCACGTGTCCCCAGTGCCCCAACCCTAAATCCGCCCCTGTTTCTCAATCATCATGTATTACCTCTGTACCAAAAAACTAGTTCATATCGAGTTTCGAGATTTGTACTAATTTTAGTAAAAATTTGAAAACTCAACATGAACTATTTTTCTAAAAGGACGAAATATGATATAGTTAATGCTAATCAACCGTTGATTATACGTAACCCTTTTTTTTTATACATATACTTAGGACGTGCCTAAAATTACATTAAAAAAAAAGGCAGCAGCCCACAAATTGCCTTTAATACTTCCACACAACCTTAACAATGAAATGGAGTACTATTGATAAGTTAATTAAATCTAAACCTTTTCAATCCCAACAACCTAAGTTTTGTCTTTTTTGGTGTGGCTGCCAGCCATTTCTGCAGACCTTAACTTGGTGCAACTAGAATGCAGTACTACTTTGTGTATTTCTTTTCCTGTTACACTCGGTGAAAATGATCCGAACTTCAGTTTCTTGGCCGATTTAATCCAAAATTATTTTCAGAAATCAATTTCGTCTAATTCCCTTAATCCGTTGGTTTAATTACAAAAATTTTCCTATAGTTTCAAACAATATAAAGTCAACCCTCAAAATATGTAAAATATTAAAATAATTCTTTTTTATTTTTATTTTTTCCTATTATTATCCCTTTCTCTTTGAGTTGTCGGTGTAGTACATTTGCTAGTGTGGTAAGTTTAAAAGTGAACTCACCATTGATTACTAGATCTCACCTTGGTCTTGGAGTAACATCAATTCATCGATCCAAATGGAAGACCAACCACCTTAATTTTGTCTCTTTCTAGTACATATATATATCGTTGGAGTAAACCTAATTTTTCAAAATACATGTCGTTTTCACATATTGAGATATCTTTTGTCAATTTCTTCTAATATTACCCCTACATGAAAAATTGTAATTGTATTTCAAATAGAAGTATATTAGAACAAAATATTATTGGAAATAAAATTATATTAAGAGTAAATGAAGGTAATTTAGTATTTTAACAAGCTATTTATTGTTTCCTTAAACTTGATGAAATCTCTCTAACGATATGTATTTTGGAATGGAGGGTGTACTATTATTTTAAGTTAGTCCAGGTTGACTTTTGAGACAAATCTGTGGGTACTTCTTCTTCCTGTCTTTGTATTTTAATTAATTCTTCTTTTTGATTAACTTACAAGATGATTCGTTCTTATTTTAAAAAATAAAAAATCAACAAGCTCGATCTAATAATTTTCTTACTTCATCAATTCATTCTTACATGATAATCCAGTTTGAAATTTAATTTTTAATACAAATTGTATAAAAAATAAAAATCCAAACGACCGAGTGAACACCAAATGAAAACTAATAAAGAAAACATTAGTAAATGAAAATGACAGTAAAGCGGCAGCTATAAAATATAATCATGTAGTTATTCATCGGTCTCATATTAAAGATATATTCACTGTATTGAATTAAAATAATTTAACATAGTAGACTATATCAATACAAGACGAATGATTTACATATAGTATGAATTATTCATACGGGCAGCCTGGGTGGCGAATACAAAAAATCGACGCGGTGCCGGTGGGGGTGGCTAAATGGTATTGTTGTACGAATTACGTTTAATAATTATCAGTAATTCACTTTTAAAAAAATATGAATTTGGCACTTGCATTTGATTAATTCATAAACAGAATACTTAATTGAGAGCATAATATTAAATTTAATTTCTTGCAACATTGTTCATATTTCTTCATCTTGTGGCTATATATATAGAAGAATAGGTTTCACGAATTTGGAACTCGAGTTTTTTTCTTTTTAGCCTTGATTTGATCACACACACACACACACACACACATATATATATATATATATATATATATATATATATGATCCTTCCGCTTCCATATTGTTCTTAGATTCTCGTTCTTCTTTTGAACAAGTAGTTGGAATGGCCGTTCCAGATGCGGCAGTGAGTTTCCTGCTGGAAAATGTGACCCAGTTGCTGGTCTACAACGTTAACCTGATCGGCAACGTCAAGGAAAACGTTGAAGATCTGAGAAAGAGTCTCAAGCTGCTTCAGGGATCGATGAATGATCTGATCAAGCTGGATACCCAATCCAAAGCCGTGAAGGAAACGGTGCAGAGTATTAAGGAATTGATTTGGCGAGCTGAGGATGCTATCGACAGTTACCGAGTTCAGGCTGCGATCCAGAAGAAAAGGCCTGTGGTGGAGAAGCTTTTTTTCGGCATAGCCCATTACCCGGCGGTTCTCAGGGAACTGGCAAAGGGCGTTGAAGACATTGGCAAAGAAATTGACAAGATCAACCAATTCACTTTGCCCAATGTCTGTAATCAACTCCAGATCGCCGCCATGGTCAACCTTAGTAAACCACCCGCTGAAGCCGCTCCTAAGGAGGTACACTCTACTCGTATTCTCTTTCCATTCCAAAATGATTGTTCAGTTTGTGATTTTTCAATTTTATTATTATTATTTTTTTTCAGTTAAAGAGATTTCACTTTTAGTACAAACTAGGACAATCACTTTTAGTTCAGTTGATCGACTCTTTTTGTAATAATTTTACAAAGGGACCCATTGTTGAGGAAGAGCATGTGATTGGTTTTGATGGGGCAGCCCAAACAGTGGAAGACATGCTGATCAAAGGACCAGAACACCTGGAAGTTATTTCAATAGTTGGGATGCTGGGATTGGGGAAGACAACCCTAGCAAAAATGGTTTACAAGGATTCTGATGTTGATTACGCGTTCATGGCTCGGGCATTCGTTTATCTTTCCAAAGATTATGACAAAAGAGAAGTACTGCTCAAAATTTTAGCCGATGTCACCAAATCAGCACCTAGTGAAGAAGTTACCAGAATGAACCTGGAGCAGCTAGAAAGTCATCTCAAACAACTACTGGATGGAAGAACTTATTTGGTGGTGTTGGATGACGTTTGGGAGCAACAACATTGGGACAGCCTGCTAAATGTTTTCCCGAAAAACAATAGGCGATGCAGAGTTCTCATCACTACCCGTAATGTAGATGTGGCCAAGTATGCAAATCCATCTCTCAATTCGCTTTATAAGTTGGATTTCTTGAGTGATGAAAATTGTCAAGAGTTGCTCAGATGGAGAGTGTTTCGCCAAAATGATTGCCCCTCAGAGTTAGTAAACTATGAGAAAATCATTGTTGCCAAGTGTGCAGGTTTGCCGTTGGCTGTGGTGGTCATCGCAGGTATTCTTTTGAATCACTCCACCGTAATTGATTGGTGGAGGCATGTGGCCGATAGTGTTAAAGATTACATAGCTAGGGATGCCGCCAAAACTGCCGAGGTGATACACTTGATGTATCACCATTTACCTAACTATTTAAAGACATGTTTTCTATACCTCGGTGTCTTTCGTGAAGATTTTGAAATACAGGTGTGGAAACTAGTGCGCATGTGGATTTCAGAAGGGTTCATACAAAACCAAGACAAATTCAACTTAGAGGTCATGGCAGAGCAATACTTGGAAGAACTTGTTCATAGGAATTTAGTGATGGTGGGGAAGCGAAGGGCGAATGGCAAAATTAAAACTTGCCGTATGCATGATACGTTGCGCGAGTTTTGCAAGAAACAAGCCGCAGAAGAAAACCTTTTCGGGGAAATCAAGGCTGACAACTTGTCATCATCCCCTTCATCTGAAAACCAAGCTGTGGGAGATTATCGGCGCCTTTGCATCAACAACGTCAGCCTTTCCACATACCTTGCTGGAGCTCCATCAGGTAAATCTGTCCGTTCACTTTTAGCTTGTCCTAAAGATGAAACAACTATGGATGCGAAACTTGTTTCAAACATCACGAAGGCTTTCAACCTTCTTAGGATATTGGAAACTGAAGCAGTGGTCATTATCCCCCGTCTGCCGGCTGACTTTTGTAGTCTTGTTCTTCTACAATACGTAGCCATATCCCTCGTAGACGGATTCATTCCTCCAGTATTTTCTAACTTGTTGAATTTGCAGACCCTCATAGTAAATACTAAATCCAATGCCCTTGAAATCAAAGCAAATATCTGGGATCTACCACAGTTTAGACATTTACATACCAATGCTTCAACCAGTATTAGTACCAAAAACCAGACAAAAGGAAAGGAAGCTGCTCAGCCAAATAAAAATGTCCAAACATTATGCAGCATTTCACCTGGAATGTGCACAAAAGAAGTTTTCAAGAAGACTCCCAACCTCAAGAAATTGGGAGTGCGTGGGTCAATAACCTCGCTCTTGGAGGTCAATGACGACTCAAATTTATTTGCACACCTTTACAAATTAGAGTCGCTTGAGAACTTGAAGTTGCTGAATGGTGACACTGAGTCTAAGGTCTACCGTCTGCCTCCGAAGGACAAATTCCCCCCACAGTTAACACAGCTCACTCTGTTGAATACCCTGCTGAACTGGAGAGCTATATCTTTACTAGGAGAGCTAGAGAATCTTGAGGTTCTTAAGCTGAAAGAAAACGCGTGCGAAGGAGAAATTTGGAACCTCGGACAGGAGGTTTTTGCCAGGCTGAAACACTTGCACATTGGACGCACTGATTTGATGGTGTGGACGGCTTCAGCAGACAATTTTCCCAACCTGAAGAGCCTTGAACTCGATGGCTGCAGTATTCTTCGGGGCATTCCGAATGAACTTGCAGATATCACTAGCCTCCAATCAGTGGCCCTTAACTGCACCAACAATCAGGTGGCTGCCTCTGCAAGGAGACTTCAGCTGTTGAAGGTAGAGCGTGCTAAAAAGGCCAAGATCTTCGGCAACTTTAAGGTCTCTGTTTATCCTCCTGATTTCTGAGGACTCCAACCAATCCAGGATTATGCAGATCCTTCTTTCTTTGGCTGGTTAGTGATGTGCTTGTTATCTTGTTCCAGTGTGTATATAGCGTACATATATGATCTTCTTTCTTCCTCTGTCCTTAACTAAATATCTATACTGAACTTTTTGGTTCTTTCTGTTTCCCTTTTTAGATGCCCATTTTTCTGGTGAAGAAGGATGATTGAGAAGCAATTAATAAGATCGATGGCGAGCTTGTGAAGATGATGATGATGAATGAGACACCATCCTGTGTTGTGTTTGTTTCTGTGTGTTCGTATTCTGTTTTTTCCCTTTTCAAAGTACTAATAATGAGGAAACAGACCTGTGTGGTTTACTTCCTTGCTTTCATTTTCCTGATTCTGCATTTTCTTACTTCCACTTTTGTCTTTTTGTTGTTTTGGTTTTGTATTCTGGCTTTGATTTTAGAACTTAGCAATTTGCAGTTCTTTGGTCATGGTCCAATTATTGAGGCGGCTGTTCAATGTATTTCAGAATCTCTATTAAATTGAAGACCTTTGTGGAGATTTATTTACTTCCTTTAGTGTAGTTGATTTCATCAGATTTTTTTTCTTTAAACACAACAACTTCTATGGCGAGGGCCGTAGAAAGGTTATTGAGATGTTTGAATCGTAGTCGAACTCCAGTCGGGCGGTTGATCAGTGACGGTTCATCCCTAGTTTGCAATGAATTGTGTTAAAGAATAGTAGTAACAAGAGAAACTATGGACTACTGCACTCAATCGAACTAAAATTTGAAAAGAAGAAAATGGAGGCCCTAATATGAATTGCAGACCAATGTAAGTACTTAGCGACAACTAGTATACATAGTTAAGATGTTCGGTTTACTAAATACTTAGGCTTAGCAATTCATGGAATACTCACGTTATCTATTCTAGTGGCCGGCCTACACAACCCAAATAATCAACCTTTCGATGAGGCCAAATTAGCAACTTTACGTTGTTTTTGTAGTCAATAGGTAACGTGATACAATTTCTGAGAACATATGTCTCTCTCCAAGGAAAGTAGACGCAATGCTGTCAACTACTTTTCCTGTGATCACTTCGATGGTTTGGCTTTCTTCTAACTTCGAAGTGAACAGAAAGAAGCTGGTAAACTACTCTTGAAACGAATTCAACAACCATCACTCATCAATTTGAAAAAAAAAAAAACAAACACGTTAAGTTTATTGATGATTACATTCCAACCCACAATTGATTAAAAGAAAATACAAAAAGAAATTTGTACCAAAAAAAAAAAAAAAATACAGAAAGAAATACAAGTCAACAGGATAGAGCAGCTCTAATTACTCAACAGCTGCGCACCTTGAAGGATTTATTTCCCCAGTCCTCCTTTTGTTGTCTCTCAATTTCTTGGACTACACTTTCTAAGCCGTCTGAACAAGAAATGACATCAATCGTCTTGAGTTTTGTGACAGATCCTAAACAGCCAGGAATGTCAACCAGATTGCTGCAGCTTTCCAACACCAACTTCTCCAAGCACTCAAAACTAGCATCAGCTGTCCAGTTCACGTGGTCCAACCTCGACAGTTTCAAGTATCTCAGGTTTGGGAATTCATCATATTGCATCTCCCATGTATCCCCCACGAAACAGGAATCAAGCAGCTTGAGAACCTCAAGTTGATTGAGTTCTTTACCAATGGCTGAAATCTTCTCCCAAGGCAATCCGAACCTTGACAACGTCAACTTCTTAAGACTTGCCGGCAAACTGAAATCAAATGTGGCATGCCTCTTCTGCTTCATCAAGGTTAAATCAGAAAGCAGCAAATGAAGAGATTCCAGTTTTTCCAAGAAGCCAGGAACTACAATCTCGTTGAGATTCTGGTTCTGAGCAAACAGCCGGGATAGGTCGCATTTCAACCTGCGGATATTTGGAAACTTTCGCAGATGTTTCTCCATGATGGCATGAGAGTACATGACTGCACAAGATAAACTCTCCAGCTCCTGCAAAATAGGGGAATCCTCTAGATTTTCGACCGGCAGAATACCACCCCCGGAATTTATGAAAAGCCATTTCAATTTCTTTAGATTCCAAAGAGTACGCGGAAATGACACATTCAAGTGTACTCTCTCCAGGTACACAATCAAAGTCTCCAGATTTGACAGCTTACCAATGGAAGCCGGGATGGCTTCCATTCCACCTCGAATTGACAAGTACCTCAGCTGAAGGAGGATTTCTATTTCACTCGGGAACTCGTCACCCAAATGAATCTGCTCCAAATCCAGCACTTTGAGAAGTTTGAAGATGGGAATGATGAAGGAGGTGGCAAGCCAATATTGCTCGTACCCTGGCTTCTTTTGAGAGGAGAAAAGCATCAGGGAACGCGCCCGAGGACAAAACAGTTTTGAATCCTTAAAACCCTTTCCATCGTAGTAAATGCATAATCTTCGCAGGTGGCGTGGCTCGTTGAAATCTGAAAGCTGATCGTGCCCACGATTCAAGAGGTGGAAGAAACTTTCCTTTTCCGCTTTTCTCAAACAAAATTCACGCACCAAGTCGTGTATCCGGCAGCTTCTGGCCCCTCCAGCAGATCCCTTTTTAGCAATCATTACTAAGCTCCTTTCTATCAGTTCCTTCACGTACTCTCCTGAAACATCTGTTATTCTCTTTTGCCCTGATATTTGAATGAAGCCTTCAGCTTTCCATAGCTGAACCAACCTCCTCACTGAAACCTCTTGGTCTTCTGTAAAGGCACCAAAATAGAGAAGGCAGGGCTTCAGGTGATGCGGCAAATGCCGGTAAGTCAACTCCATGGCGTTTATGAATGTCTCGTATGTCTCTGCACCAGAGCTGGCCCCTGAAACTAAATCTTCAAGAATATTATTCCAACTCTGTCGAGTTTGCTCGTTGTCTCCCACTACTAGCCATATTTTTCAATAATTCATATGCTTCGTCAAGAGATTTGTTCATCAAAGACCCCCCAGCAGCAGCATCTACATTATTCCTTACCGGTTCCGTCAATCCATCATAAAATGTTTGAACTAGCACACTTTGATGTAGACCGTGTTGAAAACATTTTCTTTGCATTTCTTTGAATCTATTCCATGCAGCATATAATGTCTCATCATCTTGTTGAACAAACCCAATGATGTCATTTCGCAATTTGGCGGCCTTATTTGGTGAAAAGAAGTGGCTAAGAAATGCCTTATAAAGTTCTTCCCGAGTTTTAATAGAACCTGGATCACTTGTATTCAACTATGCCTTTGCTTGATCCCTTAGAGAGAAAGAAAAAAGCCTTAAGCAAATTGCATCGGGTGACACATTGTTGATCTTTATTGTATCACACAACTCCAAGAAATTCTCCACATGAGCATTAGGATCTTCATTAGCATATCCTGAAAATTGATTTTGTTGCACCATTTGAATCAAAGTTGGCTTCAACTCGAAAGTATTTGCTGCAACAGTAGGCTTAGTGATACTTGGTTTAATAGCATCTTCCGTAGGAGTAAAATAATCTTTAAGAGTCCGTTGGACAGTCTCCTCCGCCATTGTATTGCTTTGATGATTTTGCTTTCTTAGTCTAGCTTCTTTCTCAAAAGCTTCTTTCTCAAAGCACGAGCAGTCCTTTCAATTTCTGGATCAAATAGCAAAGAGCTAGAATCAGAACTTAGCATACATGTACTTGAAATTATAATATATGGAAAAAAACTATAGATATATCAAAAACAGAGAACACAATCTAAATTAATAAAAGAAGTAATCTAATTTTGATATTGATTAATTCTTTCCCTGGCAGCCGGCGCCAAATTTGATATGCTTTTTAGCCTCTATATAAATTTACTTACTAAACAACCGTAATACAGTGGAAGTAAGGTCGTTCCCACAGAGAAGAATATCAAATTACCAATTCTAAACCACTTCTTTATATTATTTAGATTAATAAAATTGCAAGGTTTTGAAAAACTAAAACTAGTAACTACTAATGATAAATAAAACAGAAAATTTAACAATGACAAAATACTAAAATGACAAGAGAAAATTTAGCAAGTAACTTTGATTCAAACACTTAAAACATAAGAGCCTAGGACTATGGAGTTCACCTACCATTTACTTGGTTTAGTTCAATTCATGGATACTTGGCTTTAAGTTTTCATTTATCTCACGACGATTTACAAATATAAAAGTTATACACTCTTGTGCTATAAGCTCTTACTTAGATTAATCCTATGACTACTCTCGTGATTATAGAAATTAATAAAAGTACATTAAGATCAATAAAATCATAAGTCGCAAAGGAAACATTCTTACTCTCATAAAACATAACCTAAGTTCAATATTCCTACGAACTAGTGTTAATTTTCAACTCTCGTTCCATCAATTAACACCTTTAATCATGCAAATGGCGATCAAATATTCACATGTAGACAAACAAGAATATCAAATATTGATTCAATGAAAAAGCCAAAATATCATGAATTGATTAAACCATGCAAAAAATGGTGGCTACATCCAAGTCCTAGATTATAAATAACTAGCCACTAATCATACTTAAAAATAGCAAAATAAGATTAATACTCATCATTCTAGTATTCTGAAAATAAAATAGAAAATTAAATGCTAAGAAAAGAAGGGAGGAATGACTCCACCGAATTGAAGGCAACCGAGAAGCTTTGAGGACTTCAATGTCAACCTAAGTTTCCAATCCTCAAGGAGTACTCTGCTATCTATTCGTATGGTGGTGTAGTGGTGTTGTTCCCCCAGTATCAATTCCAACTCCCCTTTATATAGATATCCCCAGGCAGCAACTTGAACTTCAAATCAATTTCAAATTTGCTTCTTTGACACTAAACAGAAATTGGAATTGCTTTCTTGTTCCCAATCAACTCGAGCAATAATCACTTGTGCATCCTCTTGAACTCCAACTTGCCTTGGATTTTCTGGAAATTTTGGGCAACCATTTTGTTTCCTAGAAGGAGAAACCGTCTTTGACATTTCAAAGCAAAAGACAAATGGGATTCCTCTTCTCTTGGCTTCCTTCGACGGAGATAGAGAAATGAAGAGTTGCTGAAATTTTCTTCTTCTTGGTTGTGTCCTCGTTGGCACAAGAAATTGGATTTGATTTATTCATCTTCAAACATCAACTTGGTTACCATTTATGCTTCAACTTGGATAACAACTTGTGCTTCTATTTGAAAGATCAACTTGGATGGGAGCTTCTGGAATTTATTTTTCTTTTGTTTGGGACGAAGAGGGGCAGCCGAATGAATTTTCTGGAATTGGGACAATTTAATGAAGAGTTCGTTTGTTCTCTCAAAATGGCACATAAAAAGTTTGATTTGGACATGATTTAAAGGAAAGATGTGGGCTGCCTCTTCACTTGGTTTTAATGGATAGTTTTCTTGTATTTTAAAAGCCCGAAATCTTCTAACACTAAGAGTTCCATACATGGCCCAATTATTAAATACTAAGTCTGCTCCCTTCATATTATGGCTTTACAACTACTAGCCCATTTTCCATTGCACATGAAATCCATTCTGTCAAAACAAAAACATTCCTATGCAAACAACCACATTTTCAGTTAAATGTTATGAACAAAAATATCATTGCTAATCTCTCCATCGTGCAATTTGATCCAAAAATTCCATTTTCAACAATGATTTTAATCCTTTCTTCTAATGAATCATCAAACCCATAAATGCAATGAAACTAAATAAAAAGCTCATATATCTTCCAAAATATTGATCAAAATCTCAAAGAAAATAATGTGATTGATTTGTAAATTATATGTTCATCAAAAACACAGAATGCGATTTGCGTGGGAAACAAGTATTATTATTTTCTTGTTAAGGATAGGTGGATTGTATCCATAATAGTTTCCGTTTTGTTGTTTGTTTTTTGTCAATTGGATCGCGGTTCTAGCAAAGGATTGTTCTTGGGATTGCATATCACAATTTGCTCTGTTACCCGGACTCGGCCCTCCAGGGCAGAATACCTGTGTCGACACGATGGTGGGGTGTCAAGGCAACAAATAATTTCACCTATTTTCAAACTAGTAGCATAGGAAAGTAAGGTCGTCTCCTCAGGGAATGGTGGATTTGTTTCTTTCAAATAAGTAACCGAAAGGGGGATTTTGAGTTTTTAAAACTAAAATGTAGTTAAAATAAAATTCAGATGATAGTTAAAAAAAATGAAAGTAAATTATGAGAAAGTTTCTAGTCAAAAGATTTTATATCCACCTTGGTCTAGACAATTGATCATAGATGCAATGATGCTCAATCACTTATAGGCAAATTAGTTTTCGTTGTTGGAACCTCCTAACAACTCAATCTTGAACTAAGTTTAGTGATTAAGAAAACTTTCATTAAACACACTAGTCGAAATTCAATCATGGAACCTCCTAAGATTAAGAAAACGACTGCATTAAGTACAAAGACCCAATTCTGGTCCCCATGAAACAAACCTTGTTTAATAAAAAAACCAGATTACTTGTTCTTATAACATAACAAAATCACTTACCAAGTAATTTAATTATATCAGTCCCTTTTAAAACAACAAACCTTGCTGCCTTATTGGTTGTTAACTAACATAAAATAATGAATGCTACCAGCTATTCATGAATCCACAATAATCATATCAATCATACAATAGAACAAGCAAATACTCACAAGAAATTGAGAGAGAAACAACATTTAGATCTCACAACTATTCAAACCAAGGCTTCAATATCTTTCAACTAGAAAAATAATTTAATTACACATAATAAAGCCTTACTGAAACAAAACTATAGAGAATGGGGAAGAATAACGCCCAAAAGGGCTAGATAGGCGGCTTAGGACCACTCCAGCCTCCTCTTCTTCTCTCACGTTCAGCCCCCCTCCCCAAAAGAAAGAATAAAATCAATTTATATGCCAAAAATTAGGTCAGCCGCCAGCAGCTTTCAGAATTTCGCAACTGCAAATTAAATTTTCCGATATTTTCATATTGGTCCCTCAAGTTTGGCAAAATTACATTTTGACCCCAAAACTTCTTTACTTTTTCAGTTTAGTCCCTGTTTCGGTTTGGCCAAACGGGAATGCAGCATCAATGCTGGAATTTCTTCTCTAAAGCTCAATTTTAGACCGAGATTCGTGTGCCCACACGAGAATGTGATGTCATTGCTCTCTTTTTGTGCTTCCTTGTCAAAATGCTCCAAAAATGTATGTTTATGAAACATTTTTCTCAATCTCAGCTCCAATCACTCCTAAGAACCAAAAACATCAAAATACGCAACATAAGTGCACAATCTAATCCAAAATGTTATACAACTACCCATAAATAACATGAAATTTCAAGACCTATCACACGAGTCGACACCGGCACGGGTATGAAATCCGTATGAGATGCGGTCAAAGAAGTTTGGGTGCATTGACTATATGAAGGGTGATTTTGGCAATGAAAACTCAAGAAAAATTTGGCGCCCAAATTTCACGCTCGGCCACCTAGAAAGTAGGGATTGATTGGAATCTGGAAAGGGTCGGAGAAGACAGAAGATATACTCAAAAGATCATCAAGTATGAAGTTGAACTGTGCAACGAGTATCAAGTATCAAGATAAACTTAGATTTTAAAGCTCATTATAGTATTATGTGGTGGATGTTTATCCACATAAAAATACTTTGTTATAGTATCATAAATTTATTTATTGAACTATTTCTAGATGCAAATATATCTTTTTAAATCCAACTTGCTGAACAAAATTTTTGAATCAAATTCATTATGGTTAAGTATAATATTTTTCGGAGTGTTTAGGATAAGATGAGGAGATGAGAGATATTAATCAAACTCTAATTTTTTTTCTTTTTTACATTATACATTTAAAACTTATTACACGCATAACAAATTACGAATTACATTAAAGAACAAATCATATCCCCGTACCTGTACCCGTGTCCAAATCCATACCCGCGTATCCTACTTTTACAAAATTTACGTTTCCGACACTTAGATCCCGTGTCGTATCGGACATGCGTACCCGAGCCCGGGTAACATAGACAATTTGTTCATCTACGAGTTACAGTTTATGGATCCAGATCCGTTGCTCAAGCATACGGTGCTTTTTTGTGGTTCACATTTGAGGAGAATCACCAATTGATATATTTATTAGGTCGATGATTAGAGTTTTACACCAGAATTTTAGAGATGCATTCGAGACTAAATTTTTAATTTGGCACGATATACATACACATACTGATTTGTGGTTTAATATGTATAAGTTTATCTATAACGAGTACAATTCATGTGGTTTATCATCAAATGTCAGATTGCACTCATCAATTGTATTTTGATACTCTTGTTCCATTCGTTCCGGACGATTTTCCAGATATTAAATGAAATTTTTATTCTTAAAAAAAAAAAAGTTCCTGATAATGATCGAACTTCACTTGGCGCTATCTTGATGACTGAATGTTTGATCTTCAAGCACCGTGTAATATGGATTAATATGCAGGAATCTCATGGGTAGAATTTGGAAAGGCTTTCACGATGAAATTACCAAATATAGGAAAAATTACACATTGCGTGACACAAATTTTTTCAATCACATGATCCGTGGTAGATAAATTAAAAAAAGACAGTAAAATAAACACATGTATAGCTACAAAAGTGGTTTCACAGGTCTCCAAATCGATCTTCTGTAGTGTATCTCATAATAATCAAATCTTTCGACTCCCGTCCTGCAGTTAATCTGACCGAAGAAGTAAATGCTCCAAAATCATGAAATTGGTAAATACAGAGCAGCAGGACCTTTAACGTTGGTAGACCCACCTCCATAAAATACGTCCTCTCCACAACTGGTACAAAAAGACCAAAGGAAAAGTAAAGAGAAAAACCAAACCACCCAAACAAATCAGGCAGAGAGCACCCACAACTTCCCAAATGCTTGATTCTATCATGTGCTCCAGGCTTAATTCCCCAATGCGGTTCACTTCGCTTTCTAAAGTGTCAGCACAATAAATGACATCAACCTTAAGGCCGAAAGAGTTTTTCAAACAATCCGGAAGCTCTAGCAACTTGCTGCAGTGCTCCAGAACCAACTTCTCCAATTTACAAAACTGATCTCCATCGGCAGCTGATGTCCACCTGTCAATGTCCAACCTGGACAACTTCAAGAATTCAAGTCCTTTGAAGTCACCTTTTCCCACATTCCACTTGCCCCCTACGAAGCAGGAATCAAGTAGCTTGAGAACCTTGAGATGTGGTAGTTTGCCAATAGGTGAAATCTTCTCCCAGGGTAATGCTAGCCTCGACAATGTCAGCTTTTTCAGGTGTTCTGGCAACCGGAAATCGAATACACCTCGATTCATCATTGCTACATCCGACCGCAACAAGTGAAGTGATTGTAGTTTCTCCAAAGCGCCAGGAATCACAATCTCACCTAACTTTGGATTCTCCAAAAACAGCCGGGAAATGTCGCATTTCAACCTGCGGATGTTGGGGAACTTGAGCAACTGTTTCTCTATGCTATCACGAGAATATATAACTGCAACCGAAAAACTTTCCAACTCGAACAACACAGAGGAGTCCTCTACAGTTTCGATGGGCAAAGTCCCACCACCAGATTTTATGGAGAGCCATTTCAATTTCCTCAGGTTCCAAAGAGTATGTGGTAATGAAACCTTTGATTCTCCCCTTCTCAGATGCAAAATAAAAGTTTCCAAGTTTGATAGCTTATCGATTGATGCTGGAATGATTTGTATTTCACCTCGAATAGACATGTATCTCAACTGGCTGAGATGCTCTAATCCACTTGGAAACTCGTTATCCAAACAACCTTGCTCCAAGTCCAAAACCTTGAGGCGTCTGAAGACGGGGGTGATGGAGGACTCTGGAAGCCAGGGTTGTTCATAACGTGACTCCTTTCGAGAGGGAAAGAACAGCAGAGAGCTTGCACGAGGACAAAACAACTTGGACTCTTTAAAACCATCTCCATGATCATAAATGCACAATCTCTTAAGGTGGTGTGGCTCGTTACAATTAAGAAGCTGTTCATGATCTTGTAAGAGATGGAAGAAGTTTTCTTCCTTTGCTTTTTTCCTTAAACAAAACCCATGCACCGAATCAGAGATCCGGCAAGTTTTGACACCACCAGTGGATCCTTGTTTAGCGACAATGACTAAACTTCTTCCAATTAGTTCCTTCAGGTATTCTTTCGCAACATCTTCTATTCTCATAGCTGCTCTTTCACGAACAAGTCCTTCAGCTATCCAGAGTTGAATCAACCTCTTCACAGATACCTCCTCGTCTGTTGGAAATGCCCCAAAATATAGCAAGCAAGGTTTCAAGTGACACGGTAATTGCTTGTAACTCAGTTCCCATGACTTTATGCTCAGTTCTAAACTAGCTATACCGCCTGAACATAAACCATTCACGATTTCCTTCCAGCTCTCTTGTTCGCTGTTTGCTAAAAGGACAGCCACGTTGACAAGTGTAAGAGGCAATCCCTCACAAAATCCTGCAATTTGCATCCCAAGCTGACGTAATGCAGGAGACCAATCTTTTCCATGTAATAACTTCCTTTGCAGCAACTCCAAAGACTCTTCTTCCGTCAGTCGAGAAATTGAATGCGGTACTTTATTGGGGTAACATTTTGGAAAAATATCATTTCGCCGACTTGTGACGAGAATTCTACTTTGAAATCCTGGAGGGAGTACATCTCTTAACACCGTCAATGTGTCTTCCTCCCAGACATCATCCAAGACTATCAGGTATCTTTTTGCCTTCAAATGTCTCTTGATCACCTCTCTGAAATCTGATGGATGCTTCCCAACAGGACCTCCGGGACTAATTTCTAGTGAGAGCTCATAAAATAACTTCTGGATGGGTTTACCAGGAGAAACAGGACACCATGCGCAAACATCAAAATATTCTTGAACAGACGGATCGTTGTATACTTTAGAAGCTAAAGTTGTCTTTCCAGGATCTGCCACTCCACAAATATAGACCATATCCAATTCGTAGGTTCTCTCTTCCTTAAGTTGAGAAACAATGCTTTTGAAATCATTAGTAAACCCTACAAAATCGTCTGTTACAATGGAAACCTGTGTCTGGATGGCTCTCTCCACTCCGGGTTCTTTTTTGTTAAGATCAACAAGAGTGATATCCTTGATTTCTTCTTTATTCACATCATTACTGATACCCTTGACTTCTTTGGTGATGGAATCACATAAAATTGAGAGGAAATCTGAGTTATCTCCAACAGCAAACTGGTTGAATAGGAATTCAACTCTGTAGGCCACTTTCCAGATACGGCCCCGAAGAGCTTGGACTTCAACACGGTCATTGAGAAATTTGTTGGTGTTCTTCAAGAAATATTCCAGGCGGGAGAGATGGACTCGGAGAGCATCCACATCATCACTTTCCAGCTCCATCAGATATTCATATTGTTGGAGATAACCCAACACATGTAAAATCTCATCAAAACCCTGCTCATCAGTCCTGTGAAAGTTGAATTCAGCTTTTTCTTCAACTTTTGCTAGAAAAAGCTTAATTTCCACAAGGAGGTTTTGAAGATCAGGATTGACGTCTACATGTGTCTGGTGAAAGTAGCACATTAACACACTGGCATCAGAGATCAGAGCCTCAATTCCACTCCTGATGATTCTTCCATTAACGCATTCTGGCTGCTGTTCCAGAGTGGTTAAAAAGAGTCTGAATCCTTCAGTGAGAACTTGCCGTCGATCCTTGGTACAATACAATTGCCCAGCAGCAGCATCATCAGGTAACAGCAAATCCCGAAGACGTGCTATAAAGCAATCAACAACGCCCATGTTACAAGTAGTGAATAAGTCAATTGTTGCAGTCTGTGGAACAACAACACAATCTGTCTCTCCAGCTTCTGATTGAACCAAATTAATCCGTCTGATCAACTCTTGAAGCGCAGGATTGATTTCTGCAGGTTTCAGGAAAAAAGAGAAAATTAAGACTCCAGCATCACACACCAGAGCCCCAATCCGATCCCTGATTTTCTCATTGACGTCTTCTGGCTTCAGAATGGTCCTCAAGAATCTTAATCCTTCATACAGAATTTGTCGCGGATCCTTCATAAAATACGGTCTTCCAGAATCGGATTGCAGGATGTCCCAGAGAATGGATATGAGAGAATCGAGGAAATCCCGACACGCTTGACCACGTAATCGACCGGACGATCTGAAGCTACTCAGAGCTTTGGTGTACGTGTGGCAGACTTGAGGATCCATAGGCTTGATTTTTGGGAAGAGATTTGAGCAATTGAACTGCATTCTTTGACACCATCTTTCATCCAACTCATCATCTATCGGGCTGTTGATGAAGACACGTGCTGCAGTGATCGCAACAGCTTCAAAGTGGGTCAACAAATCCTTTATATGCCTGTTTTCCGCACAAGTTTCCTCCACTGCAAAGAGGAGAAAGCTTCTCAGGAACTTCATCGGGGTGTACAAGGCTTCCATTGCACTCACCAAAGTTGCTCCTCCAGTGGAAAAAATCATAGGAAAATCAACCAGGTTCCCAAGAACGGAATCAGTGATCTCCAGGATCTCATCTGCAGTTAAACAACTCGATGATGATTGTTGTTCCACTGCGAGATCTGCTGGAGCGACGAACCATCCTTCATCATCAATTTCTTCCTCCAGACGGGGGATCTCATTGAAAATGATCCGAAGCCGAGGCATTGAGATGGAAGCAGTTGAAGCGTCAAAGGGACGGTGAATTTTCTTGGCATATCTGGAAACAACATCTTCAATCCTCGCCAATAGAGATTCCAAGCCGCGGGCATCTTTGTTCAACTTTCTTGCAGAAACAACAACGAAGGCCTTGAGATTCCTTAGCCTAATGCTCTGTTTCTTCAGGTCATTAGCCAAGGAAGGAGTACGGTTTGCCCGCAACACGGTATCATTCAAGGCAACATTGATGCGATTCACAATGCGGGATATTGATAGGGCCATTTGATTTGATGAGCTTACTTTGACTGAATTGTGGGGAAACAAAGTTGTAGGGATTGATAAGAACCTGCAGTTTGGTTATTGTGATCCGGAAATAGCCCAAGGTCGGTGAAAGAGCAGTGTAGCAGTCCTTTTCATCAATTCAACTGGTCATTTGTTTAACTAAAAAGACAACTCAGACCATGTTCCACAAAGGAATAAAAAAGGGCATCACAGAAGTTGACTTTATTGATGTTGATCACGAGATCGAGAATATTTTTCTTTTTAGCCTTGATTTGATCACACATATATATATATATATATATATATATATATGATCCTTCCGCTTCCATATTGTTCTTAGATTCTCGTTCTTCTTTTGAACAAGTAGTTGGAATGGCCGTTCCAGATGCGGCAGTGAGTTTCCTGCTGGAAAATGTGACCCAGTTGCTGGTCTACAACGTTAACCTGATCGGCAACGTCAAGGAAAACGTTGAAGATCTGAGAAAGAGTCTCAAGCTGCTTCAGGGATCGATGAACGATCTGATCAAGCTGGATACCCAATCCAAAGCCGTGAAGGAAACGGTGCAGAGTATTAAGGAATTGATTTGGCGAGCTGAGGATGCTATCGACAGTTACCGAGTTCAGGCTGCGATCCAGAAGAAAAGGCCTGTGGTGGAGAAGCTTTTTTTCGGCATAGCCCATTACCCGGCGGTTCTCAGGGAACTGGCAAAGGGCGTTGAAGACATTGGCAAAGAAATTGACAAGATCAACCAATTCACTTTGCCCAATGTCTGTAATCAACTCCAGATCGCCGCCATGGTCAACCTTAGTAAACCACCCGCTGAAGCCGCTCCTAAGGAGGTACACTCTACTCGTATTCTCTTTCCATTCCAAAATGATTGTTCAGTTTGTGATTTTTCAATTTTATTATTATTTTTTTTTCAGTTAAAGAGATTTCACTTTTAATACAAACTAGGACAATCACTTTTAGTTCAGTTGATCGACTCTTTTTGTAATAATTTTACAAAGGGACCCATTGTTGAGGAAGAGCATGTGATTGGTTTTGATGGGGCAGCCGAAACAGTGGAAGACATGCTGATCAAAGGACCAGAACACCTGGAAGTTATTTCAATAGTTGGGATGCTTGGACTGGGGAAGACGACCCTTGCGAAAATGGTTTACAAGGACCCCGATGTTGATTACGCGTTCATGGCTCGTGCGTTTGTGTATCTGTCCAAAGATTATGATAAGCGAGAAGTGCTACTCAAAATTTTAGCCGATGTCACCAAATCAGCACCCAGTGAAGAAGTTACTAGAATGAACCTGGAGCAGCTAGGAAATCATCTCAAACAATTATTGGACGGAAGAACTTATTTGGTTGTGTTGGATGACGTTTGGGAGCAACAACATTGGGACAGCCTGCAAAATGTTTTCCCGAAAAACAACAGGCGGTGCAGAGTTCTCATCACACTCGTCATGAAGATGTGGCCAAGTATGCGAATCCATCTCCGGATTCTCTTTACAGGTTGGATTTCTTAAGTGATGAAAATTGTCAAGAGTTGCTCAGGTGGAGGGTCTTTCGCCAAAATTATTGCCCCCCAGAGTTAATGGTGCATGAGAAAGTCATTGTTGCCAAATGTGCTGGTTTGCCATTGGCTGTGGTGGTTATTGCAGGTATTCTTCTGAATCACCCTGATGTTGTTGATTGGTGGAAGCATGTGGCCAGTAGTGTTAGAGATTACATTGCGAGGGATGCCACAAAAACTGCCGAGGTGATTCACTTGATGTATCGCCATCTACCAAACTACCTGAAGACGTGTTTTCTATACCTCGGTGTCTTTCGTGAAGATTTTGAAATACAGGTGTGGAAACTTGTGCTGATGTGGATATCAGAAGGATTCATACAAAACCAAGACAAATTCAACTTAGAGGTCAGTGCTGAGCAATACTTGGAGGAACTTGTTCATAGGAATTTGGTGATGGTAGGGCAGCGAAGGGCGAATGGCAAAATAAAAACTTGTCGTATGCATGATACGCTGCGTGAGTTTTGCAAGAAACAAGCCGCTGAAGAAAGCCTTTTCGGGGAAATCAAGGCCGAAAACTTGTCACCCCCGACTTCATCTGAAAACCAAACTGTGGTTGATTATCAGCGCCTTTGCATCAATAACGTCAATCTTTCGACTTTTCTTTCTGGAGCTCCTTCAGGTAATTGTGTCCGTTCACTTGTTGCTTGCCCTAAAGATGCCAGTAAATTGGAAGCGAGGCTGGTTTTAAACATCACCAAGGCTTTCAACCTTCTTAGGGTTCTGGAGATGGAAACATTGGTCATTTCCCCCCGTCTGCATCCTGACTTTTGTACCCTTGTTCTTCTACAATACGTATCCATATCCCTGGAAGAAGGCTTCATTCCTCCACTATTCTCCAACCTGTTGAATTTGCAAACCCTCATAGTAACTACTAAAGCCAATACCCTTGAAATCAAAGCGAGCATATGGGATCTACCGCAATTCAGACATTTACATACCAATGTTTCAACCATCATCAGTGCCAAGCCAAAAGGAAAGGAAGCTTCTCAGCCAAATAAAAATGTCCAAACATTAAGTAGCATTTCCCCTGAAATTTGCACAAAAGAAGTTTTCGTTAAGACTCCCAACCTCAAGAAATTGGGTGTGCGTGGGTCAATCTCCAAGCTCTTGCAGGCCAATGACGCCTCAAATATGTTTGCAGACCTTTTGCAGTCGCTTGAAAACTTGAAGTTGCTGAATGATGATACTGAGTCTAAGGTCTACCGTCTGCCTTCGAAGGACAAATTCCCCCCACAGCTAACACAGCTCACTCTGTTGAATACCCTCTTGAATTGGAGGGCGATATCTTCACTGGGAGAACTGGAGAATCTTGAGGTTCTCAGGTTGAAAGAAAACGCATGCGAAGGAGAGATATGGAACCTCGGAAAGGAGATCTTTGGCCGGCTGAAACACTTGCACATTGGACGCGGTGATTTGATGGTGTGGACGGCTTCAGCAGATAACTTCCCGAAGCTCAAGAGTCTTGAACTTGATTGCTGCAGTAAGCTACGGGGCATTCCAAATGAACTTGCAGATATCACTAGCCTCCAATCAGTGGCCCTTAACTGTACCAACAATCAGGTGGCTGCCTCTGCAAGGAGACTTCAGCTGTTGAAGGTAGAGCGAGCTAAAAAGGCCAAGATCTTCGACAACTTTAAGGTCTCCGTTTATCCCCCAGATTTCTGAGGACTTCAACCAATCCAGGATTATGTCGGCCCTTCTTTCTTTGGCAGGTTAGTGGTCGATTTGCTTGATATCTTGTTTCAGTGTATGTATATATTATGTGCTAATGTACATCCACGATCTTCTTTCTTCCTCTGTCCTCTTAACTGAACTTTTGGTTCTTTCTGTTTCCCTTTTCAGATGCCCATTTTTCAGGTGAAGAATAATGACTGAGAAGCAATAGAATCGATGGCTAGCTTGTGAAGATGATGATGAATGAGACACCATCCTCTGTTGTGTTTGTTTCTTGCGTCCGTGTGTTGTTTTTCCCTTTTCCAAGTATTAATAATGAGGAAACAGGCTTGTGTAGTTTACCTCCTTGCTTTCGTTTCCCTGATTCTGCATTTTCTGAATTCCGCACTTTTTTCTTCTTTTTAATGTATTCTGGCTTTGATTTTGGAACTTTGTCTGGCTATTAAAGCGGCTGTTCAATGTATTTCGGAGTTTCTATTAAATTAAAGACCTTTTGGAGATTTATTTACATCCTTTAGTGTAGTTAACCTGGATCATAGTTTGATTGGTTTCATTAGATTTTCTCTTTTAACTCAAAGACTCCAGTCGGGCAGTTGATCAATGAGGCCAAATTAGCAACATTTATGTTGTGTTCTTTGATGGCTCATTTTATTCATTCGCAAAGCAATCTTAGAAAATCTACATTCATGTTGTCAACGGGTAACGTGATACAATTTCTGAATCTCAGGAAAGTAGAGGCAATGCTGTAAACTACTTTTCCTGTGATCACTTCAATGATTTGGCTGACTTTTCAACTTCAAAGTGAACAGAAAGAAGCTGGTAAACTACTCTTGAAAAGCATTCAACAACCATCAATCTTCAATTTGGAAAAAAAAAAAAAAAACCTTAGGTTTATTGATGATTACATTCCCAACCCACAAATGAGTAAAAGAAAATACAGAGAGAAATACAAGTCAACAGGCTAGAGCAGCTCCAATAACTCAACGGCTGCGCACCCTGAAGGATTTATTTCCCCAGTCCTCCTTTTGTTCTCTCTCAATTTCTTGGACTACACTTTCTAAGCTGTCTGAACAAGAAATGACATCAATCGTCTCGAGTTTTGTGACAGATCCTAAACAACTTGGAATGTCAACCAGATTGCTGCAGCTTTCCAACACCAACTTCTCCAAGTACTCAAAACTAGCATCAGCTGTCCAGTTCACGAGGTCCAACCTCGCCAGTTTCAAGTATCTAAGGTTCTGGAATTCATCATATTGCATCTCCCATGTATCCCCCACGAAACAGGAATCAAGAAGCTTGAGAACCTCAAGTTGATTGAGTTCTTTACCAATGGCTGAAATCTTCTCCCAAGGCAATCCGAACCTTGACAACGTCAACTTCTTAAGATTTGCCGGCAAACTGAAATCAAATGTGGCATGCCTCTTCTGCTTCATCAAGGTTAAATCAGAAAGCAGCAAATGAAGAGATTCTAGTTTTTCCAAGAAGCCAGGAACTACAATCTCATTGAGATTCTGGTTCTGAGCAAACAGCCGGGAAAGGTCGCATTTCAACCTGCGGATGTTTGGAAACTTTCGCAGCTGTTTCTCCATGATGGCATGGGAGTATATGACAGCACAAGATAGACTCTCCAGCTCCTGCAAAACAGGGGAATCCTCTAGATTTTCGACTGGCAGAATACCACCCCCGGAATTTATGAAAAGCCATTTCAATTTCTTTAGATTCCAAAGAGTACGCGGAAATGAAACATTCAAGTGTACTCTCTCCAGGTACACAATCAAAGTTTCCAGGTTTGACAGCTTACCAACAGAAGCCGGGATGGCTTCCATCCCGCCTCGAACTGACAAGTACCTCAGCTGAAGGAGGATTTCTATTTCACTCGGGAACTCGTCACCCAAATGAATCTGCTCCAAATCCAGCACTTTGAGAAGTTTGAAGATGGGAATGATGAAGGAGGTGGCAAGCCAATATTGCTCGTACCCTGGCTTCTTTTGAGAGGAGAAAAGCATCAGGGAACGCGCTCGAGGACAAAACAGTTTCGAATCCTTAAAACCCTTTCCTTCATAGTAAATGCACAATCTTCGCAGGTAGCGTGGCTCGTTGAAATCTGAAAGCTGATCGTGCACACCATTCAAGAGGTGGAAGAAACTTTCCTTTTCTGCTTTTCTCAAACAAAATTCACGCACCAAGTCATGTATCCGGCAGCTTCTGGCACCTCCAGCGGATCCCTTTTTAGCAATCATTACTAAGCTCCTTTCTATCAGTTCCTTCACGTACTCTCCTGAAACATCTGTTATTCTCTTTTGCCCTGATATTAGAATGAACCCTTCAGCTTTCCATAGCTGAACCAACCTCCTCACTGAAACCTCTTGGTCTTCTGTAAAGGCACCAAAATAGAGAAGGCAGGGCTTCAGGTGATGCGGCAAATGCCGGTAACTCAACTCCATGGCGTTCATGAATGTCTCGTATGTCTCTGCACCAGAGCTGGCCCCTGAAACTAAATCTTCAAGAATATTATTCCAACTCTGTCGCTCCACTTTTGCAAGGAGACCAGCTACAGTAACAATTGTAAGAGGAATTCCCTTACAATATTCTGCAAATTGCCACCCAAATTCAGATAAGATAGGAGGCCAATCTTCTCCAGGGAACAACTTGCTTTGCAGTAACTTGAAGCCCTGATCTGTCGTGAGTGGGTTAAGCAAATGCGGTTCAGACTCAAGCATTGGACGAGGAACAATATTTGAAGGCCGGCTTGTGACCATTATTCTACTTTCAGTGGAATCATCAGGGAATGACAGGCTCAAGCTATCCCAATCTTTGGTGGACCATACATCATCCAAATATATGAGATATTTCTTTCTCTTCAAACATCGAGCTACCTTTTCTTCTAGAGCTTTTTCATCCATTTCAGAATACCTTTCAGGATAAATTAGGGCGAAAAGTTCACTTAGCACTTTCCGGTTGTCTGCAAGAGCTTCATTACCCATCTTTAAGTACTTACCCTCATCAATTTCCTTTAGAAGATTGCAAAATACTTCTCGTTTGCGAGTTGATGCCTCCACCGGCATCTTGTTCATTTGATCTAGAAACTCTTTTAACATTTTCCCTTTATCTGCAAAATCTTCTTCAGTTAGCTCAGAAAACCTTTTGGGATCAATTTGTTCCAGAATGTTAAACAACTCTTTTCGTTTCTCTGCTAATTTTTGTGCAGTCATCTCATTGATCTGATTCAAAATCTCAATCAACACTTTGCGTTTGTCAAATTGCTCAGAAACTGGACACCATGCACGAACAGCAAAATGTTTCATAATTCTTTGATCATTGTATATCTTTGAAGCTAAAGTAGTCTTACCTACACCTGGCATCCCCCAAATAGCAACTGCCTTTAAGTTTTTTGTTCCGCTTTTGAGCTGATTCATGATTGATTCTGCCTGTCCATGAAGATCTACTGCATCATTTGTTGTTGAGGATGGCTTCTGGGGAGATTGAGAACTGGATGTTATTTCTGATTGTCCATGGAGATTTTCAGCATTACTGGTGTTTGAGGAAGTCCACTGGCGAGACTGATCAGTCGTCGACTCTAACTGTGTGTGGTCTTGAGAAGAAATTACAGCTTCATTTGTTGCTGAGGAAGGACTTTGGGGACTTGTACAAGAAATCTGTAATAAATCGGCCTTGATATTTACCAAGTCCTTAACAATGGAATCAGATAACAGCGAGAGAGAATCAGGAATATCTCCAACTGCTAACTGATCCAGGAGAAATTCCACTCTGTAAGCTACATCCAAAACACGATTCTGGAGAGGTAGAAAACCCTCAGCTTCCTTAAAGGAAGATCTTAAGGAGTTGAGTTCGTCTTGGATAGTTTGAACATGACTCTTGGAGGTTGGATCACCGTTGCAACTTGTCAGCTCCTTGAGATCTCCGAGCAAAGAGTCAACAAACTCCACCACATTAGTGGTGGAAAATTCGACCTCAGCAGCATCATTCTCTTCAGTTTCTTCTGATTGAATGACCAGAATTCTTTTGACCAGATCTTCAAGGCCATGGTTAGTTTCATCGGGCTGCGAATGGTGAAACGAGAAGATCAAGACTCCAGCATCACGCACCAGAGTCCCAATTTGATCTCTGACTTTCCCATCAACTTTTTCTGGCTGTTGCGGCTTCCGCTTCAGAATGGTTCTCAAGTATCTTAGTCCTTCATACAGGACTTGCCATTGATTTTTTTTGGAATCTAGATAACCGGCATCTAGTCGCAGCAGATCCCAAAGATCTGATATGAGAGAATCCAGGAAATCCTGACAAACTTGAGCGTCAGTTTGTAATAATAGAGTGGAAGATTTGAAGCTACTCAGAGCTTCAGTGTAAATCTGACAGACTTGAGGATCAACAGGCTTGATTTGTTGGAGGAGTACTAAACACTTGTTCTGCATTTCCAGAGACCATTTCTCATCAAACTCATCAACGGGAATTCCTATGAAGAGACGGGCAGCGTTGATTGCAACAGCTTCAAAGTGACTCAACAAATTTTCAGGATCAGGAGTCGGCTCGAAGACTACAACAAATTGGAGGAAATTTTTCAAGAACTTCATCTGGGTTCGCAGGGCATCCATCGCATTCACCAAAGGCAAAAGGTGAGAATTTTGATCCCGGAAAATCAAAGGAAAATCAACTAGATTCTCAAGAACGGAATCAATGATCCCCACGATTTCTTTTGCTGTTAGTGAACTTGATGATGATTGATTCTTGTGATCTGGAAACATATCACTGTAGCGAGCATGTAGTTCTTCTTCGAACCGGATGATCTCGTCTACAATGATAAGGAACCATTTCAGCAAGACATCAGGTTCACCCCCACACACACGTTGAATCTCCTTGGAATATCTTGCAACAGAAATTTCAATCCGCAGCAAGAGAGATTCCAGATGGGCATCTTTGCCCAACGTTTTAGCAGATACGACAAAAGCCATGAGATTCCTTAGCTTAACCTTCATCAACCTCAATTCATGAACGAATTCAGGTTTAGCATCCCGATTCACCTCCCAAGTTTGCAAGGAAGAAAAAATGGTACTGATCATGACGGAGGACGCCATTGCTGAAATCTGTATGGCAAACAGAACCAAACAGAGGTTTTTTTTTTTTTTTTTCCGAAAGAAAAACCAAACACAGTAAAGAAAATGGCAAGGAAATGGGAATGAGCGACTGCAGATCAAGAAATTGGCAGTGGCAAGAAAGAGTTGACTGCAGATCAAGAACTTAGCGATGGGTAGTAGGTACAGACTAAAGACTGTAACAGTAAAATAGTGTATTTACGAGCTAGTGGTGTAGAAGTAAATTTCCAAGTCAACTGCCCATTGCTTCAATCATAAAGGACAACTTCTAGAGTTCATCCCGTTGAATAAATAACTGTATTCTGTCCTCAAAATACTCATAAATGCAAATGGAGAAGAATCAATTCATTGATCAAGTTCAAGTCCTCCAAATTCAACAACCTCGATTTTGTCTCTTTATGTATCTAGTATGATTATAATAACAGGAAACAGTTGATTTTCCCCCAACATTTGTTAGTCACGGTTTTCTCCCAGCGTTTGAATATTCCATTTACTCCAAAATAGCACGTTTATGATGTAAGAAGACAATTACTAGGACTAGTAGTCATATATTATTATAGCGGGAGCGACTACAGGCCAGTCGACTAGATAGTTCAGTCAATAATATTAACCGTAGGATGAGAAAGAAACCATTCTATCCATAAAATCAAATAAAAGGCAACATGATCCTAAAATAAGGTAACTATAGAGGATAATTTTATTTTGATAATAGCTTAAAAAAAATTACCATATTGCCTTTGTTTCTTTTTCTTTTTCTTTTTTTTTTTTCAATGAAGATTTCGTCTTTGATAATTACTAAAAATCATCATGGAATAATCCTTTTAAAAGAACAGTTTTACAATGAATCATGTGTAAACTTCATTAACCATTTGCAGGTTGCTTTTGAACAAAATTTACAACCAGCCTACATATATAACACCAAAAAACTTTTTTTTTTGTTCATTCACCCCAATGCTAATATACAGAAAATCAAACTCCCAGTAACAATTAAGAATGTAAGATCATTGCCAAAAATAATCACTTCTTGATCATTGATTTTGATTCACCAAATCCTGCTTGAAAAAGATTATTTGAAAACAAGAAAGGAATAGGTAATTATCTCCAAAATATTTACGATTCATAAAGCCATTAAAATTTTTTATCTGAAGATATCTCACAAATCAAGAGATTTTCGCCTTAATGCCTTGTTTATTAAACACAAACCGTGGAATATTTTTGTTCCCTTGCTCCTTAAAAAGGAATCGAGAAAGGGGGAAAAAAAAAAGAAGGCAAAATAAAAATGAAACAAAGGAAAGAGGATTCTGGAAAATTGATTACAAAAGATTATGATATTTGACCAATTATTCTGGGCATGAGGGCAAAGAAGAACTTGAAAATAAAATGACGGTTTAACATTCACCTTGAGAATGTGTGTTCTGCTCCCAATTTCCTCCCCAATTCCTACATCGATGAAAATCTCTTCTCCACACTGCCGGGGCCAATTTGATTTCAGGTCTCTGCCGGTTTCAATTCGAATTAGTTCGAAGTTGCGTATGAATCCCGTCGGCGACCTGGCTAAACTCCGGTGAATCTGACGAACGGCGTATAGATGGCGCGGCTGTTTGACATGCTTAGCAATCTTCGCTGTTTGACATCACTCTCCAAAATTTTTCCTTTATGCCCACAGATAAGGAAGGTTGTTGCTACCAGCATTTTGGACCAATCGATTTTGACGGTTTAAAAGTCTGGACTTCCGGTTAGCTCGTGTCTGCGAAACCATGGCTTTTGATCAGTTCGTTAACAAAGTTTTTTATGCAAAACAAATGCCAAACAATGGAGAAGGTTAGTATCGTTTGGACACATTGGCAGGAGATACAACTAGGTTATTTCTCAATGTGGATCACCGAGGCAATTGCTAGAAATGTTAAACATCTGATACTGATTATTCCTCCTATTGATCCTGGTATTCGACGTACGAGTCTATTAGTTGAGATTCCTGCAGCTCTTTTCACAAGTAAGACTCTTGAATTTCTCAAGTTAGATGGTCCTTTCCGAATTAAGGGCCCTCATGTGGTTTGTCATCCCAAACTTACTGGATTGCATTTTCTTTAGTTTATAAATGAAGAATACAAACACCAAGTTGATGAGTCTTTCCATAGGCTTATATCTGGTTGCCCAATTTGAATTCTCTATGTCTCTGCGGCTCTGCCTACATAGGGTAACTTATGACAATTTGATCGTTTGTGATGTGTATTCCGGTTCCCTTCGATTTCTTCAACTTATTGTGGACGGAAGGATTTAACCCCACCGGCAACAGACTGCAGTTTAGATTGAATGCCCCTGCATTTGAGCACCTCACTTTGTCCAGTGGGTTTGCATCGTTCTCAGTTAGAGCTTTACATTCTTTGCTCCAAGTGGCGATTAAGCTATATTTTTCGGGTCATGATACCAAAAAGATTGACAGTTTATGAAACTTTTCAGAACTAAAAGTTGTACAGGGGTTGTTTTGTATTTTCATATTATATTTTCATTTAATTGATAATAAGTGGTTTATTAGGATACTTTTTACCCCATAGTTACAGAGGACATGTCAAATTTTAATTAGTTGTGACTTAACTAAATGGTTCAGTCAAAATTTAATGACTGGATCATAGAATTTTCCTTATTACAGCATTAGAAAACTACATTAGCACTAACAACTATTTTTTTTTTTTTACTGGTATTACATCATCTCATTTGATGCCTTCAGCGCATTCTTGTTTGACCGAGATTCCCTAACATGTAATATGACCTTCCCTAAGCAAGTGTCCCCAATCACGAGAGGGGTCACATTAATTATATTGCAGATTATTGCAGATTAATTGTAATTGTGTGTAAAAAAATATTAGAGTTTACATTATAGCTGACGAAGTCGAAATCTGCACAGTGCTTTAGGTCTAAGAATTAGAGTTTATAAAGAATATAAAATATAGAGAATATTATTATTGAGTTGCGTAGATACAACTTGTCCAAAATATGATAGAGACCACCCCTCTATACAGGGGTGAATTACATAATTAAGATGGTTCATAGTTGTAGTAGTTTTACTAATAACTAGATATTTGGCCAGGCAGATGCCTGGGCACCCCTCTACTTTAAATTTGTGTTAATAGATAAATAAATTTTTGATTTGGAAAAAATAAAATAGCTACACATTTGATTTTTTTTTTTTAGTCAAAAATAAAAATAAAAATAAAAAATCATCTGTCAAAGGAAAATAAATATTGAAAAATACAACGATGCAGAAATCATACAAAAGAATGTGGAGTAATAAAGGGGATAAATTTATGGACAAATTTAAATGCTATTTTAATTTGATTGATAAATGATAAATGTTAGGAGTTAAAATTGTCTAGCTATTTTTGTAAAGTAACTTTTGTTTCTCCAGATAAGATTTTTTTTCTTTTAAAAAGGGGATGACACGTGGCAGAATGATCAATGCAATATGGTGCATTTGGAGCCAAAAAGTTTTAATAAAAAGTTACCACATCAACATCCTGTATTCTACTTTAATAGGGTAAAAGGGATAGGTAATTTGTGGTTTAATTCGGACCCTAAAATTAGTAACCTAAATCTAAACTCAATAAGTCTAGGTTTAATGCGGACTCTTCAAAATCATAAGTAATATAATAGTAATGATTAAGATAAAATTAGAGGCGAGTTGAATTGACCAATGATCACGAGGGGTCGGCGGAGATTGTGTAACCCAAAATAGTTATTATCAAAAAAGAAAATAGTTAATTAAAGCTGGTCTCTATATCCAAATACAACAACCACGGTTTTGTCTATATCCAAAGTTTATATATCCCTTTTATTATTATTACCCTATTAAAACAGAATACAGGATGTTGATTTGGCAACTTCTTGTTAAAACTTTTTGGCTCCAAATGCACCATATTGCATTGACCATTCTGCCACGTGTCATCCCTTTTTAAAAGAAAAAAAAAATCTTATCCCGAGAAATAAAGCTACTTTACAAAAATAAACTACATAATTTTAACTCCTAACATTTATCATTTATCAATCAAATTAAAATAGTATTTAAATTTATCCATAAACTTATCCCCTTTATTACTCCACATTCTTTTGTATGATTTCTACATCGTTGTACTTTTTAATATTTTTTTGCTTTGGCAGATGATTTTTTATTTTTATTTTTATTTTTGACTTAAAAAAGGAAAAAAAAAAAACCAAATGTGTAGCTATTTTATTTTTTCCAAATCAAAAATTTATTTATCTATTAACACAAATTTAAAGTAAAGGGGCGCCTAGCCATAAGCATCTAGTTAGTATTACTGTCATGACAACTAATTTGATGCCATCCACTTGTATCCTGTCTGACTCCGAATCCCTTATTTGAATTGAGGTACTAACATGTAGTAATCCTTGTCCCACAAACAAAAATCCATATTTTTTTGATATTTGTATCAGTTTTATAAATTTGAAAATTTAATATGGATTATATACATGGGATAGAGAGAATGTGATACAATAGACCTCCCTAACTAGAAATGACTTCATAAATAAAATATACTCTTCCCTCCAGAATAATTAATCATAAATATTAGATTGTAAAATCCTTTTTTGGACGAACGATGTATAATACACAATCACAAATTGGAAAAATTATACGCCAGTTGATATTATGGTCAAGTGTCAAATTATAATATTATGAGATTTGTATTAAAAACATTAAAAATTTAAATGTAATGAATTATTTTTTAAAAAAAACAAAAAGGGTAGTATATAGACCCCATGACATCACCAAGCAAAGGAAAAAACCTTGGGGACAGGACGGAAGATCACCCAAAGTCATATAAGAAATCTTTTTTTATGAAATACTTTAAGATTAACCTGACAACATAACTACAAAGCAACAGAGATAATAGACATCCTAGCCTATGTTTTCAAAACCAGACGAAGAGTGAACCGCTAATATGACTGGATTGGTAGATTAATCGGATTGACCGGTTGGTTTGTTTCTCGAAATTGGTGAAAACCGATTAAAATAATATTGACCGAATTTTAAAAATTCGGTTCAGTTTAGAAACCAGACCGATAAGACTTTCGATTTCCAGGCTAACCAGTTCGACCGCCCAGTTCGGTCCAGTTTTGAAAACATAGATCCTAGCCATAAGAAATCTATTTTTTAATGAGATGACGTACAATGTGAGTGTGGAAAGAGAGAGATATATTGTTTTTTGACAAAACGGGATCTCACGAAGCTTGATTTGGTGGGAGAAAAAATGCAATAAGGGTTTTTTCTTTTTTACTTTTAACAAATAAATTTATCAGTAGCCTATCTAAATAATTTATCTATCCATATTATTCACTGCTTGATAAAATTAAAAATCTATCGCTTCAGGTTTTTTATTGTTTCCATACACCGATTTTATTTTTTTTTTCAGTTGTACCAATCAATCTGATAGGTTTTATGATCAACTTATTCAAACTCTTTATTACTCGCATTCTCACTCAACTCCAATATAAAACCTGAAGCAATAGATTTTGGACCAACTTACTTATTAAGTGTGTTTTATTACTTTCATATACTGATTCCTTTCTTATTTTTCAGTTGTAACTGTACCACAAGCCACATCCACTCCAAGTTGTAAAGGAAAAAACTTTCAGTGTACCGAATTTCATGGGTTAACCAGGTGTACAACTCTCAAAAGCCCAACCCAGTTAGTCCACAAGACTCTACCAACCGTTAGTTCTGATACTACTTGAAAATTTTGGCCCAAGATATCGAGTATAGAGAGTTTCAAAATCGAGTCCAATACGTAAATAAGGACTCATCTCAACCTAATATTCAAGATAATAGGTTGGAACAACTTATTAATCGCTCTTTATTAGTCCCATATACCGATATCGATGTGGGACAAATTAACCTATTCATAATATTGACAGATAATAGAGTCTAAACAATTACGAACTTGCTATCGACCAAACATTAGGTTTTTGATGGTTCTGATCAATGTTATTGAATTGGCTAGCTCGCTCCAATCGATAGAAAAGTAAATATGATAACAACGTACATAAGGAATAATTTCTTAAAAATTTCCTTAATTCTTTTGTTTGAGGTATCTAAAAAATTAGTAAAGAATTAGATTGCAATATCAAAATTTATGTTTGGTTGATTACATTTAAAATTAGTTTGTAATTCGTAACTATTAATTGCCTTACGAAATAACATCATTTACTATACAATAATTTTTTCAGAGCTATTTTTCGCCCGCGAGTTACACACTCTCGAACAAACTTCAGTTTGTTCTAAATGTTATTAATTTTTTTCATATACTCGACCTCTAGAATTTGAATTACAATTATTAGGTAGCTCGAACAAAAAAATTGAAAACATGGACTTGGAACTTATATAGGACTGTAATTCTAATTTTTGGACTCTCTATATTTTTTCAACGAAACAAATTCCTGGCTCCAATTTTAGACAATCAAACAGAGCCTTAAAGAATTTGCTGAAAACTTGTCGTACGTGTTTAATGAGTTGCAATATTATGAAATGAAATGAAATCGGAACCTGTTAGTCAAACACAGGAGGCGTGCCTCGATGGCATCTAATTAGATCTAAACAATGACCATATTGAAAATTGAAATTAACAATTTTTTGATAATGAGAGACAAAACTAAGGTTAAACTCAAAAGCCAAGGTGAAATCTGTGGATAAATCAGGGGTTAATTTTATTTAATTTTTTCAACACATTTTTTCTTTTTTCCTCCTTTTTCTTTTTGGGAAAGTCCCCCGACCCGAAGTACAAAGCCCTGCAATTTTATTAGTTTCCCCATTTCAGTCAAATTAAGTTTTGATAGAGTCCATAATTGATGCTTTAAATGTAGTTATTTTATAAGTTTATGGACTTGAATGGACTTAATTCATTGATATTGTTATTATTTCATGTTAGGATTTGGAACTGAGAGATTGGAGCTGATTTGGGCTAATTTGAACGTCCAGTGACCTTTTTCCTAAAAATACTACAAACTTGAGGGACCAAAGATGCAAATCATGGACTTCTTCTTCTTTTCCTGCGGCTGACCTAAACTCCTAATATAATTAGAATTTTGATCATTGTTTTGGGGCAGCCGTGCGTAGGCCTAAGCAAGCACCTCCCACCTTTACGTTTCTAGACTTTTCTTGGTTTTTCATGGAGAATAAAGCCCTCATGGTTGTATCTACGAGTGGCTAAGTTTTTATTTCTGATTCAAGTGATTGATTCAATTATATCATTGTGAGGTTATGCTTTTAATTTATCTTTCTTACTTTTCATTCTTGTATTTGTTGATTCTTGTGTTTATTTCATGAAGGTCGATATCGTTCAAATTGACAACTTGATTGAGTTTTGCTTTCTATTGCTATCTATTGGTTCAATGTTACGTAATAGACACGAACCGATAGTACTAAGTAGTAATTAGGCTATGTATGTGTATTAGTGAGACATAGGATACACATGCTAGTTTAAATGTGGAATCAACAGGACAAAACTAATTAATTGTAGCTATCTCTGTTAGTTGGTTTTGGTTCAACTATTTCTTGTATTTATTGCTGTTGTGGTTAGACATGGAACGCTATCGTGCCCAGTCTGTCATAGCAAGATTTGATCGAATGCTGGGTTTGGTCAATATTTTTAGAGAAGTCCAAATTTGTTATGGCTATCCTAATAAATTTGGGGGTTGAATACTTGAATGTAAGAATGCCTCTTACCTGTGATCAGTGAAATAATTGAGTTATCTGACCCTTGGATCAGTAGTTTGTTACTTGATTTTCTTTCTTTTATTATTTTTTGTTATTTGAATTTCCCATTATAATAGATTTAGAACAAACCAATCAAAAATTCTCGTTTACATTAATTTGAAGGAAACAAACCACCTTTCCCTGAGGAGACGACCTTACTTTCTCTATACTACTGTAGTTGAAATAGGTTTATTTTATTTGTGTGGCTTGACACCCCATCAAGCTTCAATTTTGATCCCAGATCAAGCAGCTCATCAAATGGCCATCTCATCATTCCGGGCTGTGAATCGCATCAATATTGCCTTGCATGACACCGAGCTGCGGGAAAACCGTACTCCTCCCTTGGCTAATGACTTGAAGAAACAGAGCATTAGGCTAAGGAATCTCAAGGCCTTTGTCGTTGTTTCTGCCAGAAAGTTGGCCAAAGATGGCCGCCGCTTGGAATCTCTATTGGCGAGGATTGAAGATGTTGTTTCCAGGTACCAAGAAACTCCATCGTCCCTTTGACGCTTCGACTGCTTCCATCTCAATGCCTTGGCTTCGGGTCGTTTTCAATGAGATCCTCTGTTTAGAGGAAGAAATTGATGATGAGAAATGGTTCGTTGCTCCAGCAGATCACGCAGTGGATCAACCATCATCAAGTTGTTTAACTGCAGATGAGATCCTGGAGATCACTGATCCCGTTTTTGGTAATCTGATTGATTTTCCTATGATTTCCAGATCTCCAACTGCTGCCCCTGTGACTTTAGTGACTGTGATGGAAGCCCTTAGCGTGCAGATCACATTCCTGAAAAACTTCCTGCTTTTTGCTACTCATACTGGTGTTGCAAACAAACATCTTGAGAATTTGTTGACACACTTTAAAGCTGTTGTGGTCAACGCGGCACCTCTGTTGATCAAAAGCCCAGCTGATGAGTTGAACAAAAACTGGTGTCAAGAAATGCAGTCCAGGTGTTCGATACTTATCCAGAGAATCAAGCCCATTGATCCTCAAGTCTGCCACACTTACACTGAAGCTCTATGCAGCTTGAAATCTTCCGGCCGATTTTGATGAGTCCATATCCATCACCTGTTGGACCAGCCCAATACTTGAACCTAAAATCTCGTCCGACTCTAGAGAGGCGGCACAATAAGATGAATCCAAGTAGGATTCCGTCTTCCTCAAGGTAATCCCTGGCCTATAAATAGGACGGTACACACCATAATTGAGGTACGCAATACACAGCTCTGATTCTCATATACTCAATACTCTCATAACCCTATTTTGTGACTTAAGCATCAGAGTGTCTACCCTCGGGAGACCCCCGAGGTTCTATTTTACAGGAAACCTTAGCCGGAGTTCCACGACTTAGCCGGAGTTACCAATCCAGGCATCGTCAAGTGGCACGCTTAGCGGGACCCGAAAACTAGGGTTTGTGCCGCAAAGCTTTCTCAAGCTTTCGTAGCTTTTACTCGCGCCGAAAAGCTTCCTCAAGTTTTTTGCAGCTTTTCAGAACTACTCCTAGCACTTCAAAGTAGGGTTCTTTCATCATGGTGGAGACGGAAGGTTCTCAGTCCAACACTGCGTTGACTGGAAGGCAGAGAAGTCCAGGAGACGACGAAACTCTTGCGCCCTGGCAGTGGCAACAAAAGAAGCAAAGAAAAAATCGGCAACCAGGGCCTGAAAAAGGTCCTATCAAGCCATCAGGACGTGAAGAGAACCGCAATCTTCACCATCGCCGTAGGAACGAAGATCAACCTGAAAAGCAGCGATTGGCCGAGATCGAAGACGAGTTGAAACGGCTGAAAGATGACAATTCTTTCAACCAGAGGAAGAAAAATACATCCTCGAAGAACTCAAACGCTGCTGCCTCCTAGGCTTACCCGATCCTTCAGATCAAGATCTCGAGGACCTTGTTACGGAAAAAGAAGCGAAGAGATCCTTGGAGCTCCTCGAGAGAAAGAGGGAAAAATGGCCAGTCCCAGATGAAGAAGAAGAGGGAGCTTGCCAAGAGATACCTTACCGGGACTCTTCTCGAGCAGAGCCTTCTGATGCTCCAGGCGACACTTTTTGGGAAGCACTCGAAAGATCAAACCCAGCAATGTATGTAGCAATCCAGAAGTTCGCGGAAGAGCATCACCAAAAGAAGCAGTCCCAGAGGGATTGACAGGTGACACCCAGTGTCGAGGAACTGCCCAAGAAGGATTGGAACCCCCCCCCCCCACGGGGCAATGTCCACTCGAGGCTTGGACCACAGCCTCACCAGGAAAGGACTCAATATACTCACCAAGACAATTTCCAAGAAGTAAGGAATCCGCGCCAAGATCACCTGAGAAACCACGACCCGCGCTTGGAGGCGGCTCTAGATAATCAACGGCACGAGATTCCTAGCAAGGCTGATAATCTCATTCGAGCATCAGTTCGAAGAATGATAGGCACTATCGTTGAGAGAAGTCCTTTCATTCCTCGAATCCGTGACTGTGAGCAGCCTCACAGATTTGATTTCCCCAAGGGCTTCACCAGCTATACAGGGGATACTGACCCAGCGCGGTGGTTGCACAGGTACGCTCAAGTCATGAGAATCCGGAATGCTTCCCTCGACTTTATGGCCAAAGCTCTGCCATCTTTTCTCTATGGGCAGGCGCAATGTTGGTTTAGTCAGCTACCAGAGGAGAGCATCATCAGTTTCCATGATCTCTGCGAAAAGTAAGCAACGCATTTTTTCCTTAGCAAACAGATTGCGAGGATGTCCCTGGATCTATCCTCGATCAAGCAAGGACAGAACGAGAGTCTTTTAGATTTTCATCGCCGTTTTACTCGAGAATCCCTTCTGGTGGATAATCTCGATGACCGGGATATCCGAAATGGGTTCATTCAAGGCTTGAACCCTTGGGGGAAAGATCGCCAATTAAAGATGAAACTCACTACGAAACCCCCACAAAGTACGCAAGACATGTGGATTACGGTGGAAAAATTCATCCAACAAGAACAAACTCTCAAGCACTCTTAGGAGGCCTTCTCGCTGATAGGGGATCGAGGAAAGGAGAAGTTCAAAGTAACAGATAGCAAGTCGCTCTTACCAAAGATGGATAGGCAAATGACTCCGCTGATAAAACCTTGGAGGGAAATATTCCAAATTCACAAGAATGAATTCCCAGCCCCAAGGCCGTTAACTAATAACTCGAGAAGGTCTACGGGCAAGTATTGTGAATACCACCAAGACCATGGGCACGATACCGAGCAGTGCCGAGATCTTAAGCGGGAAATAGAAGCAGGGGTGAAGTCGGGAAAGTTCCAACAATATGTGCAGAACCTACCGAGCAACACTTGTGATACTCGAGGAAAACCACCATTTCCTCGCACTTTTTCCCGACGAAACAACAACCACAATTCTCGACGGGATAATCGAGGCAACAGCTGGCAACCGCGGGAAAACCCTCCGCAACCAGCCTAGCTGACCAACACACCCCAGCCCGTCCAGCAATTTCCTCCCATAGATCCTGCCAGACAGATTACCCATAACGTGGGAGCAATTTATGGCGCATCCCTCGAAGTTTTGTCCACTACTGCAATGAAGGCCTCGGTTCGAGAAGTAAGGAAGACTCCACCTCAGGAGCCGAGTCATAAGCGGTTTAAAGGGACAGAGGCGATCGTTTTCACAAATAGTGAAGTGGTCCCTGGAGTTCGCCCTCACAGTGATGCCATGGTCTTTGAAGCCATTATTGGGAATGTGGGGGTAAAGCGTGTATATGTCGACAACGGCAGTACAGTCGACATTATCTACAAGGAATGTTTCGAGAGGATGAATATAAAGAATCCAGATTGGCGTCCGGCGTCATTACCACTGATGGGCTTCTCGGGGTACACAATAATCCCAAGTGGGATTGTTCGGCTTCCAATCAAGGTAGGGACATATCCTTGAACGGTGAATCTGACCATAGATTTCGCCATAATTGATGCTCACTCACCATTTAATGTGATTCTCGGACGGCCATGGATGTGTCAGGCCCACGCTGTTTGGTCACCTTATCACTTGGTCATGAAATTCTCAACAGAGTATGGCATTGGGATAGTGCACGGGTGCTAACGCAGTTCTCGAGAACACCTCCTCACAACAGTACGGGTCAGAAAGAAAACGGTGAAGCCAGAACTAAATGTCACCGTGTCTGGGTCTTACTCGATACAGCAGGGGGTACTATCACCGAGTGACTCGGAAGCGACCGAAAATCAAGACATGGACCTCGATCTACCGCAGTTACCCCCAGTCAGTAGTAATATCCATCCCCCAGTCAGGAATTAATCTTGGATGAGAAAAAGCCAGACAGAACGATCAAGCTTCGCATATCCATCTCCGGAACATTGCGAGCCGAGGTTGTGGCCTTGCTACGTGAATTCCGTGATATTTTCGCTTGGTCTCCTTCTGACATGACCAGTGTTCCTCGGCACGTCATCGAGCATAGGCTAAATGTAGACCCCAACGTTAAGCCGATTAAACAGAAAAAGAGAATCTTTGCTCGAGAAAGAAACGAGGTTATCAATGAAGAGACGCTCAAGCTGGTCCGGGCCAACATTCTCCGAGAGGTTCTTTGGCCTACATGGCTGGCCAATCCGGTCCTTGTTCGAAAACCTGATGATTCCTGGAGAATGTGTCAAGACTACACGGACCTCAACAAGCATTATCCTAAAGATTGCTATCCTTTGCCCGTCATTGACCAGATGGTCGAGGGAATCACCGGGTTCAGGACCCTGAGCTTCCTCGACGCTTACAAAGGATACCATCAGATCCTCATGGCTGAAGAAGATGCGGAAAAGACAGCTTACATCACGGAGATTGGGGTGTATTGTTATGACAAGATGCCGTTTGGTTTGAAAAATGCTGGAGCAACCTACAAGTGCTTGCTCAACAGAGCTTTCCACGACCAGATCAGACGAAATATCGAGATCTATATGGATGATATGGTCATCAAGAGAAACCAGGATAATAGAATCATTGCAGACATGAGAGAGATCTTCTCAATCCTTCGAGGAATAAACATGAAACTCAACCCGAAAAAGTGTGCTTTCTGTGTCGGTTCAGGCAAGTTCCTCGGTTTTCAAGTTTCTAAAGATGGCATAAGCATTGATCCCGCCAAGGTTGAAGCCATCTTGTCTATGGAAGCCCCGAAGACAGTAAAAGATGTACAGAAACTTATAGGGTCTCTCGCAGCAGAAAGAAGTCTTCCCTTCTTTAAAACCCTGAGGAAAAGAAGGGGTTTTCAGTGGACCACTGAATGCGAACAGACTTTCCAGGAGTTAAAGGAACATCTCAAACGACTCCCCATGCTAGCAAAGCCAGAACCAGGGGAAGTTCTGTATATCTATTTGGCTGCTCGAGAAACGGTTATATCTACTGTCCTCATACAGAAGAAAGATGGTAAAGAACTTCCAATCTATTTTGTGAATAAGGTCCTCCAAGGGGCAGAATCGCGGTATACTCCAATGGAAAAGCTAATATTGAGCCGTGTCCTAGCTGCTCGAAGGCTACGCCCCTACTTCCAAGCTCATCCGATACAGGTCTTGACCGAGCAACCGATACAACAAGTACTCCTTAGGCCAGAAGCTTCAGGAAGGATGATGAAGTGGGCTGTCGAGCTGGGGAAACATCATATCGAGTATAAGCCACGTACTGCCATTAAAGGGCAAGCGTTCGCGGATTTTCTAGTCGAGATGCCTAGAATTCCAGATGTCACTCAAAAATCCCAAGATACAGCAACATCTCCCCGTTGATCCTCGAGCTCAGACTCTTTACGTCGACGGCTCTTCTTGCGAGGAGGGGGGAGGAGCTGGTATCATCTTGGCAAAACCGTCCGCGCTAAAGAAGTCGAGGATATAAAGGAGTACGATGCTGAGTACTCTTATGCTTTGAGATTCGGTTTTCCTGTTACCAATAACATAGCCGAGTATGAGGCAATGATCACATGTCTGAATATGGCTCACAGATTAGGCGTTCGAAATTTGGAAGTTTTCAGCGGCTCTCAGGTGGTTGTCAAGCAAATTAATGGTGACTACACAGTCCGCGAGGAACATCTTCGGCCATACCTGGAAAACGTTCTCGAGATCAAGGATAAATTCGAGAAATGTTTTATCTCCCACATCTTGAGAACCAGCAATAAAAGAGCTGACACGCTGAGTAAGCTGGCATCATCCAACTTCGCTAATCTCAGCCATAAAGTTTGGGTGGAGGTACTCCCCGAACTGGGCATTCGGCCCAAAGTCTCTCTTGCTATCATCGAGGAAGGAGAAACATGGATGACACCTTATATTAAATTCCTCAAGAGCGGGCAGCTACCCGACAACAAGTCAGAAGCTCGATTGTTGAAGTTGAAAGCAGTCAAATACACCCTTAAGGACAGAATCCTCTACAAGCACAGGTATTTGCTGCAAATGCTACGATGTGTTGGACCTACCCAAGCGGCGTAAATCCTCGAGGAAGTTCATGAAGGATCGTGTGGAGCTCATATGGGAGCGAGAAGCTTAGCCAAAAAGATCCTTCGAGCAGGATACTTTTGGCCCACTGTTTTCAAAGATGCCTATCAGTTTGTGCAAAAGTGCGATAAATGTCAGAGATTCTCGCCAATCACTCGACAGCCACAATACGAGATGGTCACCATACAAAGCCCCTGGCCATTCTGCCAATGGGGCACTGACATCATCGGCCCTTTTCCAAAGGGGGCAGGGGGACTACGATGGGTTATCGTAGTTGTAGACTATTTCACCAAATGGGTAGAAGCAAAGCCGTTGGCCTCGATATCTGGAAGGAAAGTATTGAATTTTTTCTGGCAAAACGTGGTTTGTCGATTCGGAGTGCCCAAGGTGATTGTGTTGGATAATGAGTCCCAGTTCGAGAGTGATTCCTTCAAATCATGGTGTGCAGAGATGCAGGTCGAGCGTCGCTTCTCCACCGTTGCACATCTGCAAGCAAACGGTCAAGCTGAGTCAATTAACAGAACTATCTTGCACGGGATCAAGAAAAGATTACAGGATGCGAAAGGAGCATGGGTTGATGAGCTTTCTCATGTTCTATGGGCCTATCGCACCACGGCTCATTCCTCGACAGACGAAACGCCTTACATCTTGGTCTATGGAATGGATGCTTTTCTCCCAGTGGAAATTGGTTTACCAAGTCCTCGATCGGTTGGCTTTGTCGAGGAAACCAACAATGAAGATATCTTGCTGAATCTTGACCTACTCAAGGAACGGCGGGATACCGTGAAGATCAGAAAAGCTAAGTACAAGGAAATTCTCCGAAGAAACTACAACAAGCGGGTCAAAAGCACTGATTTTGCAGTCGGGGACCTAGTACTTAGAAAAAATGAGGCCAGTCGAGCAGAAACTCCTGGAAAGCTATCAGCCAATTAGGAGGGACCATATTGAGTCATTGAGGTTTTCACGTCGGGTAGCTACCGATTGCAAACAACAGATGACACGGGAACTATCCTCCCACGATGGTGGAACGTTTAGAATCTTCACAGGTTCTACGTTTAGTTGATTTTACGTGCTATTTGCTATTTTATTTGCTAAGTGTTTTTCCTTTCAGTTATATGTAATGTTAACCCAATTCCTCGGGTCGTTATCAATAAAATCATTGCATATTTTTTACACATGTGTCGATACTACTTTATGACTCGTCCTCGAGATGTATTTCCTTAAAAGGTGCATCCTCGATTCGAGAAGCCTGTATTTGGCTTCCTCAGAAAAGCGCTATAAAAATAATACTCGAGTAAATCTATATGATTAACGCTGAACCAGCTTGATCATAATACGTTGTCCTTACGCTTTGGTAGGATGTAAAACGTTGTCCTTACGCTTGGCAGGACGTAATACATTATCCTTACGCTACGACAGGATACATTAATATACAATACAACAACTTGTACTCAGATCTTAAGGTTTTTTCCTTGAGAATTAAACGAGGAGGGCGTAATGATGCCCGAACCTCCGAGGGCCCTAAGTCTATGGATACATTGATATAACTTATCCTTGAGGTCCAATATCTCCCAGTCTTGAACATCAATCCTGCGTAGATACTCCTCCGCAGCAGTTCTCTCTTTTGCTTCCTCTTCTAGATCGAGATCCTCCAAAATGGGTAGAGGAATCCCATCAGCTAAGAGATTCTGCTGGATGGTGACCTGTTTCGAGTAATACGCTACCTCCTTGGTCCTTTTCTTCAATAAATCAAGAGGGGCAATGAAGCGATCCGTTCTCACCTTTATTTGGGATTCAACAAGGTTAAGCAGGTGCTCTTTTTCGAGGAACCACGGAGAAATCACAATCTTCTCTGCGCCCTCAGCCGAGCATTTTCTTTCTTCAAGTTCCTCATCTCTTTGTCAACATTAGCCTCCAAAGATAGAGAATTATGGAAGTCAAGATCATATTGGAAAAGTCGCTGTTTCCATACCTCCTCCTGCTCTTTAAATCATTGGACAAGACGAGAATGTATCCTCAGATGGTGCGCCTGCATAGCATCTGTAAGATCTTTCTCGAGAGCCTCCACTGTGGATATCAGGTGTACGTTTCCAAACTTCTCCAAGGAATTCAATATCATGGCGTACACAGGGAAGAGTTTGGCTTGATCTTCATTCAAGAGCATTAAGTGGAATCGTTGAACAAAGTATGATTCCTGGCATGATCAGTAAGAAATTTATCAAGGCTTTATAGAGATAAAGTAATAGCAAAATTATATTCTGAGAAGAGAATTTTGTCTGATAAAAGGAGGAGTGTACAACTCCAACAACAAAAAAGGTCCTATTACAAAAGAGAGATTCATACAGCGCCTCTAGGGAATGACTGGTTCACGTCCAGCTCCTCGGTAGGATGCTGACTCGAAGTGGCTTCTCGCTCAGTAGCAGGGACCTATTCTTCGACCTTCTCCTCCTCCCCTTCCTTTTCTTCCTCGACTTCCATCGAGGAGTTTTCCTCATACACCAATTCAGCACCAATATAATCTGGCTCGAGTTGAGGGACACGTCTTTCCTCGGGAACCACGAAAAGAGCAGTTGGCTCATCACCTGGGAATGTGACGATCTCCGAGGGAGAGTTCATCTGAAGTAGAGCATCACACAGGGAGTCGAATAGGGGCAGCTGCTTCGAAGAAAGACGTTGTAACTCATCCTTTATCTTGCCTTGAAGCTCCTTCTTGGGGTTGGGCTTGATGAAGTTCTGCAGCCACCCTGCATTAATGGTTTCCTCCGACTCCATTCTCTCAAGTGCTTTGATAGCTGCTTCATTTGCCCCTAAATTGATGGCAACCTAACTCATTCTCATCAGGGAGTTCACCATTCCTCTGGTATTTACCACTCTGGAAAAGATTGCTCTAGCCCAGTTTGGCATCTCTGATTTTGGCATATGAGTTCTCTCGAGCGCTGCCAACCTAGTCTCAAGATCTTGACACTTAGACTGAGTAGCGGAAAAATCTGTGCGGGCAGCCGCCAGTTCTTTTTCTGTTGTCACTCGAGCGGCTTGCTCCTTCTTCAGCGTGTCCTCCAGAACTGCTTTTTTATGCTTGAAGAACCCTTTCTCGAGCTCAAAGCCTGCAATCTTCTCTTTTTGCTACCTTTCATGCCTGAGGAGCCAGGCTGTCGAGGTGGTCAACTGCAAACATGCACGAAAACATAAGAACAAGTCTAAAAATAACACCAAAGTTTTCGAATATAAGAGTTCTTACCATCTTCATGGCCTCCTTGCTATTTAAGGTCGCAGCACCCTCCTCGATCAGGGGGCACTCAACTTTCACACCCCCAAAATGGTATACAGCAATAGCTGTTGTGTATTCGGCCTCACCGCTAGAGCTCGATGCAGTCGCTTTCTCCTTTGCCAAAAGAGATACTTCATTTTCACGCCACTCCGATGGCCTTGGTTCAGATAGGGTCACATCGTGAGGTGAGTTCTCACTGATGGGAAGCATTTCGTCCTGTGACTTTGCTCCTTCCTCGGTCGTTTTCGGATCTTCCTCAAGGGACTGAGTTCATTGATTGTCTCTGCCTGCACGGCTTGTTTCGCTGTCTCCACTGGCTGTTCCTTCTCGGTGGGGGCCTTCTTCTTCTTGATTTTGACAACTGGTTTCTTCTTCTCGCCTGGCTGCGCTTTATCCCCAGACGGTTTCTTGGGTTGTGCCTCGAGATCGGCAGTTTTCACCAGTTTCCTCTTTTTCTTCAATTGGCTCGAGGAGCCTGTGTCATCTGAATTTTTTAAATGAAAAAGCTTGGCATCACCAAACAGTCCAGCGGTGTTTTTGCTCGATGACATAACCTAAAGCAACAGAAATACACAAGAAAAGTCAGTACCTTCTTCCTGCTCGATGAATGGCGGCGGGATGTATTGTTGGACTTCATTATGTAACAAGAGGTCCTCGAAAGATTCAAGAGCATTGATGTCAGCCCTGAATTTCTCTATCCTGTCGGACTTTGTCCATGTATCAGTTATGGTTCCAAGATCATGAACTTCTCGATGATCCCAGGATACACAGTATTCTTGGGGAGCCTTCACAAACAAGAAGTTTGATTTCCCCTCTGTGCCACCGTCAAATAGATGAATGATCTTCTCTGCTTTGGAAGATATATTGGTTTTTACATTATACCAATCCCTATATTTGGTCAATGGAACACAAACCTTGAAGAAATACCTCCACATGAACAATCGAGGGGTAACCTTCTTCAATTCGCATAACCTCGCAAACCCAAGGACCGCGGTAACTAAGTTCACTGTAAATCGAGCAAGTGGTATTTTGTAGTGTTAAACTATTTTTTTTAGATTGTCGTAGAATATTAGATTAAGTACTTTCTTGGTATTGCATGTATAGTCCTTATTCGGACGTACATAAGTATGTGAAAGAAACATGGTTTCCGCACAAAGAGAAGTTTGTATGTGCGTGGACGAATAAAAAGTTGCACCTTGGGAACACAACAAATTGCAGAGTTGAGAGTGCACATAAGGCACTAAAGAATTGGATTGACACGCCAACAGGTGCTATTGACACGATTTGGGGAAGGCGCACAATGCGATTGAGGTGCAACTAATTGAAATCAGGTACGTAATGCCTTATTTTAATATTCATGTGCGTATTTTTATTTTTTTTTGGTCTTAATATGATCTTTCTTTGTTTTTTATCACTCAGGCGAACACTAGAAGAATCTCGCAACAAGAATGGAATACCATACCGTGGTTATCCATTTTACCACCTCAATTTCGTTGTTTCGCACCATTGTTTGAAAATTCTGCACACGGAGTATAAAGAGATGCAGCAAAAGGGAGACAAGTTTGTATGTAATCATAAGCTGAGATTTACTCATGATATTCTTTGTGGCTGTGAGATGAAGGTGACAGTGGACGCAAAAGAGGCGATTAAGGTTTCTGATCTCAACCCGTTTTGGTCAAATCTCAACATCGAAGAGAGTGCCTCCCATACTAGGCCTGATGGACTGTCAGATGATCAAGTCTTCTGGAAACATTTTGTTGAGATGGTCGACAATGGAGATCCAATGCGTATGCGTGAGGGGGTTGAGCGCCTCTATGATCTAATTTACGCAGATAGAGGGTCTTTGAAGGAACCGGAGAAGAAGAAGAAAGGCAAGGGGCGCCCCAAAGGAAGCAAGAACAAGCCACGTGAACAAACCTACACTCAATATGAATTTCAGCAAGCTGATGGGCCTCCTCAAGGTAAGAACCCTTTATTAATATTTTTTTATGGATTTTTTTTTATGTCCAAAAGCACCTATTCTCAATTAATGTTTGGTAATGTATTTTTCGCGTTATAGATGTGGTACAGCAGGACATTTATGAATATGGTTGGCTGAAGGGAATTGTGCCTTTTATGGTATCCTACATTTCTGGATATGTTGATGTGGTGGGTGATGGAAACTGTGGATTCCGCGCTATGGCGAGTCATTTGTTTGGAACCGAGAATGATTGGCCTCATGCTAGAAGAATTGGAGCAGATGAGCTAGAGGAACGTCCAGACTTGTACGATTTCTTCTTCGAAAGGGACATTCCCAAGCATGTTAGATGCATACGCCATTGTCAGAGTCCTTGTCCTCAACCCTACAGGATGATGACTTATATGGACTTGCTCATGTATGCCACTCGCTTCAATATGATCATATTCTTGTACGGGCGTGGAGAAAAAGGTCAGAATATGAACACATGTTCGTACACTGTGTTGCCCCTCATCGCTCCCAGGGGCCCTAATGGGCATTTGACCGGACCGGCTCAGGAGATTGCCATGGCTCACTTAGGCGATTACCCGCATTACATTCGGTTAGATTTTGTGGTTCAGATTTTCCAGTTCCGTCCATACCTTACCATTGGTTTGATCACCGTGACACTTCCGTTATTGGTTGGGAGGAGCCATATCGCCAGAGAATAGACCATTGGTTTTCTTTATGTCCCGATAATGGACGGACACGTTCCCCTCAATCTTCTCCCATCTTGGTTGAGTAGAGTAACAGTTAGTTATGGATTGGTGTATTTGACATTGTCTCCTAACTATTATTATATTTAGCACAATGTCATTCAATATGTTTGCAGTTATATATTTTAATTGTAATGTACGACCAAGTTAAACAAACACAATCACATGTCACAAATACAACGACGTCTAAGTTGAAATTCAAACAAACACAATCACATGTCACAAATACAACGACGTCTAAGTTGAAATTATTGGAGGTCTGGGGGGTAGATCACCACTCTGTGATTGAGAAATATTGTGGACATGCTCTTCTTGCTCAAATGAGGTGTGTCCAGCGCTGTGTGCACTCCCTTCTTGCTCCATCTCCTCATCCTCCACATGGATATTTCTATTACAACCCGATGATAGGACATTTCGCAATCTCACGCGCCGACGCCCCGAATCTTTGACGATCGGTCCAAGTGATGCCTGCATTTAATCACTGTAAATCACACAACCAAGTAATAATACTAATACAAGTTAATAAATCATATAATTATTTAATTATAAAAAATTCTACTTCATAGTAATAAAACCCAAATTTCACTAATTACACTAAAAGAATTAAACTACACTAACCTAAAAAACTAAATTACACTAATTAAACTAAAAACAACTACAGAAACTAAAAGAACTAAATTGAATAATTAAACTAAAAGAATCATTAATTCACTAATATATCATATAATCATTAATTATCAAAAATTCTACTTCATAGTAATAAACTCAAATTTCACTAGTTAAACTAAATTACACTAACCTAAAGTACTAAATTACACTAATTAAACTAAAAACAACTAAAGAAACTAAATTACACTAATTACACTAAAAGAACTAAATTACACTAATCAAACTAAAAGAATCATTTATTCACCAATATATCATATAATCATTAATTATCAAAAATTCTACTTCATTGTAATAAACTCAAATTTCACTAGTTACCCTAAAAGAACTAAATTACACTAACCTAAAGCACTAAATTACACTAATTAAACTAAAAACAACTAAAGAAATTAAATTACACTAATTAAACTAAAAACAACTAAAGAAATTAAATTACACTAATTAAACTACAAACAACTAAAGAAACTAAAAAACTAAATTACACTAATTAATTTTGGGAAAAAATAATACTAAAAAAAAAGAAAATTTTTTTTTAAGACAATGAAAAAAAATACAGGTGGTCGATGGCCGTTCACCATTCTGGTCGGCAGTATCGACCAAGTTTCGGGACGCCACTTGGGGCGTCCCGAAACAGGACGGCGTCCCTGCCGTCCATACTTCTGCCGTCGACCAACCCCCAGGACGTCACCTGGGGCGTCCCAAGGCATAATTGACTTTTTGTGAAAATTAAGGAAAGCATTTATTACCTGTTGAAATATCCATATTATCCCTAAGAGTAGTTAACCCCATTAAATATGACTTCCAACTGGAATGGTAGTCAAGTTAGTTAAGGGAGGGTAAACCTGGAAATAAAAAATTTAAGAAACCTTAAATGCATTAAATGTAACGTTAAAAGTATTAAATGCAACCTTAAAAGATAACTTATAGAGGGAGTACAAATTTTAGAATCTAATGTAAATTATCTTTTTAAAACAGAAAGAGTACATTAGTCACTTAACACATCGGCCTCCCCGGGAAAAAGAAAATACAGTGGTAGCCGTACCCTATTCAGATTAGCAGGATGAGACGACATTTTTTGAGAAATTATTCGGTAGAGCCGCTGCACCACATCAGCAGCCATTACTTGGTGCAGCAAGCCACTAGCATAAGGACATGTGGATTATATTTTTCAGCCTTTAACTCTATTTTTGTTTTTCCATTTTCCTTTTGCCTTGATTCCAAAAATAGCTCTCCACGATTCACGTCCTTCTCCCACGAATCCAAGCCGGACAATAATTATGGGACGGAGGGAGTATAATTTATCTTATGCCGAACCTTGATGCTCTTCTTATCATGATATCTACAGTTTTTTTTTTTTTTTTTTTTGGTACTCGTAGGCTCTTGAGGATGACCACCATAGAACTTTTTTTGCTGAGGAAGCGGATGAGGTTGCGGAACTCCTTACAACAGGACCAGAAAATCTTGAAGTTATTTATATTCTTGGGATGTTCGGATTGGGGAAGACCACACTTGCTAAGATAGCTTATAACCATCCTAATGTCGATTATGAGTACATGATTCGGGCCTTTGTCAATGTTTCACAAGATTATGATGGAAAAGAAATATTGCTCAAAATTCTGGCTTCTTTTAGTCAAATTAACGAAGAAGTTACAAACATGGGTATCAGAGGGTTAAAAAAATATATTCGTAAACAGTTAGAAGGAAAGAAATATATGATTGCATTGGATGATGTTTGGGGATTGGAAGATTGGGATAGATTAAAAGATGTTTTTCCTAACAATAATAAGCGGTGTAGAGTCATGATAACTACACGCCATGTGGAAGTGGCAAAGTATGCCAATCCAAGTAATCCCGAATATGTATACACGTTGTATTATTTGACACTAGACGAGTCTCGGGAGTTACTCAGGTCGAGGGTTTTTCACAAAAATCACTGTCCTCAGAAGTTACAAGAGTTTGAATTAGAGATTGTAGAAACATGTGGCGGTTTGCCATTGGCTATTGAGGTTATGGCTAGTATCATTTTGAATCATCCTGAAAGTATTGATTGGTGGAAAGACGTGGCCAAATTTGTAAAACATTACATAGCCAGGGATATGTCACAAACCTTTGAGGTTGTGGAATCGATGTACAATCTACTACCAAACTACTTGAAACCTTGCTTTCTGTACTTGGGAGCCTTTCATGAAGATCTTGAAATCCCTGTTTGGAAATTAGTACGATTATGGATTTCTGAAGGGTTCATCCAGCAAGATGGGAATTCTAACTTGGAGGATATAGCTGAAAAGTATTTGAAAGAACTTATACGCAGAAATATATTGATGGTTGGACAAAGAAAAGTCAATGGAAAAATAAAAACTTGTCGTATGAATGATACTTTCTGTAAATTCTGTAGGGGAAAAGCTGCCATGGAAAACCTTTTCCAACATATCCATGAGTATAACTTTCGGAGTTTCTTATCTGGAGATCCGAGGTTGGATCATCATCGGCGCCTCTGCTTCCACAATGTCAATGTTTTGGTATATTTCCAAAACAACTTCAGGTAATCGTGTTCATTCTTTCATAGCTTTTACTGAAGATAAAATGACCCTGGAACCAGAGCATGTTTCGAGCATTCCAAAAACTTTCAAGCTTCTCAAGGTGTTGGAGATTCAATCTCTCATCTTCACTCGTTTCCCTGTCGACCTTTGCAATCTTGTTCTTTTAAAATATATCTCGATATCCACCAACTTTCCAACTCTTCCTTCATCATTATCTGCCTTATGGAACCTGCAAACTCTGATAGTAAGTACCACTTGTCGCACTTTGGACATTAAGGCAGACCTATGGAAAATGCCACATTTCAGACATTTGCATACCAAAGTAGCCACCACTCTGGTGAGCCCTTATTCGAACAGCCAAAAAAAGCAAGGATGATGCATCACCTAAAAGTGTCCAGACACTGTGCACCATTTCAACTGAAAGTTGCAAAAAAGAAATTTTCGATCAAACTCCCAACCTTAGGAAATTGGGAATATGTGGGAGGTTAACCAACCTCTTTGAAGTAAATGGTGAATCTAGTTTACTCCCACAACTTTACGAACTAGAATCGTTGACACTACTGAATGATGGCAAAAGCTGCAAGCTCCCTAGGCTTCCTTCAAAGAGCAGCTTTCCTCCATGGCTAAGGAAGCTCACCCTGGTGAACACGTTATTGGATTGGAAAGAGATGCATAGGTTAGGGGAGCTAAAAAGACTTGAAGTTCTCAAGTTAAAAGATGATGCATTTCAAGGGAAATTGTGGCAGACTGAAAAAGGAGGTTTTTACAGTCTCAAACATTTGTACATTGGTCAGTGTGATTTGGTGGTTTGGGAAGCTTCAGCAGATGATTTCCCCGTATTAAAGAGTCTCCATTTAAATGGCTGTGATAAGCTTCAGGCTATTCCACATGGTTTGGCGGACATATCAACTCTTGAATTGGTGGTTCTTCACTGCACCAATCCTCAAGTGGCTTCCTCTGCCAGGAAACTTCAGATTCTAAGGCTTGAACAAGGCAAAAAAGGCAATAAAAGCCCCAACTCCTTCAAAGTCTCTATTTATCCTCCAGAGCATTAATCTTTCCAGCACCCAGAACCGGTGCACTTCTCTAACAGGTTAGTTAAGTATTTTCTGGTTTTAAGTGGTTTTTTCAACTTTTTTTTTTTCCGCCTTGCGATGTTTCTAATTGAGATTAACTGCCTCGATTATTTCTTCTATTTATCCTTTGAAATAATCTTGCGATGTATTCCCAGAAGAAAGAGAAGCACCAAGATGACTTGCGAAGAAGACGAAGAGCACGTCCCCGTGAAAGTTAGTACCGTTGGTTCTGCTGATGTGCATGTTTTATTCCCCTGGTTGAAGTAATAATTTTGAGGCTGACTAATCATGTGTTCCATCCTCCTACCTGCTATTTTGATGAACAATTCTGCATTTTCATTTCTCTCTTATGGTGAGACGATAAATGTTGGCTTTTGTTGTATATGTCATTTTGCATTTTCAGTTTTCTCGACGTCCGCTGGACACATCCAGCTGGTGGTACTTTTCTATCCATATACATACAGTTTGATGTGATTCAAATAATTCTCAAAGAATTCAAGACTTTCAGAAGATCAGTGTTGGGAATCCTTCAATTTTCAGCTTTAAGTAATTAAGTTGTTTGGTCACTATGTTGTTTTTTTGCTTATCTATGTAGTACTCCCTCCGTTCCAAAATTATTGCTCAGTTTAGATTTTCACTTACTATAAATTAAAAGTAAAAATCCAAACTGGACAATAATTTTGAACGGAAGGCGTACTTCATTTCGAACTTGTTATTTTTGTTACGGTCACAAATAATTTGGCTGGAGACCATTCGTCTCAAAAATAAGTGCCCATTCTGTCACAATCGCAAAATTGGTCTAAATAAGTGCCCATTCTGTAAATAAATAAAAAATAAAAAATAAAAAAAAAAGTGCCCAGTCTACTGGGAACCAGTTCAGCAAGACATCATGTTTGACGAAGGTGAAAATTGTACCGACGTAGGTGCATAGACGGTCCCTTTGATGTGAGTGAATAATCTCTATTTATAGTGATAGGGTTATTTATTTTTTATTTTATTTTAGGAAAGTAATTAAGAATCAGCCTAGAAGTTTCTAAGAACCGATTGGACCGCTTCTCAAATTTGGGTCGGCCTAGTCGCGCGCGGTATTATTTTACACTCGTCAATGTTCACCACAAACACGTTGAATCTCTTGCAACAGAATTTTCGATCCGCAGCAAGAGAGAGATCCCAGATGGGCATCTTTGCCCAACTTTATAGCAGATACAACAGAAGCCATGAGATTCCTTAGCTTAACCTTCATCAACCTCAATTCCCAAACGAATTCAGGTTTTGCATCCGGATTCACCTCCCATGTTTGCAAGGAAGAAAAAATGGTACTGATCATGACGGAGGACGCCATTGCTGAAATCTGTAGGGGAAACCGAACCAAACAGAGGTTTTTTTTTTTTTTGGAAAGAGGAACCAAATTAAAGAAAATGGCAAAGCAGAAGCGGGATTGACGGCAGGATGAAGAAATTGGCCTTGGGAGAGGTTTCTTTGAAATTGGCAAGAAAGAGTTGAACTCAAATACAAAAGTTATCGCGGTCGGTACAGACTAGTAACTAGTGTAGAAATTTCAAAGTCAACTGCCCATTGCTTCAATCATAAAAAAATAAAAAATAAAAGAAAGAAAAAAAATACAACTCGGAGATAGCACTCGTTCATCCCGTTGAATGAATGATCACTCTATTCATTGCTCCAATTCAAAATTGCAAATGGAGAATCAGTTTATTAATCAAGTCCAAAATTCAACAATATATCTTTATGTATCTATGATATTCACTAGTACTAATATATTAGCATTTCGTGTTACTGCCATTATTTCCTGTAAATTTGATGCCATTGACGCATTCTTGTTTGACTGAGATTTCCTAATTTGCTTTTGAGTTTCGAGTACTAACATTAACACGTTATGTGACCTTCCCCAAGTGAAGACTTAAATATGGTAATACCACAACTAGTACTAAACTACTACCTCCATTTCATTTTACTTGTCGCATTAGGGTAAAACTAAATATTCTTTTTATCTGTCGCTTTTCATTCCCAAAATGTCTTTAATTTATTTTTTACAATTTTACCATTATCTCTCTCTACTTTTAATTGGTCATATCAATAACAGCTACATGTAATTTAATTTGTTGCATACTCCCAATACAATTAATTAGGGATAAAAATGTCAATACATATAGAATTATATTCCCAAACATGTTTTTCTTAATTTGTGTGTTTGTCTAAATACGAACAGATAATATGAAATGGAGGTAGTAATTAACTATGGCCGGAGCTGTTTCCTCCTCAGTCCTCATCATCCTCCAAGTCAACTTTGTCTCAAATTAATTGATGAATGAACACTTCTGGCCTCATGAGTTGTCTTTTTTATTAGAGAGTTTCCAAGTTGACTTGTAGTACATTTAGTAATCTATAGACCAATCAACGCTCTTCTTTGTTTTCTTTTTTTTTTTCGCGGGATTAATAAAAAAAATTTGAATTTATCGGTGGTTGGAACACAATATTATTGGTTTCTTTCACTCAAGTAATGTGGTAATATGATATTAAGGGGGGAAAAAACAAAAATATGATCATACTCATAATGCATTTTCTTTTCATAAGGCTGATCATGGTTAGACTTCTACAGATGAGAGGTAGTCAATGAGGACACCCAAAGTAATCTGAATCTATAGAATAGTTTCTGTGGCATCATTAATATGATCAACTGGAGACGTTGGTGCAGTTTACGGCTTCGTAAATAAACTCACTAGTACTCCAGTTTTCCAATCCAATACACACAAAATATTCAAGTGATGTCTCAAGTTTTTAGTTCTTTTGTTCAATAAAACCTCATTTTCTTCTTGCCTGCATTTGATTTCAGTCAAATTAAGCTTTAATTTTGCTCCGGCCGGATCAAGCAGCTCATCAAATGGCCCAATCATCATCCCGGGTCGTGACTTGCATCAACTATGCCTTGCATGATACCGAGTTGCGGGCTAACCGTACTCCTTCCTTGGCTAATGACTTGAAGAAACACAACATTTGTCTAAGGAATCTCAAGGCCTTCGTTGTTGTTTCTGCAAGAAGGTGGGACAAAGATGCCCGCGGCTTGGAATCTCTCTTGGCAAGGATTGAAGATGTTGTTTCCAGGTATGCTCAGAAAATCCACCGTCCCTTTGACGCTTCAACTGCTTCCATCTCAATGCCTTGGCTTCGGGTCATTTTCAACGAGATCCTCTGTTTGGAGGAAGAAATTGATAATGAAAAATGGTTCGCCGCTCTATCGGATCATACGTGTCGACCTTCTCCGGCAGCTTCTTTAACGGCGACTGAAATCCTGGAGATCACTGATTTTGTTCTTGGGAATCTATTTGATTTTCCAACCATTTTCAGTAGTCAAACTTCTCACCTTGCTACTTTGATGCGGGCGATGGAAGCCTTGGGCTTGCAGATGACATGTTTGAAAAATTTCCTCCTCTTTGCTTCTGCAGAGACTCGGGTCGAAAACGGACATATCAAAGATTTACTGATTTACTTTGAAGATGTTGCAATCAAAGCAGCAGGTCTCTTCATCAATAGTCCACATGATGCGTTTGATGAAAAATGGTGTCAACACATGGAGTTCAAGTGTTCAATACTCCTTGAAAAGATCAAGCCTGTTGATCCTCAAGTATTACACACTTACACTGAAGCTCTTAGTAGCTTAAAACCTTCCAGCCACTTAAATCCTCAAGTCTGTCAGGATTTCCTTGATTGCCTCATATCAAACCTTTGGGATATTCTCCGAATAGATGTTGTTCATCTGGATTCTATGATGGATCAACAGAAAGCTCTATATGAAGGATTGAAACTCTTGAGATCTATTGTGAAGCAGCAGCAGGTTGCAGAAAACATTGATGACAAAATCAAGGAACAAATTGGGGATCTGGTGTGTGATGCCGGAATCTTAATTTTCTCTTTTCACCGGGAGCATGCTGTTACCAAACCCGGGCTTCAAGATTTGATTGAAAAAATCAAGCTTCTTCCATCAAATGCTGAAGAAAAAGTTGAAACAGTCAACTTTTCCAGTTCTACAGGGCTGGGTTTTGTTGATTCTTTATTACGATATCTGATGCAGCTGAAAAGTCGTAATGGCCGTCTTCCAATTATTGGAGGAGGACTCTCCTCCTTAAGATCAGTCTTGGAGGAAATTGAGGAATCGCACCATCATAATCAGGAACTGCGAGCTCTCTGGAATCGCATTCTTGAGGTGGCCTACCGAGTGGAATTTCTGATTGACCGGCTAGCTATGGGAGAAATTTCAAATTCTCTCTCAAATTTATCTGATTCTATCATAAATGAAATCTCAGATATCTTTGCGGTCCAGAAAATTTCTTGTTCGGAAAAGGTTTCTGATGGCAACAAAGAGAACATCAAAAATGAGCAAAGTCGTCACCACACAGATCCCTGAAATAACTGATGATATTGTAGGTTTCCATGGCGATGCAGCATCCATCGTCGATAAGATCACAGGAGAAGGAAATCAGTTGATAGTGATTAATATTTGGGGAATGGCGGGTGCAGGTAAGACAACTCTTGCTTCTAAAGTGTACAATGATCCTTCTGTTAGAAAGCATTTTGATGTGCTTGCTTGGGGTTTGGTTTCTCCTGTAATGGAAGAAGTCAGGTTGCTGACTGAGCTTTTAAATCGTATAGATCCTAGTTGCAATGTTCCGGTAGACGTAGCAGATTTAAAAGCTAAGGTCCATGCATGTTTGAAAGACAAACGATATCTCATAGTATTGGATGATGTATGGACTAAAGAAACATGGAAAGAATTGGAGTCTGTATTCCCTCAGGATGGCATGGGGAGTAGAATTCTTGTCACCAGTCGGCAAAGATATGTTATTGATTTTCGTTTCCTATCTTTCGAAGATCCTCCTTCAATTTTTCCACTCACTAATGAAGACAGTTTAGAGTTGCTGCAAAGGAAGTTATTCCCTGGAAAGGATTGGCCTCCTCCATTACTTGAACTCGGGAAGGAAATCGCAAAATATTGTAAGGGATTACCTCTTGCAATCATCACTGTGGCTGGTCTTCTAGCAAATAGCGAACAAGAGAATTGGAAAGAGATTGTGGATGGTTTAAATTCTGGTGCCACAGCTATTCCAGAATTAACTATAAATGCATGGGAATTAAGTTACCAGCATCTGCCAGCTTACTTGAAACCTTGTTTTCTATATTTTGGGGCATTTCCAAGAAAACAAGAGGTTTCTGTGAAGAGATTAATTCATCTGTGGATAGCTGAAGGCTTTGTTCAAAAAGCGGGATTTGAGACAACAGAAGATGCAGCAAAACAGTACCTGCAGGAATTAATTAAAAGAAACTTGGTCATGGCTGCTAAAAAAAGATCCATATATCGCGTAAAAACTGTCCGGATCAATGATTTGGCGCATAACTTTTGTTTGAGAAAAGCCAAAACAGAGAATTTTGTCTATCTATTGCGTGGGAATGATCAGCTTTCAGATTATGAGGAGCCACCCTACCTGCGCAGATTGTGCATTCATGACGATAATGTAAGTGATTTTAAGGTGGCCAAGTTATTTTCCCCTCAAGCACGTTCACTGTTGATTTTTTCCTCCCAGAATAAGTTGGGTTGCAGACCACACCGGCTTGCCACCTCCTCTTTCATTCCCATCTTCAAACTTCTCAAAGTGTTGGATTTGGAGGAGATTGATTTGGGTTATGTTGTTCCCAGTGAAATAGGACTTTTCGTTCTGTTGAGATACCTATCGGTTCGAGGAAATATAGAGATCATTCCAACATGGATCGGTAATCTGTCGAACTTGGAAAGTCTTGTTGTGCATCTGGGAAGAGAACAATCCATGGTGCTATTGCCACCTACTCTCTGGAATCTAGAAAAATTGAAGTGGGTCTGCATAAATGGAGGAGGTGGTATTTTGCCCATTGAAAATCTAGATGGCTCCCCTGGTTTGTTTGAGTTGGAAACGGCTTCGGGTGTAGTGATCTACAGTGGTGCCAGCATGAGAAGCCAGTTGCGGAGGTTTCGGAACATCCGCAGGCTGAGATGCGATCTGTCTCAACTCTTTGTTGAGAATCAAAAGTTGGATAAGATTGAAATTCCAGAGTTTTTGGAGTTACTAATGTCGCTTCACTTGTGGAGGTCAGACGTCGCAACGATGAATCCTGCTGTATCTGATATGTGTTTTCCAAGTTACCTGGAAAACCTCACCTTATCAAGGCTTGCATTACCCTGGGAGAAGATTTCGCCCATTATTAGACTCCAGCATCTCCGTGTTCTCAAATTACTCGATTCCTGCTTCGTTGGGGATACCTGGCATCTGAAGGAGTATAGTTTTAATAGTCTTGAATACCTGAAATTGTCTAGGTTGGACATTGTCAGGTGGACATGCGACACTGGACGTTTTTCCGGCCCCTTGAAGAATTTGGTATTGGAACACTGCAGCAACTTGGTAGAGCTTCCAACAGTCTATCTATGGCAAAGACGTTTGTCTCTCCAGGTGATTGACATCATCTCCTGTTCTGACATTTTAAAAGGAGTAGCCAAACGTGTCGGTAGATATTGCAAGGTTCAGGCTGTTTGACTACTGTATGCATTTCACATGAATCAAAAGAGCTGGGAGTTCAACCATAGAGTTCATTATTTTTTGCTAGGTGTACTTGCATCAGTTTTAGCTACAAAAGAAAGAGTGGTGGAGTGTCAAATCCACACAAATAAAATATAAACCTACTTCAACTACAATAATATAGAGAAAGTAAGGTCGTCTCTTCAGGAAATGATGGATAGTTTCCTTTAAATTAATGTAAACGAGAATTTTTTATTGGTTTGTTCTAAATTTATTATAATGGGAAATTCAAATAACAAAAAAATAATAAAAGAAAGAAAATAAGTAATAAACTACTGATCCAAGGGACAGACAACAAATACAACAATCAACAAATACAAGAATTAAAAGTAAGAAAGATAAATTAAAAACATAATCTCACAGTGATATAATTGAATCAATCCCTTGAATCAGAAATAAAAATTTAGCCACTCATAGATGTAACCATAAAGGCTTTATTCTCCATGAAAAACAAAGAAAATTCGGGAAACAGGCTTTATTCTCCATGAAAAACAAAGAAAATTCGGGAAACGTAAAGTTGAGGTGCCTGCTTGGCTCACACGGCTGCCCAGAAGCAGGCCAAAAAAACCGAGGCACATAAGAGAAGAAAATCACGGCTGCATATATAATTAGGTCAGCCGCACTAATCAAGAAGTTGGTCAAAAATTGCAGCATTGGTCCTTTAATTTTTCAGCTTCTTCACATTTGGCCCAAGCTTTCTCCAATGATTAACTTCAGCCCAAGATTTTCTTTATTATCAACTTTAGCTCTCAAAAACTTTTATATTATGCAATTGGATCCTTCAACAGAGTGAACTTCTCCTCCCTCAAGCTGGATGATTTTGCAATCGATCTATTTGCATCAATTAGCTCCGAAAAGTTATAAACTCCGATTTTCAACTCCTAACACAAAACATTAATAAAACTTAATGAATTAAAACCATCCAAGTCCATAAACTAATAAAATAGTAACAATTAAATCATAATTTATGGACTCTATCAAAGAGAAAAGGGTTTTATTGGTGAAACAAAACACATTGCAGAAAGTGATCCTTGAGCGCAACATCTTTTTCTGATCTTTTGGAATTTGATCTCATAAGCCGCTAGCGAGTTATGCAGAGAAATGGCTTTCATTTCGAAAGTTTAGCTTGTTTGAAGGAGACGGAATTCTCTGTAACTGATTGTAAATAGATTAAAAAAACAGCGTTTTTGTGTATTCTCTTACTATCATCAACTCAGTCTCTTTTTCCTGTCAGCCTGACAAAAGACAGTCCAAATTTTCTAATTCCTTGAATCCTTTTGTTTTTCCAATTATTGGCTCATTTAAAGTTGATGGTGGTAAGTAGTAACGTAATCGATCTATATAATCGCCGCTTCTTCTATTCACTGATTGGTAGCGCCATTGCAAGAGTTGAATGTAATCCAGCAGAGTTAGCATTGATTCGCATGCAAGGCGTCGCGGCCTTACCTTCACCTCTGTGCCGGAATTACAAGAAACATACTTACTCTTACTCCGTTCCAAAAGATAAGCCACATTATGCTTCTAGATTAGAGGTAATAACTATAATTGTCACGACAGGTAAAATCAAATTGAGATGCAAATGACTAACACAATTTATTTGGTCAAAGCTGGAAAATGTGTCAGATTAATAGATGAGCAATACTTTTAGTAGCATTGTGAAATAAGACAGCGAATGTAATTACTTTCAAATGCTCAAAGTTTACACATCCCTTCTGAGAAGAAATAACAAAATGGGAAAACCACACAAAGTTGCAGCAGTAGTTGGACTCAACGCCCCCAAGGTTCCAAAGCGGCCTGATGTACCTCATTGAATGTGTACCGTTAAGCGTGATTGTTGCCCGTAAGTCGCAACATGATCAGCATGAATGCATCTGACTGAACTTCCTGAAATGTCAGAGCAAGAAAGGACTTCAATCCTCTCAAGTGATAGAGCATGGCGTCCTAAAGAACCAGGAAGCTCCAACAAATTGCTGCAGTGATCCAATACCAACTTCATCAAGAAGAAAAATTGGAGTTCACCATGAGCTGTCCACTTGACGATGTCCAACCTAGACAGCTTCAAGTATTCAAGGCTAGGAAAATCCTCTGGTTTCATGTCCCATGCATCCCCTACGAAACAGGAATCATTTAATTTGAGAACAGTAAGACATCGCAGTTTAGCAATGCTTGAAATCTTCTCCCAGGGCAATCCAAGCCTTGACAAGGTCAGCTTTCTCAGGACGCGGTAAACAAAAACCAAAGACAGCACGATTCATCATAGCTACATCAGACCGGAACAAGTGTAGCGAACTTAGTTTACTCAAGAACTCAGGAAACACAATCTTATCCAACTTTTGGATTGCCAACAAAAAGTCGGGAAAGGTCACATCTCAACCTGCGAATGTTAGGAAACATTTGCAGTTGTTTCTCCGTGGTGGCGCCAGAGTAAATGACTGCACCTGTAAAGCTTTCCAACTTGACCAATATAGAGGAGTCCTCCAGATTTTCAAATGGCAAAATACCCCCACCGAAATTTATGTAAAGCCATCTCAATTCTTTTAGATTCCATAAGTTATGTGGCAGTGAAACATTAACTTGTGTTCCTTCCAAATGCACCACAAAAGTTTGCAAGTTTGACACGTTACTAATCGATTCTGGAATTGTTTCCATATTCCCTTGAATCGACAGGTATCTCAACTGAACAAGGTGTCCGATTTCACTTGGAACAACGTCACCCAAATGAATCTGCTCCAATTCCAGAACTTTAAGAATTTTGAGGATGGGAATGACGGAACAGGATATCGAAAGCCAGTATGGTTCGCATATTGACTTCTTTTTAGAGGAGGAGGAGGAGGAGAGAAACAAAGAACGTGCACGTGGAAAAAATAACTTGGACTCCTTGAAGCATCCCCATCATCATAAATGCACAATCTCCTCAGGTAGCGGGGCTCGTTATAATCTAAAAGACAGTCGCGCCCATGTACAAGATGGAAGAAGTTTTCCTTTTTCGTTCTTGCCAAACAAAAATTATGCAGAGAATCATGAATCCGGAATGTTTTGGCACCACCGCTGGATCCTTGTTTAGCAATCTGAACGAAGCTTCTTTCAATCAATGCAGACATGTACAGTTCTGCAAAGTCTTCTATGCTATTCAACTCTGCGACCTGATCTTCTGTGCTCTCCAACAGTCTTTGGGGAATTAATCCTTCAGCCATCATTAATTGAAACAACCTTCTCACAGAAACCTCTTGGCCTTTTGGAAATGCCCCAAAATATAGGAAGCACGGCTTTAAGTCGTACGGAAGGTGCTCATAACTTGATTCCCATGCCTTCTTTCTGAGATCTTCTATGACACCTGAACTTAAACCACCCAGAATTTCCTTCCATCTCCCTTGTTCACTTTTTGAGAGATGTCCAGCTACATCGACTATTGCAAGAGGTAATCCCTGACAATATTCCATAATTTGCATCCCCAGTTCAAGCAATTCGCGAGGCCAATCTTTCCCTTGGAATAGCTTTTTTTGCAGCAACTCCAAACTTTCTTTATTACTGAGTTTAGAAAGTACATGAGGTCCATTAGCTGCCAGCAATCCATCAGGAACAACATTAGTTTGCCGACTTGTGATAATAATCCTACACCTTCTCCCCTTATCGTCAGGGAATACCATCGACAGTCTCATCCACGTATCCATGGTTCAGACGTCATCCAGGACGATGAGATATTTCTTTCCTTTCAAACACTGATGGACCTTTTCTTTTAAAAGTGAGGTATCAACCGGTGGAATATCACCACTAGAATCGATTTGTCTTAGAAGATCCTTCAACAATTCCGATTCGTCCATCACTGGAGAAACGAAACACCACGCACGAACTTCAAAAAGTTGGCTAACATCAGGGTCGTAGAACACTTTAGACGCTAGGGCTGTCTTACCTACACCTGGCATTCCGCATATAGGGATCACCCGCAACCTATTGCCTCCTCTTTTAAGAAAATGAATAATGGATTCTGAATAGACGTGGAACCCGACAAAATCATCTGTTTCTGAGGGAGTTCGTGTCTGGATCACTTCCATCATGTCCTCTCTGTTTCCATAAGAAACCTTCTGCACATCAATTTTGATATCCTTGAGTTCTTCAATGATGGAATGAAATAAAACTGAGAGGGAGTCGGAACTGTCTCCAAGTGATAATCGGTCGACCAGAAATTCCGCTCTGTAAGCCACCTCCAGAGCGCGATTCCAAAGAGCTTGTAATTGCTGATTTCCCGCACGAAATGCCTCAGTTTCTCTTAAAAAAGAACTCAAGAAGTAGAGTTCTTGTCCGACATTGTCAACAAGGAGAGCGTTGCTGCTGCTCATCAGCTGGGCCAGATTTCGTAATAAAGAACCAACGAATTCCAGTTCATCTTCACAGGGAAAGTTGAATGTTACAGTTTGTGGAACTTCCTGTTGAGCTTCTGATTTAAAAAACTTGATTCTTTCTACCAGTTCTGGAAGCCCAGGATTGATTTCTCCATTTTTATGTTGAAACGAGAAAATCAGGACTCCCGCATCACACACCAGAGCTCCAATTCCAGTCATGGTTTTCTTATCAGTGTCGTATACCAGATGCCTCAGAATGGTTCTTAAGAATCTTAGTCCTTCGTACAGAACTTGTCGTTGATTCTTCACGGAATCTAGATCACCGGCATCTAGTCGCAGCAGATCCCAAAGATTCGATATGAGGGAATCAAGAAAATCATAACAGGCTCGATTGCAGACCGATTATTTTAGGCTCGTCAATTTGAATACTAAATCAACATTAGGAGTCTAAAGTTTGTTAGGTTTTAAACTTTATATAAAAATTAAAGATTTTGTGGATACGCAGAGATTAGTAGTTAGCGAATTGTATATGATAATAGTAATAGTAGTAATAATAGCAATACGTGAAAAAAAAATTTACGAATGGTTAGAATTATGATGTGTCATTAAATATTTTTAAATTGATCCAGAACACATAATTTGTCCTGAAAATGATCTCTCTTCAATACAAAATTGATCTTTAGATCACATTCAATTTGGTTGGACATGAGCCTATCATGGATTATCATTCTGTCACAATGAAGATTCTAATATAGAGTTACTGGAGTTTTCCTCGGCTGATCTACATGCTCTCCATACATGTTTTCAATGGAGATTATGTCTCCATCAGAGAACCAAATGCACAGCCGGAATCCGAAGCTGCTACTATGAAGATGGTTGGAGTTAGAAAATTTTGCAAAATAAGGAAAAATGTAGACTGTTGTTCTTCAAATGCTTTAATGTCGATTAGACTGAGGAGGAAGTTAGCGATGTTGTTGTTGTGATGTTTCTTTCAAAATGTAGCACCTTCATCTGGAGTGTATTCATTTTATGCTGCTGTGGTTTTTTCTTTCATCCAAAAAAAAAAAAAAACAACTGCTGCATTATGTTTTTAGTGTCAAATGTGTTATCTTTTAGACACATAACAACAGTTCACACTGTTGCTTATTCAGGATGTCCACTATTTTTACTGAAATGTCGTTCGAAGTCTAAAAATTACTGATCGATAGTCTATTTAGATATTTTTTTTCCCGACTTGTTTGTTTTCCTCTTTTCTTCCGGTCTAGCACAATTTCGAGTCTAAAACTAAATCCAATTCAGTTAAATTAATCAAACAATAATACAAAATACAAAACTAAAGTAATTATAACAAAAAAAAATAACAATAACACAAAAAAATAATTCAAAAAAAATTAAGAAAAAAATTTCTGCTACGGCGGCCACAAGTAAACCGACCACTCTTTAGGAAGTATTTCTGCTACAGTAAGTATTTTTATTAGTGATTTTTAGAAATCTTTCCGGTCACCCCAATAACAACACAATGTCCTATTTTCTTACTGTAGTGTGAGTAAATTATCAATTAGATACGTGGAAACAAAAATTTGAATATTTTAAAATGCGATGTAATTAGTATTTCCCAACCCGCGGCCACCCATGGAGATTCATGAAATCTCATTTTCTTTCACGTGTAAATTAATTGAAATTTGATTGGTGAAACAGCCAGCTGCCAAAACTGCACAACAGAAAAATTCCGAGGAACGCGAAACCCTGATCATACTAAACGACAATTACTACAGACACGTAGGAGCGCTTCAGTCTTCACCACTCACCACCGTTACACACACAGTATACAGAGAAAAAAAGGGGAGAGAGAGATAGAGAAAAGAAAAGAATGGGAGATGATACTCTGAAGAACCAGCGAAGAAGAAGCTATGGGCGTCCAAGCTATAGCAGGGAAGTAGCTAATGCGTTAGCAACCACTGTTTTCCATCCGGCACAAACCATCAAGGTAATACACACTCCCTCGGGTCCTTAATATTAGGCATTTTGATTTGTCCTAGGTTCTACTCTGCGTTTTTAATCGACGAAAAAACCTTAAAAATATTTCATAACAATCAAGAGAACACAACGATGAAAATATATTTTAAAAGTTTTTTTGTCAATTAAAAATGTGTACTATATGAAACCTAGGAAAAGTCAAAATACCTTATCATAAGGACTGGAGGCCGGAGGGAGTACTATCTTTCATCAAGAACAAGCTGATAATCTGAAACCATTGATTTCTTGATGTTCTATGACATGGGATATCAATTGTGTTTTCGTAGGTGCGAATGCAATTAGGCCAGGGTCCAAATTTCCGGCTGGTCACCCACATGATTAAGAATGAAGGGATTTCTAGTTTCTACAAGGTAATTGAGTCGTTAGTTAATTCTCAGTTGCTCAACATAGCATATCGAAACATCAGTTTGGATTCCTGGAATCATATACTTGTTTTATGTTTTACTCTGGAATATTTGAATAGGGGTTGTCTGCTGCGCTGCTGAGGCAAGTTACAGATTCTGCTGTTTCTCGCTGTTCTTTTAAGTAAGTATATACCCTACTATTGTGAAACATTGATGAATCAGATAGTCTTTTTCAAGTATCTAAACTGTTGAAATGGCGTATTGTGCTTAGTTAAACCATGAACGTTCATCACTTTTGGCTAGTTTTCCTTGCATCCATTTTTGCTAAAAACAAAAGAGGGAAAAAGGGGTTCCTCTGCTGTGAGGACGAAAATTTGAAGCAGGACCTAGTCCTTGCTTAAAAGAAAAAAATTGCTAATCCTGAAAAAATTGCTATCTTTTTTCGGAATTCTGGATTTGAGGAGATAAATATTCATGGAAATACTTCTGATGCTGTTATAAGTACTAGAATTTAACTGTTTGGTCACAAATTACTTTGTGTGCTTCCCCTTAGTATCATGATGTACTCTGCCACTTTTCCTTTTTTGTTGCCTAATTTAAACACAGTCCATACTTTGTAATGTTAGACCTGTTGCTTTTCCCCATAGGTATTTAGCTAGAGCCTCGCCTGTAGCAGATGGTGGTAATGAGATCAGTTTACGCTATCACTGGCTCCTCTGTTCAACGATTTCCAAAACCATTGGAGCAATTATGGCATATCCAGCAGACTTAGCTGCAACTCGCATGCAAGGTGACACAACCTTACCTTCAGCTCTGCGCCGGAATTACAAGAATGTGTTTCATGCTTTGTATCAAGCTGCCTCTAGAGAAGGAATCTCAGCACTCTGGAGAGGTGCTGGTACTAATGCCTTGGGGTTTATGGCAATGCGCTTTGGAGCCCTTTCCTCTTTAGAAGGCTTTAAGATCTTCAGGAAGCATATTCCCCGGGATGATGGAATGCTACGTAAGATCTTTTGATTCTAATCATCCCAAACCTTTTCATCTCCAACAACTAGCTGGTAGTAAATGGTACTTAAAAACTTTCCATTTCCTGTTACAGGATATGCCTATGGTTCAGCTGGCTTCCTGCTTTACCTGGTTTCGCCTCCAGCCTGTAGCAAACCATTTGATTATGTGAAAACCCAATTACAAATGATGCAGCCGGATGCCAATGGCAGATATCCATATGCTGGAGCTCTGGATTGTGCCAAGAAGACCTTCAGGCTGGGAGGGCCACTCAAATTCTACTCTGGATTTGTTCCATACTTCTTTACACTCTTACCTCCAAGCCTGGTACTGCCTGCATCTTTTTCCATTTCCATTCTCCATTTTTTTTGCGCTTCAACCAGTATATACTGTATCTTTTGAGTAGATACTAATCAGGATATCCTGCGTTTTCTTTCAGCTGTCGTACATGCTTTCAGAACGTGTTTTCAAGGGAGTGGAAGTGTCCGTCAGCGCGTAATGCCAAGCTGAATACTTGGTTTTAAGCTGGTTTACCAGAACTACTACTAGTAGGGAGATTATATGGAATTGCTGATCAATTGCTTGTGTGCAAGCTAGAGTGAGGAGAAATTACATTATACTTTTTGCTAATTAAGTGATAGTTTGAGGATAGAATATTACCATTTCAACGAGATTGGATGCACCACCTATCTAAAACGTAGACTATGTAATCTCTTTGGACTTCAATTTAGCTGGTGGGATCTAGTGGGAGGGAAAAAAAACAATTAGAAAATCAAAGTGTGTTTGAGATGTGTTATCTGTTGGTGTTCAATTCATATCATCCTTAAGCCTCTCTGCTTCGTCAGGGTATGGAGGAGGGACATTCCAGCTAGATAGCTCTCGACTAAAGTAAAGTAGTACTTACTACACATTGCTTCCACGAATTCATACTTGATATCAAAATGAACCCCAAATTCATACTTGTTTTACTTGGTTCACATTCAAAATGCGAGAATAAGGAGAAAGAACAGCATCTTGAACGAATGTCCTTGAAGAACCATTATTCGGGGGAACCCGCCGGATCTCGCTCATGTTAGGAGTCTCCACAAACACCATTGCCGATTCTCCAACCTTTTCGAACTTTCCGCATTTGCCTCAACGGCTCAACACGAGGTTATTCCAATTATTATACCTGAAAATCCCATTACAGAGACTCAATGTATTTCCAGCCTCAAATGCATCACACTCCTCACCCCACATCTGAAAGTGCACTGCTGCTGTCTCGTCTGCCACCAGCACCAAGCATGAACCGGGGAATGTCGTTACATTCCCCTTCTCTAGCATGATCAACCGGGCTGCCGGCACCATGTCTTTCAGAGATTGCATTTTTGTTTGATTTGTGACTTCTATCAGTCAAATTAACAAACACCTTGTTCGCACCTGTATATTTTGGACAGAAAAGCCGCCAAAATAACATATTAATTTTCTCGCTTAAACATAACTTCAATTAAGAGATTGTATTAAATCACACAGTATGGAACCGAATAAAATCTGCAAAAAAAAATTTGAGTCCTCTGCAATCTTGTTATGTTTTATGTGTTTGGTTTATTCAACATATGATTCGAAGTTTTCAAACTGAAGATTCGATTTCAACAGCTTGTAAATTTTCAACAGCTTTTGGACATGTTGGAACACTTTCAGAAGACAATTGCAAACATTACTGTAAATACTTATCAACACCGTATGAATCACTTACTTGTAAAGATGAGGAGGTATCCGCAAGGGTCTTTAAGCTGAATATGAGTTATTGATAACTATCTTGAGCCCCTCAAATTGTTCCTCAATGTTTCTGACTGACTCATTCACAGAGGATCTGCACAGCTGAACTTCAATCTTCTCCAATGTTGAGATGCAGGCAAAGTCGAAAGGGACTTCCTCTAGCTGTTTGCAATTACGCAGAACAAGCTGCTGGAGCTCGGGCAGATGATCACTACAAGCATTCCAGTGGACTATGTTTAGGTTGTCTAATTCCAAGTATTTGAGTTTGTTGAACTCCTTTTCCTTCATGTCCCAACTTGACTCCTCAAAGGCACAAGACATCAATTTCAGGACCTCCAGGTTCCCTAGTCTCCCTATTGCTGACATATTATTCATGGAGAGGCAGAAGGTTGATAGTGTCAACTTCTTTAAACTTGAGGGAAACTTCAGATTACCACTCTTTCTAACCTTGCCAAAGTATGATACCTTGAGTGATTCCAACTGAGAGAGCAAATCCCAGGCAGGAAAGATAGAGAAATTCATGGAGACATCTTGAGGGTCTAAAACCACACATCCCAATTTTCGGAGGTTGGGAAACATCATGATCATGTCATCAGTTGATTCCCAACACCTGAAAGTTAGAATTGAGAGTGATACCAAGTTGTGTAATCGAGAGGGACTTCCATATATTGGATCCAGCAAAGTGAAGATGGCACGATTAGTTATGTGTACATGCCTCAACTTTTTCATTCCCCAAACGCTGTCTGGTAGCTTGACCTTCTTCTTCAAACCCTTAATTACTAAAGTTTCAAGATATTGTAGTTTGCACAAAGATGGCGGAACATATTCCATATCACCACAAACTGCTAAGTATCTCAAAAGAAGAAGCATTCCAATTTCATCTCCAATGGAACTACCCATATTGATGGATTCCAAATCCAATACCCCTAGACGCTTAAAGTTGTTAAAGACGAAGGCTACATCATAGGGGCATCTTGGATATGTATCAGCTGTAGCAATGTACAGTAGAGATCGAGCAAATGGACCAGAAGGCTTCGACACAGCAAAGTGTTCTCGGTGCACATAAAAGCACAGTCGATACGCTTTGTATGTCGTGGAATCTGAAGAACTGTAAAATTCTTCATAAAAATCAGAATCTATACCATCAAAGGAAGTGTAGGGTTCCTGCTGAGCAGATATAAGCTGCCAAAAGTTCTCCTCGGTAGCTTTCATCAAGCACAAATCACGTACCACATCGTGAACTCTGCATGTTTTCACCTTTCCATTTGACCTTCGTTTGGCCACCATAACAAGATTTCTACCAACCAAATCCATGAAGTATTCCTCAGCAAGATCCTCGGCGCTTTTAGACTCAACTTCACCTACAAATCCTTCTGCGATCCACAACCAGCGTAATTTCCGTACTAAAATATCCTTATCCTCTGGAAATGCTCCAAAATAAAGGAAGCAAGCTTTGAGGTGATGAGGTAAATGTCTGTAGCTCAATTCAAGGATTTCCTTGCACCGCGTTTCTGGATCATTAATGACATGTGAGCTTACAGTCTGAGCAATCTGTCTCCACAAAGCATGATTCTTTTTTGTACTACGAAGAAGTCCCGCTATTGCACCAATAGAAAGAGGTAGTCCCTTGCAATTTTTGGATATTTCCTGCCCAACTTCCAACAGATTTTCTGGACAGTCTTCTTTTGGGAATATCTTTAACTTAAGCAACTGCCAGCTTTCCTCCTCAGAAAGTAGAGGAAGAGGATTTGGATAACTAATTTTGGAAACCACATCCTCGAGACGACTAGTGATCAAAATTCTGCTTCCATTGGAGTCATTCGGGAATGCTAGCTGCAGATCTTCCCATGCCTTTGTATCCCACACATCGTCCAAAACAATGAGGTATCTTGTCTGCTTTAATTTTCTATACAAGGTTAGCTGCAAATCATCATCACTCATGGCAAGGGTACTGTCGGTGATACTAATTATGTGGCTTAAAATACCAAGCAGCAAATCTCTCTTTGTATATGTTTGTGAAACAACAAACCACGCTCTGATATAGAAGTGATGCATAACTCTTGGACTGCAAAACACATCCATAGCCATTGTGGTCTTACCGATGCCTGCCATTCCAGTAATGGAGACAACGTCTCGCTTTACACCTCGAGTAAGTTGATCGATTATCTTGTTTTTCTGATCATTGAGGCCAACCATTGCTTCCACAGTTGTCGCTTGAGTAACATGTGATTTGAAAGCCACCAATCTCTGAGGATTGTTTCGGCCTTCACACTCATAAATGCAACCATTGTGGAACTCATCAAGCAGCAGTTTGATGCGTTTAATCTGTTCTGACAGATGTTCAAGCCCTACCAAGCATTCCCGCATGTCGCCATCTCTAAGCACCATCATGTCAATCATGTACTCTGCCAGATATGCCGCATCATTAAGCTGTGTATGAAGATCTTCGAATCCTTGTTCCTCAAAGCCCTGCTGAAAAGAATCTCCAAATGCAGATATTATGGACTCCAACTCAGTGCATATGTTTTCAATCAGATGAAGTTCATACGCTCCAAAATTACCCTCATCGTTGAAGGTGGTTTTCGACACCGTGGTGATCCAACTCCAATAGACGAAATCCTACAGAAACGCTAAAGTTAGTAAGGATTTGAGTGAGTAGATTGTATCTAAATTATATCAATTGAAAACGTACCTTATAAGGAAGCAGATCTCTTAGATTTCGTAACAGATATTCCAGGGAACATGACCCAAGAGTCTTTGGGAGATTAAAGCTGGGCATTTGAAGATAAAGCCCCTTGAGCTTTGGCATGAAGTTACGAACTTTCTGTAACAAGTCAAGAAGCAGAACATCCATATCCTTGACTCTTTCTACGGTGAGATTGTCAAGTGTGAATGTATCACAGAAAGATATTACTCTAGAAGCCACTACATGCATTTCTACCAACATCAGCAACTCATCCTCGGTAATCTCATCCGTTGTCTTAATAGTCACGACATCTGTAACGAAAAAGAGTGGCGCTTGAAGAGTTTCAATTTTGTGCTTCAAGGGGGGAAACGGACTTGCATCCATCTTTAGTAACTCCAAGAAAAGAGTCTTTGCCATCAATAGAGCTACTTGTACTTGAAGCTGGAGATGTATATGGTTGACGTTGATAGTCTTCGAGGACCTGAATTGATCAAGCCGATTTACCTGATTCAGAACTCTTTCAGTGACCATCAATATCTGACCTACAATTGATTCTTCATCTCTTGGAGCCATCAATATCTGATGTTCAAGCACCGATTTTGCATCTGTTCGAGTAAGAAATCGTCTTAGAGCTTCATACCCACCATTTTCTACTAGGGGTCGCATAAAGCTTGTTGTTTTGACGGATATATAAGCCTGAAGAGACCAAATCTTTGCCAACAGAATAGCAACATGACCTTTATGTGTTCTGCTTCTTCTTTGCAGAGTTGTGGCTTCCAGAACCACATCTTTAACACCTACTAAAATCTGATGTATATCATTGTAGTGATTCTCCGGGATTTTATTGACACGGAACAATAAGGATAGAATCTCATCCTGAAGGATTCTCATTTCACCAAAATCCATCGCCTTGACATAATCAAGGTAAACAGATGTAGAGCTGTTCAAATATTCCCCAGCGTCATTTAGCATTCCTACTGACAGGTCTAGGAACTCCACAAGATCCACTTGAGGGAGTAGCTTTGTTAACCAAGTAACCACATCCTGTTCTATTCCTTGACCTTGACCCAGTGGTGCATAATGTGTATTACACCAGCAGAAGCAACAAAAATCGGCAACCTGGAGAAGAAGTTCAGTAATATGAATCATCATATTCTCTGTCCAAGCTGACGCATTATACCTAGGATACAAAGATAGAGAAATCTGGCAAAGAAACACCACACTCCCTCTTAGGTCAGACATTCCCGTTCTCAGTGGATCGCTACCCAAGGAATAAGGGATGGAGAAGAGCAAATACTGAGTACTCTCCTGTAGAGAGGTACAAAAGAATTTCCAGCAAGTTGTGAGCATGGCCGGTTGAGCACGGATTAATGATTGGATGGACAAAGAGGACGAGGAGCCACCAGCACCACGATATCGGTAAGCTTCCCGCATGTCTGCTTTAAGAACATCAATCTGCTGGTTCAAACTGGCCAAAATAACATTCAGGGACTTGGAAAGCTTTCCATTAACGAAAGCACTGTGAATAGAAATCTCCAACTCCTTAGCTTTGATGAACAGGGCTTCTTCCATTTTTTCCCTACTGCTACGGGATGATGAGGATGATGAAGAAGTTGCATCATCATTCGTCCTGTTGCTGTAGGCGTAATTCGTGACGAATAAATACAGGAAATTCAGATCAACCATCTGGTCCATCACATCAGTATCTAACTTTCCTACCCATCCTTCCAATCGCTCAATTGCACGACGGAAGTCGTCCAACTCCAAAGACATCTGTAGCGCCTGCAGCATCAAGCGAGAAAATCAAACTTCATTAGACATGGAAGAAGAAGAAGAAGACAAGGAAGGAGTATTTTTGGTTTAACACAAGTAACTGAGCTCTGGAATGGGATCCATGATGTGAATTGGCCCAGCAAAAGCTCCACTTCTGGCTTACTGCTTTCTGCCATTCCTGTTTCTATCTTCTCATCTGTTAAACCATCTTCCCCGGACGACAACTCCATAGCCTTCGATTTTAATGCTCTCTCACTAATCTGCTCTGAGCCAGCCATGGAAACACAGTCAGCATCTCAACAACTTCCTATGTATATATTGAGTAAAATCAGTGTTCAGTGATCACTTATTCTTTTGTAAAAAAAAAAAAAAAAAAAACACACACACACACACACACACACAATTTTGACAATATTCTTTCCTCACCATAAACATCAAGTCAAATAATACCAAGAGAAAATTTCCCCCACCCCAAAATCATGTGGGGAGCTCATTTTGAGCTCTTAAAGATTCGCTTAGAACCTTACTGCTATGACCTCACTCCCACAAGAGTGATAATGATTAACTAATTAACCCCCAAAACCACAAAAAAGAGTAAGAAATCTTAAGAATTTGATCTCGCAAACATACCTTTGAAATGAAGGGCTTCCAGATTGATTAAATGAGTTTAGATTGCTTGCTGATCATTGTCATTGACTGTTTTCTTTTCCAGTTGCATCTTCTATGTTTCCATTCAAGTTTCTGCACAGCTTTTCTATGATAGAGACAAATGCATGGGGAAAAATAAATCAAAAAACGGCAACGAAGAGCTAAGGAAAAACAGAGAAATTAAAAGGGCTCTGATGATTTTTGGAAACAAAGAACACTTCAACTATTTGATGAAATGCTTAAGGTGTAAGCAATCAAAAATAAAGAAAGGAAAAAAGATGCTTCAAGACATTCTAGTACTAGTACTCTGTATCAATGGGAAAAATGCAATTGTAGTCCTCAATCTATTTATTACCTAGTTCAGTCTCCATAGTTTAGATACTGTCAATTTAGCCCCCAATATGAATTATCTCGGTCACGGTTGGTTCTTGTCAAAAGCAGTCTATGCATATTGCTGCTCAAGTTAAGTCACGTCAACATTATTTAAATCACTTCCCTCGAAAATGCCTTTCCTTTGGAATTTTCACCGTTACTAGAGTTTCACATTGTATTACTTTGGCCACCATTTGTAATGATTATTTCAAATAGTACATCTTCTGTCGTAAAAAAGAAAAATTGTTTATTTTGATTTGTTTTTTAAATTTAACTCGTGTTAAAATAAAAACTCAAACTGCACAATAATTTTCGGGACAGAATGAGTACAGTTTAGAATCTTGTTTGTACTCCTTCACATATCACACAGTTCGGCCTTCTATTAAATTTAGATAAGTAGGAGTAAACTAACAATATCATGCATCGAAAAATTCTTTTTTCTGCCATAAGTTTATGACTGGTGGTAATCTGATTTGGTGATAATGAATTTTTAAAAATCTCATGTTCTTTAACATGTCACCCTATTACAATTCGGAAAAATTTAGTTGAAACCTCGATTTCCTCACGTCCTTCGTTCGCCTTTCAATTTTCGTGATAAACACTGGTGCCGCAATATTGTTCCATCCATAATGTTGTAACGGAATATCTCTATCTCTCTCTCACACGCACACACACACACATCTAGCGGCAAGAAGTCAAAATTGAAATTTGATTGACCAAAAAGTCTATGGTACCAAAAGCACGCAAATGAGCCAGGAGATCATACTAAAACGACGACAAATTATTAGTGCTGCAGCATTTCCCATATATCTTTGGCAACAAGATACTACATCTGTAATTCTATATACCGAAGCTAGAGAGAGAGAGAGAGAGAGAGAGAGAGAAGGTAAAAATGGGAGAAGATACTGTGAAGATCCAGGGAAGAAGAAGCTATGGCGCTCCACGCTACACCAGGCAAGTAGCAGCTGATACTCTCGCCGCCATGGTTACCCATCCTCTGGACACCGTCAAAGTAATACATTCATACAAACCTTCTTTCAAGCTGCTAATCTGCAACCGTTTTAATTTCTTGAATGTTTTTTATGACATGGAAACCAATTGTGTTTTTTCGTAAACAGGTGAGAATGCAATTAGGCCAGGGACCGAATTTCCAGTTGGTCACCCGCATGATTCAGAATGAAGGCATTTCTAGCTTCTACAAGGTAATTTCATCGTTTGATTTTGCAGTTGATTGACGTTGCATAACGAAAGATCGGTTCAGATCCTTGAGAAATCATAGACTTGTTTTAATTTTTTACTCTGGATTTTTATTTTCTTTGAGTAGGGATTGTCTGCTGGGCTGCTGAGGCAAGTTACGCATTCTGCTGTTACTAGATACTCTTACAAGTAAGTATACGTCGTACTGTTTGTGAACTATGATGAATCAATTAGTCTTTTTCGAGTATTAATCTGTTCAATTTCAGCTAGTTTCTCTTGCATCAATTTTTGAGGGAGGAAGGGTTCTCTACTGTTAGAACAGGAATTTGAAGCCGGAACTAATCTTTCTTCATATGGATTCTTGTTTTCTGATCTTTTGAGTATGGGCATGTTGGTGTCTAGCTAGAACAAACATTGCTGTCTGTTTCACAAGTTGGATGTTTGAAGATGATTATGTTAGGGAAATTGCTCTGGCGCTGGTATTAACCAGCATTTCAACTGTTGCTGAAAAATCATGTTTATGTGCTTCCTCTTACTATTTCCTTCACTGCCTCTTTTCATTTTAGGTTCCAACTTAAAACATTCCCAAATGATGTACTGTTGTTCATTATAAACTTTTGTTTTTTCCAATAGCCATGTAGTCAGAGCCTCATATATAGCAGATGGTGGTAACGAGATCAGTCCATTTTATCGAATGTTCTTCTGTTCAATGATTGCCAACACCATTGGAGCTGTTGCATCTAATCCAGCTGAGTTAGCAGCCACCCGCATGCAAGGCGATGCAACCTTACCTTCAGCTCTGCGCCAGAATTACAAGAATGTGTTTCATGCATTGTATCAAGCTGCCTCCAAAGAAGGAATTTCAGCACTCTGGAGAGGGGCTGGTCCTAATGCATTGGGCATGACGGCAATACGCTTAGGATCTAATGCCTCTCTGGAAGGCTTGAAGATCTTCAAGCATCATATTCCCAGGGAGAATAGAGTGCTGAGTAAGATCTTTTGTTTTAAATGATCATATTCCCAGCCCTTTTCATCTTTAAGAACTACTTGGTGGTGGTAATTCAGACTTCCCATTTCTTGTTATAGGCTATGGTTACATTTCAGCTGGCTGCCTACTTTTTGTGGTTGTACCCCCAGCCTGTGGCAAGCCATTTGATTACGTAAAAACCCAATTGCAAATGATGCAGCCAGATGCTAATGGCAGATATCCATACTCTGGAGCTCTGGACTGTGCCAAGAAAACCTTCAAGCTGGGAGGGCCACTCAAATTTTACTCTGGATTTTCTACCTACTGCTTTACACTCGCACCTCAATCCTTGGTACTGCCTGCATCTTTTTCCGTCTCCATTATTCAGTTTTCTGTATTTCTATCAGTGTAAAAATGCATCATTGATTAGATTCTAATCAGGATTGCTTGCTTTTTCTTCAGCTGGCCTACTTGATCTACGAATTCGCTTTCAAGGGAGTGGATATGTCGTAGCGCCAGATGGAATACTTGGCTCTAAGCTGTTTCACAAGTCAATAGTAGGGAGATTGGATAGAGCTGCTGATCAATAGAGTGACTAATATTAATGAGAATAGAACTCTGAAATTTCCAGGAGATTGGATATACTTCTTAGCTAAATTGTAGCCACTTTGAACATCATGGTTTTGCTGTTATCTAAAGATCCCCAGAAAAGAAGCCTAAATTGAATGTTTGAGGACGTGTTATCTGTGGCCAGCTAAATTTACACAGCTTTATTTTAGTATTTTTGAAGTAGCTAGCTTTCAACTTTCGCAGTAAATTGCATCAGATGTTCATACTTCACACAATGCTAGTTTCTGGGCGAACAATGAGGCTATCCAAACATACATCGGGAGTCTATCACAACAAAATCAAAAAGGAATACACAAATCTGATCAATGCTTTGGTGGAAAAATGCGAGAGTAAGGAGAAAGAACAGCTTCTTGAACGTATGTCTTATTACTCGAATTTGAGGGAACCCACCGGATCTCGCTCATATTGGGAGTCTCCACGAACGCCATTGTGAATTCTCCAACCTTTTCAACCTTCCCACGCCTCCCTGCCCTTAACACGAGGTTGTTCCGATTGTTGTAGGAGAAAATCCCATTACGGAGACTCAGGATATCTCCAGCCTCAAACGCATCGCACTCGTCACCCCACATCTGAAAGTGCACCGCCGCTGTCTCGTCCGCCACCAGCGCCAAGCATGTCTTGTTTTGCCCTTCCATAGTTACGTTCCCCTTCTCCAGTATAATGAACCGGGTGTTGACATTGTTCTGGGCTGCCGGAACTATGTCTTTCAGAGATTGCATTGTTGTTTGATTTGTGACTTCTCTCAGTCAAATTGTCAAACACCTTGTTCGCGCCTGTGAATATTGGAGAACGCCGACTACACAAGGGATCCGCCGACTTAAGCTTGAACAAACCAATTAGATAGGAAAGAACTAATTGGAGAAGGGTTTTACAATACAAAACAGTGACCTAACAGAATAAGATCTGCAAAATTTGCAACATTCTCAAAATTCAAGCCCTCCAAAAAAAATTTATGTATTTCGTTTTTGGGTATTTTAGAAATAGCATTCATTGGTTTGCCTCCTTTTAAGACCTTTTTATTTGGAGCACTGCATTAGGAAATTAAGGAAATTTACCCATAAAAGGTCACCACCATAACAAAATTTTATCTAAAAAAGTTCATTACAAAAAAAAATTTAGCACTAAAGGATTCATTTTCATTGATGAGAAACTTTTTCCAGCACCGAAGGAGAAAAACAGGGCTTCAACATATCCACAAAAAGCCCACCACTGACATTATAACTGATAAACCAAAAGCATAACTCTACTAGATATATACTAGTCACTTGATCATCACCAAACCCACAATACAACGAACAGGTATTCAAGAGCGTAAAAGATACCTCAGCAGCAAGGTATTCCCGTACAGCGGAGAGGTAAACAGGAGAACCGGAGCCGACCCGCTGAGCATATCGTCCTCTCTTCAAGAAACGGACAACCCGACCCACCGGGAACTGAAGACCTGCCTTTGAAGATCTGGACACCGATTTCGCAGCTTTTGGTTTGCCTTCCCCACCGCCGGTAGACTTGGTTGCTCCGGTCGAAGTCATTCTGGCAAAATTAAAAGATCTGGACTTCAAAAATAGAGGGGTGGCAGAAAGACTTTCTCCGAATTTGAATGGTTATGGTGAGAAATCAGCACCGATTGTTTCTCTTTTCGTGATAAAAGCCCACTACCAAATTCGTAGGAGTAGAATATTCCGGCCAAGAATTAAAATGAAAAGGCTCAATTGGCAGAAAAAAAATGTAAATGTTCGTGTAATACATACTCTCTCTGTCGCAAAATTATTGTTCAGTTTGAGATTTTACTTTTAGTATAATTTGAACTATATAAATAAAAACTGAAACTGGACAATAATTATAGAAAGAAAGGAGTATTTACTTTTTACAAATGTTTACTACTTATTCATGTCCTAAGTGAGCGTTTGCGATGTGAGGAGGAAATCCATTTAGGATCCCAGCCTTCGAGAGAACAGAGATCAGTGGAATATCCACTTATCCAGTATGAATCATGTGGCTACTTAGTGTAAGGACGTTCTTTGAGTAATATGATTTGTAAATAGGATAAATTTTAGCATATAATTTCATGAAGAAAGTTATTCAGGGGAAAAAAAAACTCCTCATGTATGTACACATCAGATCATTAACTAGATGGCGCATCCGATTGAACATCATTTGACCTAATTAAAGCCTTCAAACAACATTTTGGATTCGCAAACGACATGAATTTTTTAAATTGATGTTGCACACTTATACCAGGTTCGAGTTCTTGTCACATCTATGTAGAATGAGAACAAGTTACCATATGAACTATATGCTTTATCGTATTATCGCTAGCTATGATGTTAAGCCATTCCAATAGAATTAGACCCTGACATCTTAAGTTACAGTCTAGCCAACAAAAACAGAAAACGAGAGACAATTCACGAGGACCACAAAATATGAAGCACTATTTAATTGTAAATTCATGTATAATCCAGTTCAAAAGGGAATGAAGGGATTGGGGATTAAGTGATAAGCTGAACGGTGGGCTGCCGGCACTGTCTTTCAGAAATTGCATTATTGTTTCATTGTGACTTCTCTTTCAGTCATATTACCAAACACCTTGTTCGCACCTGTATTTTATTGCAGAGGAGGGCCAGAAAACCTGCCTACTTAAAGCTTGAACAAACCAATGGATAAAACAGAAGTTTCATTGGAGATAGGATTTACAGTATCGACAGTGAACTAATTAAATAAGATCTTTAGATTTGGGATATTCGTTTGGATAAAACGCCTTTTTTTATTGGGAGAGCTGATAAAAATTTAAGCAAACTTACCCAAAAAGGTTGCCATCATTGATAAAAATCAAATCTACAAAAATTGTGTACTAAACTAAATTATGCACACCAGAAAGCAAGCCCAAAATAAAATCGAGGAATAAAAAATCAGCACAGTGAAGATATAGCACTAAAGCATCCATTTGCATTGATAAGCAACTTTTTCCAGAACCAAATATCCCAGTAGAGAAAAACAGAGCTTCAACATATCCACAAAAAAGCTACCACTAATATAATACCAGACTAACGAAAAGCATAATCCTACTTCATACTAGTCACTTGCTCCGTTTAATAAGCCATTAAATTATCACCAAACCCAAAATAAAAAACAAACAGTTATCCCTATTACTCTGTTCTTTTTCTTCACAGCCTTAAAACTCCTGAGACATAGATCCAATCTCCGGCTTCCCATCTTTGCCGGACTTCCTCGGCAGCAGATTCTGGTGAATGTTGGGCAAAACCCCACCGTTGGCGATGGTGACGCCCCCCAGCAACTTGCTTAGTTCCTCATCGTTCCTCACTGCCAACTGAATATGCCTTGGAATAATCCTGTTCCTCTTGTTATCTCTCGCAGCATTCCCAGCAAGTTCCAACACCTTTTGAGAACAAATACCAAAAAGGAAAAAAAAATCAAATCAATCAGTATCGGAAAAATTAAATGGAAAAACAATTAAATGAACCCATGATAATTAAAGGAGGAAGAGCATAAGAGATACCTCAGCAGCAAGGTATTCAAGAACAGCGGAGAGGTAAACAGGTGAACCAGATCCCACCCGCTGAGCATATCGCCCTTTCTTCAAGAAACGGGCAATCCGACCCACCGGGAATTGAAGCCCTGCCTTTGAAGATCTGGACACCGATTTCGCAGCTTTTGCTTTGCCTCTCCCACCGCCGGTAGACTTGGTTGCTCCGGTTGAAGCCATTCTAGCAAAGTTAAAGATCTGGACTTCGAAAATTGAGAGGATTTGGAAGTAAGAAATGAGTGGTGGATGCAGAAATATCTTCTCGGAAAGTAGAGTGCTTTATGGTACGGGATCAGGACGACTATATATATAGGAGAGGCCGAGAGATACATTCTCTTCTCTGATTGGTTGATACTTTTCCGGATGGATTGCCAGCTTGTAATGTGCTATTCGAAATGTCCACGTGTCTTTGTTTAAATGGGTGATAGTGACAGTCAGAGGATAGCCAGCTTGGAGTGGCATTCATATTCGCGGGTTTTGTTCGAGTCTTTCCCTCTTCAAATTTTAAAATATTTTCCAAACTTTTTTCAAGTTTTTCATATTACCGCCTTTGCAAAATTTTCGTTGGGCCTTGGGCTTTCCCAATTTTATTCCGTTATAATTGACGGACGTTTCTCTTTTTCTCTGATAAAAGCCCACTATAAATTGTAGGAGTATAACATTTCGGCCTAATCCGGCCAATTTCATTTTCATATTTATAATTTGTGGTAAAGAAAAAAAAATTTGTACTAGAGGAAATTCATCAACTATCCATACAGGTAGAAGGGTATGCACAAAAATTGAAAGGATCTCTTTAATTTAGTGAAAACTTCTCAAGTGGACGAATTGCGCTAACATAACATAAATAATGTTATAAAAACACACTCTCAAGTGCACTATAATATTGACGTGTTTCTCTTGTTGCTCGTGAAGTTGAACATTTCCCTCTCCCATTAAACATTCCTCACACCCATAAAATCAACATTGCTCGTGACACATTGAAGCGAACAAAGCCAATGTGTTTTCGCTGCAAATCTTCATTTGTGAACTTTTACTCGTGCTCTTCTTACATCAATGGACAACTAACTAATAATCTATATGTATATTGTTAGCCCAACAAAGTACAGCTGTTTGAGTTTAGCCCATGATTCTATTAAAAAAACATCACTAGCTAAAGATCAGGTATCAGAAAAGGGCAAAATGCAGGTGAAAAACACACAAACACATGTAAATGGTAAACACATGTTCGTCGACTTTGTGGTCTATCTTCTTTACTCGACAATAAAGTCGATGAAGTACTAAACTGATAGAAGACTCACAAACTCAAGTGTCAAGTAGGCAATATTCGTCGACTTAATCATCAATACAGATATATCCAGACTCTAAGTCGACGAAGTGATCAACTTCTGTGAAGAACCACACATACTCAAGTCGACCATCTTCTTCGTCTACTTTGTCGGCGGGGTATATCTACGATAGATTGCAAGAATTTTGAAAAGTACATACACCCTAATCAACCAGCTTTGACGACTTAAACATCAGGTTCCCCGCGATGAAGTTGAGAGTAGTACAGTTCATGGAACGGCAAGTGCCTTTAGCCCCGGTATTGAGTCAACGAAGTGCTGAATTTTTAATACTTCTTTTCTCCTGAAAGCTAATTGAAACCTCAGCAAATGTTTTAATGCAGTAGTACTTGTACAGAGTTGTACTCAGATTCTTTCTTTCATCTAATCGACAACTTCAGAAAATAAGAGCAAGGCCACTGCCTAGTTGCAGTACCTTGGGCTCTTTCTGCAACAAAATTTATGGCTCTCATTTGCAGTGAAGAGTTCCACTTTTAAATCATCCTCCCCTAATTATGTAAACTTCTGATGATAACTTAATGATTTGCCTCGGAAAATGGTCATTTTGAACAAACTTGAGATCGATCCATGACTAGTTCAAATTGCCTTCCCGCAAAGACAAGAAAAAAAGTAGACTAAGTTGTTGTGTTTCATATGGAATAGACATACCTATACACATAGTTTTGTTCTGTACTTCTGTCAACATTGACAGTGTCTAGGCGACTCTAGGCCAAAATTTACCTTTTGGAGAATTCAGTTGCAAATTTTGCAAATTATGTTTCAGAGCAACATAAGTGAACTAAAAAAGAAAATCACACAGAGAGCAAGATCAAGATCAATATGTGCATATATGCAACTCAATTTTTAAAAAAGCACAGTAACCTCATATACATTTAATCGAACCTAAGTTCTAAGCTATTTCTTTCTCTTGATAATACTGATTTAGCAGGAAAGGATGGTTCTGGAAACAATCCATTTTACCATCAGAAGCCACAGATTTAAGACTTTTAAGATTGGATTTAGCCCCATGAGCCAACAAATAAGTTGCAATCTTCATATGACCTGCTTCAACAGCTAGATGAATGGGACTATACCCAATTTCATCTACAATATCAAGCTGAGCTCCATGGCTGACAAGCATTTTCACACACTCAATTTTACCTTTAAAAGCAGCTCTATGCAAAGGAGTCCAACCATTTTGATCCCTCGAATTCAAATCCACGTTAGCTACCCCGCCTGATTCCGCCAAACAGGCCTGAATAGACTCAATATCGCCTCTTCTCGCAGCCGAATGCAAAACATCTCCCAAATACAACATATTGTACAATTGAGAATGACCCTCTTCCAGGGCTATATCATACGCAGTCTTTCCATCTCTGGATATGGTATACTTGGCTGAAATTGAATGATTCAGAAGGTACTCAACAACCTGAACATGCCCTTCTTCTGTTGCGTAATGAAGCGGTGTCCATCCTCTGCAATCTACAACATCAGGATCACTTCCTGATGATACTAAAAACCGAATCATTGAAAGATTCCCCTGGATTGCAGCCATGTGAAGAGCAGTTCGGCCCTTTGAATCTACCAAATCCAAATCCAAATCCGGATATCCCAAGCACAGAATTTCCAGCAAATCAAGGCGTTCCATGGCTGCGGCGTCGTGTAAGAACAAATCGACGGAGCAATCAAGTTCATAACCAGCCTGAATTAGAGCCTGAACGGCATCAATATTCCCGGACTCAACCGACAGGGTCATGGCCGACTGTTTTGTCTCCGGGTCCCTATAATTTACATCAGCACCGGCATCAATCATGGCCGAGACAAAAGACGAATTATCGGGACTCTTAGCAGCGCACATCAGCAGCGAATCAAGCTGCCCTTTGTCGCACCAGAATAAGGCCTTTGATAACAGAAAAGCAACTTCCAGAGACTTGGCTCCTGGAGAAAGAATCAGGGATTCCACTACCTGAGGCCCGACAAACGATATAGGCAGGAAGGCATCTTTAAATATATGAGGCCCTGGTTTGGAAAACAGACGCCGGAGGTGATCCTGATTGGCTTTTCCGATGGGAAGCATGGAGGACCGGACTATGACGGTATCCAGGGGAGAACAGAGCGGTGGTTGATCATCGGAATCGTTGTTCTGATTCAAGAAAAGTGTGTATGTTGAAGTTGACTGAGGTGGGATGATTGAAAAAGGGTGTGAGAAGCTGAAGAGAGATGAATTTGTGGAGGTTAGGGAAACGGCGACCGACATGGTGTGCATCACGTTGGTTAACTTGAAAGTTGCGCTACACTTTTGGCCTCTGTTGAAGCAGATGCAGAGTTCCTGCAAGTCTGGCTTCACCAGCTTGTCCATGGCAGAAATTGCTTCAATGGAAAAAAAGGGGAACTTTCTTCTTTGGTCTTGTGAAGGAAAATGGAGGATGAAAGGATGAAAATGAAACTCAAAAGAAAATAAGAACAAGAACCTCTGGTCAAGTCAAATGAGTATTTTTATTGATTAGGAAAAGTATTGGACAGTGATGGGAGGATTATGTTACTTTTGCTTCCTTGTACTTCCCTCCCATATTATAAGTATTGTTTTTCTAACACAAAAAACATAATCTTATTTTAAGTGACAAACAAAACCCAACCAACGCTTCAATTGTCTAATATAACTATCTTTCTATTCCAGAATTATTATCAATTTAAATTTTCAATTGTAGTAGTAAACAAAGGGTCATTTATGATTGAAAACAAAAAATTATTTTGTCAATGACTAATACTCCATCCGTCCTAAAAAAATAGTCCATATTGAGTTTTCAAATTTGTACTAAAAACAGTACAAAATTTAAAACTCAAAGTGACCTATTTTTTTGGGACGGAAGTAGTATATGATTAGGAAAATGGATAGAGTTTATAGAATGATTGATCAACAAATTATGTCCTTTTTTATCCAACTTATTTAGGATCTTAGTTCAAAAATTCAAACTTTACCATCCAGACAGGAGCTCGATCGTTTACATATCAATCACGGGGAGTTTTTATACTCTCTTGTGTCGTATACTACAGCAAAGTTAGTTTATTAATTATTATTTGTGTTTTGGAATTTCTTTTTGGTCACAGGCTAGCTAATGCGTATTAGGTTCATCTACTAACCCCCAGCTGACGTAAAGGGTAAAGGGTAACGGGAAGTGAATTCTTCTTGAACTTGGTCCAAGTCTTATAACCAATTTGACCTTTTCTTCAATGACAGTAATTCACACAGAAGGCTAAATGATTAATGAGGCGATATTGACAATTAAATTTAGCACAATCGTTGGATGTTACAAATCTTGTATTGAATTTTTGGGGAAAAAGAATAGTCATAAAATTTGACTATTATAATGGGTAGAGGGAGCGCAAAAGCTGTAGATCGAGAAACAAAAGAAGAGGAGAAGGGCGTGAAATTAGGGTTGGAGAAATGAAATATCGAAATGAAGCTTTCCAAGATCAGGTCGTCAAACCTCACTTCTTCATTCCAATCAACGACTGTCTTTTCGTGCTGAATTGTTGTTGCGGGCTTGAATTAGTTTACAAGTTGCACATGACGAACTTTTTGCTGTCTACAGCTTGAAGTAATTAAAATACTCCCTCTGTCCCCCCTTACAACAAACACTACAATTGTTTTGGGACGAAAATTTTAAAATTTGTAAAATTTTTACTTTATTTTTATTTTTTTCTCGCAACCTCACTCAATTATTTATATTATTCCACAACAAGAACGTTGATTTGAGAAGAAAATATCAGCTCAAAATCAATGAGAATGATTACATACATTAACAATGATAAAACCATCCTCATAAACTTTGGTCTAGACGGCCTTATCATAAATGACGTGATTACTCCTTTTCAATACTCCTACGTTTCAAATGCTGCTGCAGGCAGTAGGTAGAACTGAGTTTTCTTGATGGTGATAACCAGCATTTTAATAGATTATCAGTACTGATCACCAAAAAGCTGTTTTTTGGCTCGTTCCACTCATATACATCCGGCTTTGTTTAGTAACGTCACGGTAGCTTTGATTTTCAAAGGTCATACTGTTTAAGAAACGCATTGGTAGAGGAGAAAAATAAAAAGTTTCTAGTTTATAATCTTTATTTCTTTATACATACATATTGAAAGAGTCATAAACCTACAACTGATTGATTCTAAGCATTAACAGCCATAATTAAGCTGAAAAACAAGGTTAAAAAATTGTTTGTACTTATTTAGCATTTTTTGGAACATTCCCCAACAGAAACTTGATCATTGAGGCGAGCCTATCAATTTATAATCATGGAAAGTGTTTGTTGTTTAGCTTCCCATCTCCAAATTTTTAGATAGACAGCAAGAATTATGAAATTGGAAATATTTTCTCGCCGTCTTTAATATAAGGTATTTTGATTTGTCCTAAGTTTCACCTAGTACACACTTTTAATTGATAAGAAAAATCTAAAAAATATTTCATAACAATCAAGAGAACTTAACCATTGTGAAAATATATTTTTAAGATTTTTTTCCGATTAAAAATACATACTAGGTGAAACTTATGATAAAATCAAAATGCCTTATATTAAGGACCGGATAGAGTATCTTGACCAGAATACCTCGGACTAGATGCATCCAAGAAATAAAGGATACTGTCCTCAAGCAGAAGACCTCTCATTTCTCTTCCCAGAATTTTGTCGTCTCCTGATCTGTCCCATTAACGCCTTCACTGTTTATATTTTCTGGCAAGAGCTTCCACTGCCACACACGCTGTTTATCTCATCATTGAAGTCAACTCTGGGCTGTGGCTGTCGCTTCCTGTTATTGAAGAATTGTTTTGATAAACCACAAAGGAATTTTGCCGTGTACCTTGTTCTTGATAGGTAACCAGTGCATTCTGCTAAGGGAGTTCAATTTCTTAACAGTTGCATCAATCAAATGCATATCTGTCCACATCATATCTGGTGGATAACCTGCAATGATCAATTCATATAAAGAAAATGTCAAAACAAATTCATTTTGCCCATTGCAATTGATTTCAAGCCTGTGTAACTGTTGTTTAATTTTGTTGCAGTTAAGTGATGCTAACTGGAAGTTGAAGATTAAGAAACAGCAATTCTAATTGAAGGCTTCTTTCGTGGCAAAGTAGCACAAATGTTAGCCAGGACTTCCATGCATGTCTGAGGTCCTTGCGCACCATCAGACAATGAATAGCCTGAATTCATCCAATGGGTTCATCGATACCGTAGCATTTGCGCTCCTGTAACGAGGAAGTTTCATCAGCCAAATGATTAGTTTGGGGGCTAAACAAATGAGATAGAGGCCAGACTTTCTTTCCTTAAACCATTTTTCAGAAGGTAGGCAATAAACAGCGTTACAGGGCCGAATAAGAAAATAGTCCAAACATGCAATTTAATTGAGCCTAAGATAATTGGTTTGTGTTGAAACTTAACAGGTTGGGCTGTCAAGAAGGTCGACCATGCTCTAATTATGAGAGACTATGAATTCCCTTATTGAACCGGCTGATTTTGGCAAACACGTGGTCGATTTTAGAAAGGTCGACAGAAACAATGAACTAACAAATAGGTCATTGAATCTTGCTTAAATTTTCTGGTCAATTTTAATCACCATTGTCCAAACTAAACCGCTTGATGAGAGTTAGAACTAGCGAGGCTTAACAATGAACTAGTACCATTGATTTCTTAAGTAGAGAGGCTTGCACTCTCTTAACTGGATTTTCGTTATCCTAAAAAAGGAGAGTATTGGGGCTGAATTTGACCCAACTAGAAGGTAAGAGAGTATAAGACCTGCCTTTAGTGCATTGTCCCTCCCCATTTTAATGAACAATTTTGGGCCTAGAAAACCAATTCTGATCTTTGGACTATCTCTCTTTACCTCTTACTACTATAAATGTACTACTGCTAGTTGGCCCAATGATTCCAATTACAACACACAAACTGCATTTAACTCACCGAAAAGACATTGCATTTTGCAATGTTCTCTCTTTTTATAATCTTTTCGATTCTGGTTGTTCTTGTTTTGGTCATTAGATATTCAGGCAACAAATTTACAAGGCAAAGGTAGAAGTAATAAACATAAAAGATCTTAGAATATATTGACGTGTGCAAGCATAACTATATTCGTGCCTACTAGTTTAGAAGTTTTTTATTTACATTAATCAATATTGATTCTTTCTTTCCAAAATGCATGATAGTTATGCTTGTTGCAGATTATAAATACTTTCTATAAACATGACGATTATTTTGAGAAAAAAAAAAGCATGCACGGTAAAAACTGGATGCAAATTTTAATTTGATCTTCAATATCAGTGTGGACTTGAAATGCTATTACACTATTGGTAGCAAAACGAGAAGTTTAATGCAAATTGCAATCGATTTGCCTGTTATACTGGCAGTTGAAGATCGGTGGATCGATCGATTCACGTTAATTTATTAGTTAATTTATTCATTGACTCGAAACTAAAACAAATAAAAGTATTATGAGTTTGACTCACGAGACAGCACAGAACAGCTTCCTCATCAATTACTAGTAAGAAGATCGAACCAAAACTATCCGAATCCCAATAAGTTATACTTAGTCAAAAGCCAAATCATGTAACTAATGATGTTTATATTTATTAATTTTACTCCAAAAAATAATTGAGGCCAATCAATTAAATGGTGAGAAAAGAGATTGGGATCGTGGAATTAATGCCGGCACCGAAATGATTTTTAAACCCAAAAAAAAAAAAAAAATTGGAAAAAATTCTTGTCTATACTTACTTTTTTAGGGTTTCTTGTGAACCCTCGATAAAGACTACTCGTGTTTAAAGATTAATGAATGTGGATGGCTTTTTTGGGGGTGATTAATGTGGTATAAACAAAGGAAGAGAAACACATGCTTTCATGATCGATCACACGTTAATCCATCGACAATTACACGTGTATTCGTGTATTTGTATGCTTGGATCACTTGAAATATTTACATTTTCTTTATATGTTCTAACTAGTATTAATAACGTGAAACCTTTTCATCCTGGCAAACATCATGTTTTTCTCAAAATTCTTTTTTTCACTACGTAAAGAGAAGAACGATGTTTTTTTTTTTTAATATAGTTTTATGAATATAAATAACTTGACAATTATTTTTACGAAAAAAAAAAAAGGGATTTGAATAGCGTCATACATGTTCTTTTGATGCATGCACAATGAATAAAGTGCCTGCACTTAGTGCACCATGTACCCATCATTACCCCAAGTTTTTGATTAATTGTAGTGAGGTTTCCTCTTAATTATTTAATGTAAGTACTTTAGTGGAATGAAACTTTTTTCACACACATTTTCCAGTTCATAAATCATAACCTCAAATTCAAACCACACTGTGAGGATTAAGCGTGGCCTCATCGTTTACCATGTAACAGACACAGGGTTAAATATTTCGATTCGAATTGGTGAATATTTCTACAATAAACGAATAGAATGAGTGTTCTCTCAATCTCATAATTATTGTCATTGTATTTAAAACCGATCTCA